CTTGATCAGCTTGGCCACGTTTTCGTAGTATCCCCCCGTGCCGCCGTACTTTGCGATGAGGGCGACGATATCCGCCTCTGGCACCTCTCGCGTGCGGGACCTCCCCAGCAGACAAGTGTTCCTGGTGCTGGGAATCCGCAGCATCTCGGTCTCGACCTTCCAGCCGCAATCTTCCGCAATCCTGGAAACCCAGTCGACTAGCGACGCATACGTCGACTTGGCCTTGGTCTTGTCCTGGGGAGGGGGTGCCCGGAACTTGTCCCCGGTGAGGTTGTGGCTGCAACAGGGGATCATGATAAAGGGACACCTCGAGCAGGCGGCAAGAATCGGCGTCCAGGGGGTCAGCTCGTCGGCGTGGTTGGAAATGATGAATGTGCCCGGCGGGAAGACGCCGTCATGTACGACGCCGTGGGACAGATCACTTGACTCGTTGTCGGCGTCGGCATTGGCCTGATCTTGACCGCTTCTCGAGACCGCGGCTGGGAGCAGCAGCCGCTCCTCCAGAGACGAGCCAGAGGGGGAAGCCTGCCCCCGCGTCCGGTACTGAGCCCACGACTTGCGCTCTCTCGCGTCGAAGCCCCATCCAGAGTAGCCCTCCTGTGTCAGCAGGTAGACCAGCAGCCCGTTGCCGCAGCCAATGTCGACGAAGCCCGGGAATGCGGCGGTCTCCTTGGGATACATGTCGCTCCATAGCTCGATGAGAAAGGCGGCTATCCCCAAGTCTTCAAAGACGTGCTTGGACGGGTCCGTCTTTTCGGCCCACGAGTCGACCAGCTGACGAGCATACTTGCTCTTGAGAAGTGCGTACCGGTTCTGAAATCTGTCCTGGGGGATGACCAAATCGTGATTGACTCTCTTGACATAGCCCTCGGCGGCGCCGTGGCCGTGCTTGTCGATGATCTCGAGAAGATGGAAGGCTGTCCGCTGTAGCCTCGCGTCGCTCAAGGGGTGCTCCGGATAGGGGAGGAAGTGAATGGATATGGTGCCTTTGCCTGCTTCGTCCCACTGGTGCAGGTGCGCGATGCCCTGGACCTTGGGATGATAAAAGGGGAGGTCGTCTGCGGAGGCCGAATGGGGCATATATATGACGAGCGCGGATGGCGACGGAGATTCGGATCTCGATCCAGATGTAGATCCAGACGCAAGTGCCGTGGAATCCATGTCATGTCCATCATGCGCCGTCTTGGTCGTGAAAAAGGCGCATGTCTGCTCCAGGGGCTTGTCTCTCCGCTCGTTCCTGGGGATGAGCCTGCGGACGAGGGTGCGCTCCAGGGTCATGCCGCGTATCTGGACGGCGAGGGGGCGAACCTCGGAGGCGGTCCGGGATGGCAGCTGGGTCTCATGATGATGATGATGCTTGGGTGCTTCATCCTCAGCGGTAGCATCTGGGCTAGCATGAGCATGAGCATTAGCATCGGCAACGGCAACGGTACCGACACCGGCATCTACAGGAGCAGGCCTAGTATTACTACTAGCGGCAGTGTTGCCAGTAAGACTATCAGCATCCGTGGCACTACTGCTGCTGCTGCCGATGCTGTTGGTGTTGCCCTTCGTCTTGGCCTCGTCGTACAGAATGTCAGCTCGAAACAGCCAGCTCGAGTTGAGATTGGGGTTCTTGATGAGATTCATCATCTTGTCCACAAAGATGTCGGGCCCAAAGGAGCAGGCATGACTGTACAGGGGCACCCACGTGCGGTTGGCCTCGTCTTCAAAGAAGGGCGGTGACCCCAGCGGGAGCTCTCGCGGCTGAAACTTCATGGCAGATGAATGACGAGTCTATTCTGTAGCTGTACGGTATATCTGGATGTGTATCTAACCTCGATTGGGCCGAAGATGACTTGCTCGCCGGGACCTCGGAAAGGATTCTCGCGTCCGGAGGATTAATCAATCAATCTCGCAGAGTGACTGTGGAGGGCATGGGTACAAGGTAAGCTTAGGGCTGATGCTTGGTTTTTTTCCCTTCTTCAGCGACCCCTCCAAAGAAAGGTCTGGTGAGCCCCTCAATCTGCACCGCACCTCGTTTGGGCAAGACAGGATCGGGATCGGGAAGTCGATCGGGTTTCCCCCTTTTTTTTAGTTGTGTGTCTGTCCGGACTGGAGGTGTCGCAGATCCGGCGAGATGCCAGATTGGCTTTGAGCTTGTTTCTGCCTCTACTTCTGTGAGTGGACTTTGTTGGTTTTTCTTAATCGATAACGAGAGAAAAAACGGGTGTCCGAAACTGGCAACTTGGGGCGTGTCTTGAACCCACCAGAATGGAAAATGACGTAGCCCAGCAATTGCAAGAGTTTCTTGCTCCATCTCTACAGCACTTACAGTCGAGGTTGGTTATACCTCTCTCTATTGGGAGGCTTCCTGACTTGACACTATCGCAACTGTCACTCTACTCGTGTCGATGCTCAAGCGAGATGGTTGTTAGAGTAGGTACTCTGTACTGCGGTGGGCTTGCTGGGGTCAGACTCTTTGCAGTCCAGCGCTATTGAGTGGCTTTCGCTTTAGCCCATTCCTTCGACGCCGCTGCGACTCTGCGCAGCCTTGACGGCCATTCTGCGTACAAGTAGGTACAACACCGAAGAGCAACTGGCCATGCTCCGGATACAAGGGTCATGTTCCCCGAGGACGATCGTTCGCATCGAATCCCTGGCCGGGACTCCATCGTGATGCTGCTTTTCCCAATCGGAAGTGCTTCCGGTGCATGAGAAAAACGAAAATACGCGGACGGAGGTGAAGATGCATCGCGGATGCACAACACCTGCAACCGAACAACCACACCCGAGATGCCTCCCCCAAAAGTTACCTATCGGATCCAAAGCCGGTGCATGAGAATTTCAAGGATTCGATGATATCCATGCCTCTGGAACGCTTCCCCGGTGAAGGGCTTTTGTCGACGACTGCCAACCGGATCTGCTTCCGCGGCGTGATGCCAGTCGATTTGCATGCCGGGGTTTGATTCACGTTTGCCAGTCGGATCGGCTTCCGGTGGTGGTTTTTTTCTCGCTTGGCCATGCAAGAGGATGCGAATGGAACCCTTTGGCGAGATGATTCTGCCAGTCGGGGAAGAAGCCGGTGTGAAGAAAATGCAGGGGAATGGGCTTTGGGAAGATGATGCCTGCTTTCTTTGTGTGAGACGTGAAGAAGACGAATGAAAGACGAAGATGGCTTCGTCGAATGGGGAATGGAGAATGAAAAAAAAAAAAAAAGTCAGCCAGTTACGGATGGAGATTATATGCCCGTTGAGAAGCGTTGTCTAATACGACTGTTGTACGACTTCCATTCCACCCCGACTATATAACAAGCTCTCAGCCCACTGGCGCTACAGCACTCCAACTTTTGTCTGCCCGGGAGCTGCCTCGAGATGGCTTCCGCAGTGTTCCCGCTGTGGGGTTGCGAGAAACCTCAAAAATGCCCTCCGATGAGGCGAGACGCCACGTGTATTGGCCGTTCTTTTGACGCAGGCCGAGCCTCGTGGCGCGTGACAAGCTGCTCTCCTCTGGGTACGGGTTCAACCGCTGCCAAAATCCTTCCCGACAGGTACCTGAAGACGTTGAAGTTACCTTGCGGCATCACTGACGCTTCTCTCTCAATGCTGCTTATATAACCATCGAAATCGACTTATTCCGACCATGATTGAGTCCGCGAAACCCGTCTTGTCGCATTCCCAAATGCGCCTCGACACGATAAAATACTCTTGGACACGATAATTCCCATTCCCCCACAAGCCCAATAAGAGAAGGGGCAACAGGACATAGTGCGCTGGGCATTGAGCGTCTTGTCACTTTGTGTCTCAGGCTGGCTACCCTGTACAAACATGCATTCGAAACGGCCCCCTTTTTCTTTTCTCCTTTATTGGCGCATTCACCCAATGGCGATGGGCATGCTGGGCGGTGTCGCCTTGCATATGTGAGTTGTCATTGCAAGCGATACCTATGTACAGTAAGTCGGGTGCAATAGCCTAACAAGTGGTTGGGCGAACAACACGACGAAGCTGTGACTGTGCTGAGTGAGAATTAAAAACCTGCGCCAGGACTAACAAACTACGAATGAATTGACCAACTCTGCCAGCTATTATGACTCGTCCGCACAGCTACGACTCTTTTGGCTTGTGTGTTGCTGCTCTCAGTTTATTACATAATGGCCAAAATGCAAGCGACGAGCAGCATCCGGAAGATTCATGTCCCGAGACTGGTCAAATCGTTATCGGCACTTGTGCGTGGGTTATCGGAGCAGCAAAGTGAAGCCACTCGAGTTGACGCAACAAAGTCGTGTGTACTCGGCAAGGTAGGCTGCAAAACTAATTTATCTGCAGGGCAAATGAAGTGCTTACTGGGTACGCATCACTACACGCATCACTACCTACATACCTCTATAGTACTCGGCTACTCCTTTTTTTTTTTCTTCTCTCGTCTATTTCCTTTCGGCCCAGCCCGGTGACAGACGGAGAGACATGGCAACGTCGCGGGAGGCCCGACAGCGGGCTGGGTCAGCCAAGGCCCGGCCAGTCACAGGCAAGGCCCAGCCCAGTCCAGTCACCGGTTGAGCCCAATCCGATTCACGTGGTGGCAATGCTCGTAATACTGCGTAACATGGCTGAGACAAGACAGTGCGACATGGCGGTGTGCCTTTTGCGGCAGCAACGCAACCTGTGTCAGTTCAGTTTCCTGTGGCGGGGTGAGTTTTTGTGTGGCGTGGCGCCTTTTAGTAGGTAGGACTGGTGCTGATTGCGCTTGGGTGCTACCGTGTTATGTGTGACGGTACCTTAGTACCTAAGGTTGTCATGGATGGATCAATTCTGCCGGGCAGTACAATTGCACAAGTTACAGAGTACAGTGGGCTGTTTTCTTACAAACAGGAATGCCGCCAATAGGTAGGTACTCTGGGGTTCAACAACATTGAGCACCCGATGCACTGTATGGAGTTGCTGCCCGCTGCCCGCTGCCCGCTGCTCTCGTAGGGCTCTCTCGTCCAGTTGCCGCGTTCACCCACTCATCTTTCGCACACGTACATGTACCCTGTCTGTCCGCTAGACTCTCCGCACTGGAGCCGCTCCTCGCCTCGTTTCCAAGGCTTTTCCGCCCACCGCCTGCTGTGTGGAGCCCAAGGGTCAGCCTCTCTCTTGGCCACCTGCCGCCCTAACAGTCACCACCACGTAACCAACTGGAAGGTACCCGGTACCTCGTCCCGCGCCCTGGCTGCCCGCAAACGGCCAGGTACCGCCCACCTGCCCTCAGCTTCCAACATTCTCCCTTGGCTTCTCCTGCCTCTCTCCCTCTCCCTCCTCCCCCACCTTTCGCCCACCTTCTTTGTGCATCGAATCTCGACCAATCTTTTCCCATCAATTCTTTTCCCCCTTTTGCCTCTTCAATCTTCGACTCTCGCTGCTCACCTGACACAAAAACTTCTTGTCGTCACATCACCAACCGCCCAGCCCGACTTTCTACCTTTTGCGCCAGCGCATTTAAAGCTCGTCGAGTCACCACAAAAAAACAACACACAACAAAACCTTCGTACTACAAAAGGCGCTCAGCCCCTCTCCCCGCCGACTCTTTTTCTCCTTGTCCCGCATCTCTTTGAAAACCTAAACACCTCAAGAGACCGCCGCCTTTCGCCGCCGGTTCATCAACCTCGTCCCTCCAAACTTTCCTTTTTCCCACGAGACACCCCGGAACATCCGAGTATATGACTATCGAAAATCTCAAGTCCTTCGGTACGTTTGCCTTGCTAATATTTTTTTCTTCTTTTTTCTCTTTTTTTTTCTTTTTCTGGTTTCCCTTTGGTTGTCCCGTTCCCCTCCCGCGTCTTGTTATTGTGGGTTGGGCTGCATTTGTTCGTTTGTCGTGTGCGATGTGCGCGATGGGTCGCAACGCGCGCTCATGCATCGCGACAATTCTTGCACCTCCCTAGACGCTAATCCTGACTGCCGCATTCATCTGTGTCCATCTGTTTTGTTCATCCTGCTGACTGACGCTCGCCACAGACCCCTTCGCCGAAGCCGACGACGACACCGGTGACATCAAAAAGGTCGAGAACCATATCCATATCCGCATTCAACGTAGGTTCTTCCTTCTCTTTGCCTCATACGTTCAGTCTGGTCTGCCTTTGGTCGCGCTGGCGATGGCGATGGCCAACTTACGATTTATCCATTCATCCATCTCCCCCAAAAACAACTGCTGATGTCTTGCCACAGAGCGAAATGGTCGCAAGTCTCTGACCACGGTTACTGGTCTTCCTGCTAAATTTGACCCCGGCAAGATTCTCACCTTCTTCAGGAAGGAATTCGGTACGTCACCTGTCTTCTATCGCGCCCCCATGTAGCGACCCCCATACTGACTTGCCCCAGCTTGCAATGGCAACAAGGTCAATGACGAAAAGGCCGGCGAGGTGATCCAGCTTCAGGGCGACCAACGCAAGAAGGTCATGGATTTCCTCGTTGACAAGAAGAGCGGTCTCGGTCTCAACCCCGACAACATCACCGTTCACGGTGCCTAAATCGTCCTCTTTCGCGCCGCCGCCCCGGCCCGCCCTTCCAGCGACTTGGCTTCACAGCATGCTGGTGATGAGCGTGTCGGAATGGGGCTGTTCGAGCAGCCTGTGACTCTTACACAGACGCCTACCGCAACCTCCCTCGTCTATTTGAAACCGCTCAACGGGCCCAACCATAGTCCACTGGGGCTACGAGCGATCTCATGCGATGCGAGGCCCTCTCCGGTACAATCCGCCGGCGTGCGTGTAACAGCGTTGTTTTGAAGGTCTGGCCGGCCGGGCGCCATACAGAGGACGGGATAGAGAGAGGCAGCTATATTGTCGGTCCAACTACCTACTCGTGCTGCGCTGCGGCACGGTAGGTCAAGTTGGCAACATTTTTCTCTTTTTTTTTTTTTTTTTACGTTTGGACCAAAGGGTCTAGGCTACGGGCCAAGGAAACTGGGTCTGTCAGTCGGTCGCTATTCTTCAAACTGGCCATTTCGTTATTCCCCTTGCATTCGGGTCTAAGTGCCGACGGGCCTGGCCGTAGTCTAGGACAACTAGAAATAATGCCAAGAAAGTGTGGTGCGACGAATGCCGCGATATGTACATTGTTTGTGACTGACTCATCGTGATTGTGTGTAAGCGTCTTCAAAGGACTTTTTCTAAAAAAAAAAAAAAGAGTGTGTGGTGAGAAATGGAGAAATGGAAAATCTGAGAATCAGAGAATCAGCTCTCCCACAGTGTTCTTGGCAGATAATCGGCATAACAACGTAATAAGAAGTATGGAAAACTGAAACTGCCTTGCCCACCGTTTAAAACCAACGCCGGGTAAAACCAAACTGTAAACATTGGGGGGGAAAGTACCTCTATCGGTACAACAGATGAAATATCGGTAACGGGGGGGGGGATAGAGAAATACTCAAGAATGAATACAGAAAACTGCCCTTTGTCCAACACATCAACGCCTGTATTGCCAGAATGAACCAAAACCCGGGAGACGCAAAAGATAAGATGGAAAAAAGGAAGAAAAGGAAATCCCCAAACAAAACCCCCAAACTTTCAACAAGTCGTCGCAAAGAGAACCGTGGAAAGGCGCTGGTATATCGGAGTCTGTCCAAACACAACCACTTCATGTTCTTTCCCCCCCCTTCCCTTGTCTCTTTTCTCGTCGTGCTCTCCCTTTCTTCCTTCTCCAACTCTTTTGTTTGTTGTCTTATTACAACACCCTTGCTCTCACCCCACTTCTCTTCATACTCGTATAATGCGTTTGTCGGCTTCGTTTACTACTGGGCGTGTTCGTTAATCAGCGCCTTGACGTTGGCCAAGAGCCGTTTGCCGTTTTGCCAGAGGCGGCTGCCCTTTGATACAATGGGCATGGTGGGGTAGTCGGGCTTGTACCACTGCATGTGAGCCAGCAGCACAACCATAGTGATGTAGCTAGCTATGGAGAAGACGTTGACCGAGGTGATTGTTTCTTTTCGAATGTTGATTTTGGAATGCGTGACGTGGTAGCAAATGGTGAGGGACTATGCAGACGGAGCTTGTTAGCCATGCAATCTTTGAAAGCCTCTGAATTCTTTCGAGGTACAAGGAGACGAGACTTGTCCGTACGGTTGCTATGCTGACCCAGCCGGGGAGGAGAAGTCGTGGGTCCTGGAATCCCCCCGTAAGGGACAGCACGGTGAGAGTAAGGTAGGCATTGACGGCGTTGATAGATGCGAGGCGAACCAGGGTGGCATGAGGGGTATAGTTGATGAGCCTAGAGCGAGGAAGCTGAGTGTCAATTTTACAACTAGATTGGACGGGAGTATGGAAAGCGTACCATCGAGACATGAGGCAGTCGGTGAAGAAGAAAGCGAGGTAGCCGCAGGCAAAGCACTACCAGAGGTCCAGTTAGTTTCTGACAGCTCGTAGCCGGAGAGTGTCACAACAAAATCATGTAGCACGCACCCATATTGTAGCCAAGGCTGTCTCGGTAATGGGATAGGGCGCCGCCAAGACTGCCGCCGTCGCCGCCGCGGCTGCTTCACCTTCCTCACGCGAGCACGTGGACAAGAGAGATGCCTGGAGAGCATCCATATTGCTGCCCGAGACGGCTATCTGTTTGACGAGCAAAAACTGCTCAGGCGGGCCTGGCAAGAAGTGAAGCAGCAAGCGCAGCAGCGAGGGTAGCCCCCACCACAGAGCCGGCAGGATCGAGCAAAGGCGCAAGGCGAAGAGCCAGGGATGCCATGGCTGGGGCACGTTGAGCACGACGGCGACGCGGGGCTGCAGCATGGACGGTATGGGAGGCTTTTCGGCGCTGGCGACGGAGAGGGAGGCGGAGCGGATGCGAGCAGCGGAGGAGGATGAGGTCGAGGTCGGGGCACCATTGGTGGTCAGAGGCGCCAGATCGTGAGGCCTTCCGGACGAGAGGCTAGAGGACGAGACGTTGCGTCGCAGGAGGGGCGCGGGCGGAGGCGGACATGACGACGATGACCAAGTCTTGGTGGGCGATGACCAGGGGTTGGACGACGACGATGGCCAGGATCGGGACGAGGTCGGGGACGAGGGAGACGAGGCGGGACGGCGTTTGGAGAGGCCCGGCGTCGCGACGGAAATGGGAGGCGGAGGAGGGTGAGGGCGAGGGTGAGGGCGAGGGTGAGGAGGGTGAGGAGGAGCGGCGGACACGGCCTCGTAGCTTGGAGGCGGCGTCGTCGCCTTTGCCATCACCAATCGGAGAAGAGAGGTGTGTGTTTATGCCATGAGCTCGGAGGCTGGGGAGGAGGAGGAGGAGGAGGAGGAGGAGGAGGAGGAGGAGGATTGTGAGGCTGAGCTTTTTTGAGTTGCGAGGAGATGGAAGCTTGGTGAGTTGAGCTGAGTTGAGTCGAGTATCCAGCAAAGAAAAGAAGCGTCAAGATTAAGATGAAAAGCTCAAAAGCTCAACCAATGTGGAGTGTGTTGTTGTCGCTGTTGTCGCTGTTGTGCGGGTTTGGGTTTGGGTTCTGCGCGAGGCTCGGCTCGATGATGCAAGGGCGGCTACCTACCAAGGTACTACCTAAAATAATGCAGCATTAGTTAGTACAGGTACCTATCTGGTTGTTACGGAGAGGTGGCAGCTCCCACAGATTGCAGACGGAATGGATCCGTTTGATCGATTAGGGGAAGGCTGTAGCGTCCGGCGTCGCCTGTAGATTTCCACGGCTTAGGGAGCTAGCCTCCCCAATTGGGTGCTGCTTGGAGGGGCTCTTTAGCGGGCTTTTGGGTTTAGCAGCGCGGCTGCTTCCGCCTTCCAGGTCTCGACAGTGGACGGACAGGACAGCCAATCGAATCCACGTCAACTTCCATGCATTACGCTGAACCTCATCCCTTGCAAGTTTGCAGCACAACGTGGGCAGGGTGGCATGGAGACGAGGTCATGTGCCGTCAAAAGGGGAATCGTTCGATGCACAGGGACCGAGTATCAGCTTCAGCAATGACTGCTTCGAGTATATGATTACCATTAACCTCCTACAACCACGAGATTCCTCGTCGTGGCCACCAGATTGCTCTCCATGTAAGCACCACCACTGCAACACTGCTACAACCACCACCAGCCTCCAACTTCAATTCTTATCCAATACTGCTACTAACCACCAATCACATCATCATCATCATCATCTTCTTCTTCTTCTTCTTCTTCGTGGTATTTAGGAAAGGAGAAACACCATCAGCTTCCCAACATCATCATTCAACCGTCTCACCAGCAAACAGCTCAAAAGAACTTGCCGGCAACGCTGGTCGAAATCTCAGTCACGAGCTGGGCGTCATCCTCCTCCTCTTCACTCGTAGCCACCGGGCGATCGAGAGCATCGAAACGCTCGCCCCGGCTCTTGGCCAGAGCGAACTGGACCGCCAGCCTCAGCGCCAAAGCAATGAAGCCCCAGATGATGCCTCCGACAGGGGCGGCCACAAAGGCTCCAAAAGCACCCCAATCGCCCGCGTAGAGACCCTGCTCGAGCAGGATCAGCTCACCGCCGCTCTTTGCATCGCCGTAGTAGATGGCGCCGTAGATGAAGACGGTCAGGATGCCGCCCAGTCCTCCCACGACAACCTCAAACCCGCGCCACCAGTAAAACGAGTCGATCAAACCGATACAGAGCACAGGGATCGTGGCCGCCGACGCGAGATCGCTGATGAGGAAGATTTGCAAGATGGACGGGGCCTTGAGCGCAATCACCACAGTGGGGATGATGACAAGCACGACAAGCACTCGGATGATCCAGATGTTGAGCTTGTTGCGGAACAGGTCGTTGGACGCCGATGAGATCATGGCCGACTGCAGAGAGTCAAAGGCAGAGACACTCAGACTGACAACCATGACCAGCACAATGCCCACAACCCAGCTCGGCAGCTGCTCCAGCAGAGCAAAGAAGGCGAGAGATCCGTCAATGTCATCATCTCCAGGCCAAGCTCCTGTCCATGCAGCAATAAGACCGGTAGCACCAACCAAGGTGAGGATACACAGGACGGCCACCGTCGCAACAGAAATGCCGACCCACAAGTCCTTGTCCGTCTTGGATGAAAAGGTACGCAGCCAAAAGTTGGAGAGGAAGAAGTCGTTGGTCAGCACGGCAACGGGAAGAATGTACACCAGCTGCCATCCCACAAGACTGGCCTTGGTGAGGCCCGAGGAGTCGATGAGGTCGCGGTCAATCTCGGCCTTGACGCCAATGGTGATGGTGGCGATGATGATGAGCCCGACAACCATGGCTCCTTGGATCACATCTGTGAGAAACGAGATTCTGAATCCACCCAGAGCTTGTTCGCGTATAGATGTTAGCCAGGTCTTCGCATTATACTCCGCTCATATATTCAGGCACTTACATGTATAAATGGTTGTGACCACGCATTCCACGATGATGACTGGAAGTCCATCAAGGCCGGTAAGAGCGTTGACGACTTGTCCGACAGCCGACAGCTCTGCAACCATGTAGAGGAACAAGGTAACAAGCGTCATGAAGCTCAGGTACAGCATGGCAACCGTGCCATATCGGTTACGCGTCCACTCCGTCAAAACGAATCCATCAGGACACTTGCGACGGATCATGGGGCCAAGAAGGGCGAAAACAAGCAGGGGCAGCGCAGACGCCAATGCGTAAACGACGACACCCTGAACACCGGCAATGGTTGCGAGTTCCGGGTACGAAAACAGGATACCGGATCCCAAGGCTGCGACAGTCAGCATGACACAAATCTACAACGGGAAAGGGTACAAGGATGGGGATCTGGAGCGGCAGCACGTTTCCCACGCAAGCATTAACTTGATCGAGTATTCACGGTACAATCTCAGCTTCGTTGACGTAGCCGCGACATCTCCCTCAGGCAGAAAGTAAGCCATATTACATCTGCCCGGGGTTGGATCTCGCAAAGCTGCTTCAACTCGGCGCCCGTAGTGAGCCGCATCCTCTCCCCTCTCTTGTTCCCCAACGATGGGCATCTTTGATCTCTTGTTCTCCCTGTTCTTTTTCTTTCTTCCCAGTGCCTGTGAAGGCAAAGAGAAGTGAAGCCCCCAGAATCTCCTCTGATTAGTAGTAGAATGAGAGAGACGCATCGTAGGGGAGAGAGGGGAGAAGACGAAGATTGCTTTTTGTGGGTTACGAACCTGTTCAGCCTCCTAGATACGGACATCTTTTTCGCGAATCGCTGATGTTCTCTGACTTGTTTCTGGGGAAATGAAGCGAAATTCCCTTCACATTTCCTTGAGTGCGATCAAGGCGCTGTAGTTGACGTTGCTGCTAACGCTCCGTAGGCATGTCTTCTGTCTGCGACAAAAGTTTCACGGGGCAAAGAAAATTGCCCTCGCTCGCGACTCACCAGAGGCGATGAAGTTGAAGGCCAGAGGCCAAGCTGCAATCAACGCGGACAAGTCAGCTTCAGAACTTGGAAGAGGGGGGAAATGATGGGCTGAATAAGATGAGCGCCGGAGAACAAGGGCGTCATATTCTTGCGTATTCTGACCAGTCTGTGTCCTGTTGCCGGAGAGAAACTCCGTGTTGGGCTGCTTTCTCATTCTCCAGGCAATGCCCGTGCCCAAGACGCTGCATATCCATTCACGTCAGCTTCGAATCAATGTGTTTATTTGCCTCCTTCTTTCATCCCATTTCTTCTCTTTGTCTCTCCGCTTCAAAACGGTACTATAGACAGACAAAAAGGGGGCTTGAGACTGAGTTTACGTACAGGAAGAAGCCATAAGTCACATAGATGATGGCGTTTGACGCCGCAAACGATGGCTGGCCCATGATTGAGAGGCAAAAAGGTTGTCGCACGACTTGGGTGCTTGAAAGAGGCGCTCGCGATTTGCCAAAACACAAAAGATTTCAGCTGCGAGTATGTCGAATCGGGGTTGAGAGGGAGGTGAGAATTGCTGAGCGACAAGAGATGATCCAATACTAAATACGACAGGGAACAAGAGCGGAAAAGTTTTGCGTCCAGGTGCTTTTTACAGGCCAGTTTAGTTCCAGTCAGCCCATCTTTAGCCTAGTGGGGGGAGCCCATCGCCAGTTTTCTCGCGCTTTTTGGGGGCCCGGCGCTTTTGCCTCTCTAGATGAGCAAAAAGTAGACAAGGCTACCTGTACATGTACTCATTGTTCATGTAGGTATAGTATCATTCATTATTGATGCTGCTTTTTCTTGGCTGTAGCGTCTTATCTACTATACGTAGATAGTTTACTAAGTACTAAGGCATGGGTGTAGGAGAATCTTGTTGTGGTTTCTGCGTATTTGTTGATTTGATACCTGGGTCGTACATACTCGTGCATTTGCCACTGAAATCTTCCCAAGAACTACAGGTTAGCCGCCAACTTGAATTGACATTCATGTTGACGGAGAAGGTTGCATCACGGGTACAGATATGGATGAATCTCTCGAGCTCCGTAATCTAGTGGGAAATGTCACCTAAACGGAAGGTAATGTTAACCCAAGTATAAAATGAAAGGATTGAACATACCTCTTTTGATGAGTCTCTTTATACTACTAACTTCCATGGTTGTTCAGCCACTCACTAGACTATAACGGCCTATGGCTGGGACCATGAATGATTTGGGCGTCACGCGCAGTTTCATCTACACCCTAAATGGCTCATTTTCGAATGTATACATACCCTAGTACTAAGGTATTCTACTACTACCTGATAGATATTGAGGTACCGACGAATGTGCTTTCGACGTTACATGTATTAGATGGGTTGCTGTGAAGCCATAGAATAGCACGGAAACTTCATGCAAATGTCTTTGTTGACAGCTACTATACAGGTACCTGTACAGGCAAGTGCTAAGCCTTCGGGTGAGACTTGCTAACCTCCTAGCTGCAGCACCTGTACAAAGCTTGACGGCCAAGTACCCCTTTGATGAGACTACACGTTACACGCGTACAATCGCACTCAGCAGCTAGGTACATGTGTCGGAAGGGTACTTAGCCCGGGTGGGCATTACCTAACCGGTTCCCGGCATCACATGACGTAGGTCAGCCTCAAGTCAAGCATCATTCTGGCCAGCTCACCTTCAAGCTATTGCAACAGCTTGATTCCCATCGTTTGGCCGACTTCTTCTCCGGCGCAGCATAATGATCGTTTCTTCCCGCCTCGCGTTGTTTTCGCCCTGATCGTCTGTCGCGGGCCGCTATCGTCCCCCGTGGGATCTATAGCTGCCTGTCCGTCCATTCTCTCGCCATGGCTGCCTGGACCACGATTCTAGTAGCCTACCTTGTTGGCGGCGTGACCTTTGTCCCTTTGCTGGTTGCTTCGATCTTCATCTTGGGATACTATAACCTGCCCTACGAGCGCGTCCTCGGCATCCAAGATGACCAAGACGAGGGCCATGTTGTGCATCCCGGCGATGACACAACCGCGCTTGACGAAGCCAGGAGGGAGAGGAACAACAGCGAGTCCAAGAGAGCAAACACCGATATCGATGTCGCCGCCGGATACTTTGCCGTCTGCCGTGAATACATACCCATGGGCATCAACGCAAAGCCCGTCGAGCGCTCGACCCCCATCGGCTCGGCCACCGTGACTCCAACCAGCCCAAGCGTCTACCAGACAATGTACAGGAGTATATTTGATCGCAAGGCTGCCGCAAATTCCATGGAGAATAGCAGCAGCGTTAGCCAAAGGCCCAAGAAGGCAGGCAACGTCTTTTACGTGGTGCTCAGGTATGCTTCTTCACACACACGTCATCCTTCGTAAAAAAAAAAAACCGTCCTCGTTATTGACCAACTGCAGACACGGGCATCTAATGCTGTTCGACGACGAGGAGCAGCTCGAAGTGCGACATGTGATTTCTCTGGCACACCATAGAATAGGGATATACTCGGGAGGCGATATTACACCCGAAGGCGAACTCTTCATCAAGCGAAACGCAATATCCTTGACGCGAAAAGCCACCGGACCCGATCATACGCCGGACAATCAGGGATCTAAGCCGTTCTACTTGTTTTCCGAAAATTGCTCGGCCAAAGAGGATTTCTACTTTGCCATGCTGAAAAACCAACAGCATACATTCGGTGTCGAGCAAATTGCGCCAGTCCCTAAACACTTTGACCTCAAATCCATTATTTCGCTCGTGCAAAAGTTACATTCGTCGGAAGACCAGTCACACTTTCGTTGGATTAACGCACTCATCGGTAGGATTTTCCTGGGCGTGTACAAGACCCGAGACCTGGAATCCTTTATCCACGAAAAGATTACCAAGAAGATCTCGCGCGTCAAAACACCTTCGTTCCTCACCAACATCAAGATCCAGCAAATAGACACCGGAGATGCTGCGCCATACTTCGCCAATCTGAGACTCAAAGACCTCAACGTCGAGGGCGAATGTGTTGTAGAGGCTGACCTGAGGTACACTGGAAGCTTTCGGATCGAGGTTGCTGCCACAGCGAGGATCGATTTGGGAGCGAGGTTCAAAGTTCGAGAAGTTAACCTGATTCTGGCCGTGGTCCTTCGCAGGCTGGAAGGCCATGTTCTGTTCAAAATCAAACCACCTCCCAGCAACAGGATATGGTTCTCCTTCCAGACGATGCCAAAGTTGGAAATGACCATCGAACCCATTGTCAGCTCGAGACAAATCACCTACAACGTCATCACGCGTCAGATAGAAAATCGCATCAAGGAAGTCTTTGCTGAGACGTTGGTTCAGCCATTCTGGGATGACGTTCCCTTCTTTAACACGGAACACAAGCATTTGAGGGGAGGAATATTCGAAGGAGACGACGCAGTCAAGTCCCCCCCTCCACGGCCTACCGAACCCTTGGCCCAAATTGGCGATGGTGAAATACCAGATGTTGTCGACGCCGGCGTTGTCCAACCCTCTGACGATGCTCAATCCATAGAAAAGAGCCAATCAACGCCAGTAATTGATCCTCTAGAGCCAGCGCCCAGCCCTCTCGAGAAGAAGGCAGACAGACTAGGAACTCCTTTGGGGGCTCTGGCGTCGTCAACCAGCGTGGATCTTGCACCACCTGCCCCGGTCCATTCTCCCAGGATCGTTAAAACCTCTACTGAGCCCATTGTCGGAACGGAAATAACCCATGCTGATTTGTTTAAACCCTCGACATCTCCACCAGACTATGCCATGAACCACATGGCGGCATTGCGCTCCAGATCCCACGATGCCTCACCAGGACCTCCACCAATAGCCAAAAAGGCGTCACAGTCCACTCTAGTCTCTAGGCGGTCATCCTCTTCTTCAAAAGAACTGCATCTCAACTCTGGCGCAGATGACGATACGATTGCCGATCACAAGCTTTCGCCCCAACCACTGCAACAATACGCGGCGTCAATCTCCGGACCAACAACGGGTTCTGAGCCAGATCTCTCTCGGACGTCTACCGCCAGCTCCCTGAAATCCCAGGCAGGCTCGTTCAGCCGCAACCTGTTCCAAAAGCGAGACCCTCCCCATGCTGCAACCACTCTCGAGGGTGAGGTGACGGCACAAAAGAGGAACACCTTGGCAGCAGTCACCAATGCAGCTGCGCAGGCAAGACAGTGGGGGTGGAATGCTCTCCAAAGGCAAAGAGAGGCCATGAGGAACAATGACAAGAATATCCCTGTCGACTTGAGCCAGCCCATGGGCCGAGGGCAGCCCCTTCCACCACCAGGCACACCACTCCCGATGCCGACGAATGGAGGCACCAAGATAGGGCCCGTTCCCACGTCAAAGCGAAGATCCCCTCCCGTAGTCTTGGAGGATCCGCTTGCCCTCGTGACTGAAGATGATCAGAGCGCCATGCCTTCACCAGGGAGACGCCCTTCCCCGCCCCGGAGAAGGAGGCAAGATAGCCATCAAGAGGAAGAGGAAGATAGTCCAAATATCCTCATTGTTGCTGCGCCAGACGATTCACAGCCTAATACTCCCGCGGTCGACGACGAGGCACACCAGACTGCGCTTTGGAACAGAGACTTCCCGGACATTGAGCAGCAGAGCGACACCAGTATCGGTGGCATCAAATCTGCACCTCTCGTTTCCGCGGGCGACGCAGTCAACGGCCTGGAAGCAGGGAGCTCCCATACGGCAAGCCGGCCTATTCCACCAAGTCCATCAGCTTTAGCAGGGCCGAATGACGATGATGATTATTCCGCATGGATGGTGGACGACTAACATCTGGCGCGCCAAGCCTATGTCTCATGGTCATCTTGAACACTCAAGGTTTTAATACCGAGCATTCTCTTCTTTCTCTCCTTTTATTACCATAGATTTACTTGTACAAGACGGATAGAACGGAAAGGGAACTACATAGGTTGAAAGCGCGCAGAGCAAATCTTAGGCTACCTAAGTAGGATGATTTAGTTTTTTGTAATTAGCGCTGGCGTTTAGGCAGGGGAAGCATCAATAGCATAGACAAATTGCCCATTCATCTGGTGGCATGCCAAACTTCTGTCAGTGAGCCAGCCTATGTGCATGATCATTCGGGTTCTCGGGTATCTATGCTACCAATTCAGCGAAACGCCTCCCATCTTGGCATTCAACTCGTTGATCATGGGCCTCGTCACCGCTTGCTCGTGAAGCATCTTGGTCTTCAGCTTCGTGCGAGTCCAAAACACGGGGCAGTCATGGCTATCGCACGTAACCTCTTGCAGGGGGCCGATCCCTTCGCAGCTCTGGCATACACGCAGTGTCTCGTCGTGTTTGCGTTCCGCCTCAGTGAGTCTCGATTGCAGCGTCAGCAGCGAGGCAGGGATCCTGGCAAGGCAGAAGCGGCACAGCGACGTCTCCGTGGTGCTGGCGATTTTCCGTCCGCAGACCATGCAGTTTATCGACTGCATATATGCTTCCAACGTCCGCTTCTTCTGTCCTACTCCTTGGGTCCGGTGAATGCGCCGTATCTTTGGCATCGCGTCGTACCACTGCCTCACGTTGGCGCCGACAAGGTTAAATATTCGCTCCAGGGGAGGAATTAGGTTCTTGGAAATGTAGTAATCTGCATCCAGCTGCCAGTGAGGGTTGCGGAGAAGCTCCTCCGGTGAGACACATCGATCGATGAGCCGAGCACCTGGTGCTCCGGTGATGACCACGTACGGGACTCGTTCGCCATACTGCGGCTCTGCTCTGGCATCTTGCAGCATCTTCCTTGCGCTAATCATGGCTCCCGCAGGTGGTAGGCCGTTCTCAGCGTAGGAACCGAGACGGACTTCTTTGGCAAAGCAAAAGTCTTGAATCGAGACTTTGCCACGCATCATCTTCACGCATTGTTTCTGAAAGTAATCCTTGACTTGGCTCAGGTCCGCCGTCTCAAAGAGGAGCCTCAGCGCCTTCTCTTCAATTTTCTGTTCCGCGGGAGTACCGTCACGGCGCACGGTTTCTATGCCTTTGGCGTCAAACTCGGGCTTTGTCTGATCCTTGCTCTCGTACTTGTACCCAACATAGCGTTTCTTGGCAAGCAGGACGCAAGGATGGTAGACCTTTTCAAATTTGAGCTTGATTGGTTTGGGGTTCCTTTCCGTGATGGCCTGGGCAATCTCTTGTCCGATGACGAATGCCTCGTCTCTTGATCGCCCTTTGAGGTAGATGAAGAGGCTGTCAGTATCTCCATACACCACCTCGGCGCCCCATCGTTCCACCGAATGGATATAAGCAGTGGCTCTCTCCAGCGTCTCGCGGCCAGTTTGCACAATGCTATCCGCAATTTCCGAGCACGGCATCCGACCCGAGAACGAGGCCGACGTGTAACCATAGGTTACGTTGGCGAGCAACTTCAAGGCAAGCTGCCTGTTGTTCAACAGCTGCTGAAGAGCTTTATCATCTTTGTCTTGCTTCATTCCGCTCTTGACCATTATTCTCGTCTCCAAGATTTCCGTCAACATTTTGGCGAGCAGAGATCTCCGAACCTCGGGCTTCACAAACATCATCCCGTTTGGAGCGATATTGATGTGGTCTTCCAACAAACTCAACAGGCCATCTTGTCTTTTATACTCGGCGAAACCCATCTTACTTTTACCGCGCCAATCCGTAATCCGCCCCAAGAAAGTCGAATAGCAATAATTATACGCAATCATAACGCTAGGGTACAGACTTTGGAAATCAAGCACAAGCAGAGGGCTGCTGTAAAAGGCACTCTGAGGCTCCATTACCAATGGCAAGCACTCGAGAGCATTCTGTTGGCCAACTTGCTTTCGACTCGGAGAGACCAGTATAAAGTTTTCCGGCTTTGCAATCCTAAACATGATGGATTCCACCTTGAACTGCGAGCCACGGGAAAACACGGAGAAGAAGTCGACGCCAAGAAGCCTTGCTTGCTCGCTGGTCCTCGAGATTAGTTCGTTGGATTCAAGAATCTCCAGGTCCAGTCTGCTCCGTGTCCGGTAGTATTTCAGAAGCCTGTTCAAGTCCTGGGCTTTGCCGCTGCGATGCCAGGACGTGAGAGACTTCCACGAATAATGTGGTATTCGACGCTGCAAAAGATGCCACACCACATTTTCCATGGTATACTGGAGAAGATTTACTTCACCACGCATGGCTCTCCATATATTGATCATGTGCCTTCCCGTTACCCGAATCGTCGAAGTCGTGTTGAAGCCCCATTGATCACTGTCTTTTCCAAAACGCCCTTTTGACTGTGCCTTCATCCTGGAAAATTCATTGCAAAGATCGTAGTCATATTTCAGCCTTCCCCGTTCAATCAGGTAGCCCCATGAGCCCCCGTGGACTTCGTAACCAGTAAGTATATCTGGGTCATAGAATCTGACAATCTCAACCATTCGATTAAGTAGATCCAACTCTGATGACTCTTGAATGACTTCATCCGGCACCGCGTTTCTCACTTGGCTAGCTAGAACATCGTCGCGGGAGAGAACAAGAATCCCAGACTTGGATGATCCTGGCAATTCACGTTCAGCGCTACCCATTGCCTCATCGTCTTTCCAATGCCAAAAAATGCACTGGATCTCGTCCTCCTCAGGATTGGGGACGAAATTCCCTCTTGTATTTACATGGATTTCGAGGCTCATCGTGCTCATGTATTGAGCCTCATGCGGTACGGCCGACGAGGGCTGTTTTTGGCTATATTTAAAGTCGTACTTGGATTTTGGCGTTGGCCCGTCTATCTGAGAGAGCCATGGGCGGCTCAGTCTTGGTGTGGTCTTTGCGACGCTGGCGGCATCATTCTGAACCAGCCACCCGGCAACTTCTTCATACGAAGGAGGGGATTGCGCAATCTCCCAGCTTCTCCACGAGCAAAGTTTCCTCAGCCGCTGATCATCTTGCCGCATGCGGGCTTTCTGGGAGAGACCCGTCTCAGCATTTTGACTCCAGACTTGTGAAGAATTGCCGGTTGGGTCAAACTCGGGTAGGAATGGCAGGGTATCACTGATGAGCTGAAACTCCTTGCCAGCATATTCCCGTCGCCGTAATGAGAGATCTCCCTCGTTGCTATAGAAGGCATCCTGGTATATGACTTCGGGAAGGTTATGTTCGCTATTCCAGGTAAAATCGGCGGCGGAGGGCGGAGGAATAGCATAAGTCACAACGTGGCCAAATGCCTTGGATCCCTCCTCCTTGAAATCGCGCTGCGATAACCTAGAAATGTTGGTAGATTGGGACAATTCAGGCTGTGATTGGTAAAGAAAGCTTGGTTCATCCGCGCCTGTTAAAAATGGCGAAGATTTCTCCGGAAATGCAGCAATATGTTTGGCCTTTTTGGCAAAGTTTTCGTTGGATGGCCACGATGCCGTCCGTTTGTTCACTGCTTTGATCCCCTGACTGGTCACAGCCCTCCCGCCACGTTTATAGGTGAGCTGATTGCGCTGCGCAGCTTCAACAAGCCTAGATGGTAAGGGGATTCGTGGAATGTGGCCAGTTGAAAGACCGCTTTCAGCAATCCCTAGAATCCTCGTGTTAAATCTCGCAGTTTCAGGCTTTTTGCTGAATTCGACCTTGACCTTTGTGGGGTTAAGCAACAAGTGGTCGACATTGTTCATTGGCACATCCCCATGCTCCTGTCCAAATTCTTGTTCTAAATCGGATATATCCAAATCAGTTGCGAGCAGATCATCTTCATTTACCTGAGATAGCTGAAGCTTCACTTCGTCGACCTCAATACTGCTACTAGGATCCTTGTTTGGCTGTGCTGCACTTGGAGTAAGCCCAAGTATAGGCAATATATTAGAAGGGTGGAGATCTTCAACAGCCTGTAACGCTGTTTTAATGGAGCCTTCGTGGAGTAACGGCTTCAAAATGGTATCCAGGTTTAATTCTGACTCGTGGCACTGCTCTCTTTCTTTGGAAATCAAGAAATCCACCTTTTGGCGATACTCTTCCTCATGCATCCAAGCCTGCAGTTGGGACGATCGAGAGTCCGCCGCTGACATCGACACCAGGGCCTCTCGTGGAAAAGAGGACCCGAAATGCTGGGTAAGCATCTGGCCGGATGAAAGTTGACGTTGGCGCCTTCGAGCCTCGGCCTTCCAAAGTCCAGCCATACTGGAGACGAGTTTGACATCCCCAGCTGGGGGATTGATAAACTCGTTAAAGTCGTGGTGAAGTCGTCGCTCCTTGACCTTTCCTCTATTGGCAATGCTTTGGGCAGCGATATCGACTTCAATCGAACAATAGCTCTCTCGCGGGAGCGTGAGTTCATTCGTCACAAACGCAGCTGGAACAGTGTGCTCATTCCAAAGATGCGAAGACGTGGGAGTATTCGCATCATGTGCAGGAACTGGAAATCTGAAATATGTTTGCGACGATTCGATGTAATCACATCCATATAGGTTGTAGTCGACCATGAACTGGAGGAGATACTGGAGATGTGCCTCATAGGGCTGAAACTTTCGCTTCAAGATGACGCCTTGCTGAAGCAGGTCCGCCAACCTTGTCATCACAAGAGGATTGAACATGTAGATCTTGAGGAAGGGCTTATAGCCGACAGAGTATCCGAAAAATGGTATTCCTTTCACCAGCGTAATTCGCGCAACAAACTTCACCTTGTCTCCATATTGGTCGCGTCGGTAACTTATGCCTAGTGCATGATCAATGGAGAGATGGAGGCGATATATAAACGCCCCAACTATAGACGGCATCTTTTAGCAATAAGTTAGACGGACGTCACACCGCACAGCTCACCTGCATCTTGATTCAGGTTGCCATCGTATTCCACATATAGATAAGGGAACACTCCGTGCACATGAGCGCAAACCTTCTGGCCGAACTCGGTTGAGCCAAATATCCGAATGACGGGGACTCTGGTGGCATTCAAGGGCGGGGGTTCCTGGACGTCATTGCGAAGCGGCGGATCATGCCTGCTTGGTAGAGCTTGATAATGATCAATACAATTCAGACGAAGGCGGAACAAGCCCATTCTTCTCGGCGAACAGATCCATAAGACTACGCTCGACTCGAGAACAGCCGGAGAGTGGACGATTGCATTGCTTCGCGGTTATCGCAAGCTCATGGAAGAGGCGTGTCAAACTCGCGTCATTGGTGGGGGGTTCTCAAGCGCGTGATCACGTGTAGATAACAGCCTATCAATCCGCTTGACTGACATTCGGGATGTTTTGTTTTGCGATCAAACTCAACCTTCTTTCTCATCCCTGTAACGATTCCTCGCAAAGCCAATAAATACATCACACGCATCATCCCACTCCCTTCAGTTGCACCTTGAATCTTGCGAAAAGAATCGGCCTTGCTTCCACATCAACGCTCTTTCAAGAACCATGCCGCCGCCGCCGCCTCGAAAATCGGAGACGGGCGCCGCCTCCAAGGAGGAAAACATTTACATCCCGTCCTTCATTAGCAAACGGCCATTCTATGCCGGCGAAGAAGGAGATGACAATGACTATCTCAAGCATCAGCGTCGCGAGGAAAAGAACGAAAAGTCACAATGGTACGATCGTGGGAAGAAGGCTGGACCAGCCGCGACAAAGTACCGAAAAGGCGCCTGCGAAAACTGCGGTTCGATGACACACAAAGCCAAAGACTGTCTGAGCCGACCACGAGCAAAAGGTGCCAAGTGGACGGGCAAAGATATTCAGGCAGACGAGATTATCCAGGATGTCAATCTTGGGTGGGATGCAAAACGAGATCGCTGGAACGGGTACGATGCGAGAGAATATCGCAAAGTAATCGACGACTATAACCAAATGGAGGACCTACGGAAACAAGCCAAAAAGACTACCGATGGCGACGACGACGACGAGAAGGATGACGGCGATAAATACGCTGAAGAAAACGACATGAGCAAGCATCAAAGCACGGCAACCAGACAACTTAGAATACGAGAAGACACTGCCAAGTATCTCCTGAATCTTGACTTGGAGTCCGCAAAATATGACCCCAAAACCAGAGCACTCGTCAATTCGGGCGCGACGGCAGACAAGGCAGCCGATTTGTTTGCAGAAGAAGGCTTCATGAGATCCTCCGGTGATGCTGGTGACTTTGAAAAGGCGCAAAGGTATGCGTGGGAAGCTCAAGAAAAGAGTGGTGATACATCACAACACTTGCAAGCCAATCCAACGGCCGGCGCCTTCTACCGTAAGAAGCAGGCAGAAGAGGCAGAACAGAGACGCACGGAGCGGGAACAAAAACTCCTGGACAAGTACGGGAGCGATGGGCATAAGTCAATGCCGGCCGCACTGCGCAATATGGCCATTGCGGAATCTGAAACATTTGTTGAGTACGATGAGGCCGGCCTTATCAAGGGAGCCCCTCTCCGGAGCGCAAAATCCAAGTACGTGGAGGATACCCTGATCAACAACCATACGTCTGTTTGGGGCAGTTGGTGGTCCAATTTTAAATGGGGTTATTCATGTTGCCATTCGTTCATCAAGAACAGCTATTGTACTGGCGAAGAAGGCAAAGAAGCATGGGAAGCTGCCGAGCGTCAGCGATTTGGTGCGCCTGTATTGGATCAGGAGGCTGAACCGGTGCCTACGGAGAAGGAAGAGCCTGAACCAGAATCAGCGACCCAGAGCGCAAAGACCAAGAAGCGTACGCAGGCAGAGATGATGAATGGAGTCTCAGAGGCCGAAATGGACGAGTACCGACGGAAGAGAACGGTTGCCCAGGATCCAATGGCAAGACTGCTGGGCAAGGACGAGCTCTTAAGCTGAGGGACATCACTTTGTACATATATTTAATTATCACGTATTAGCGATCTTTTTGCATATACATGCTTCTTCACAAAACCAATGCTACTGCCAGACACTTTACGGACATCAGTATGCACTCGGTTCACAGTAGACGTGGGATTTCATTTTCACAAAAGTCAAGTCAAATCCCTGTGGCAATTACGTTTTCATGTTTTTTTTTTTTAAATCATTCCATTGTATCCTTTGGCCAACGCCGAAAGCTAGGAAGAGAAACCTTTTTTTCCCTGCTTGTGATATCCTTCAACCACCAGCTTCGTATGCAGGAGAGTCATTAGCACAATATGTGTATGCATTTACTCGTCATCCTCCTCCTCCTCTCCATCCTCGCCCTTCTCGGCGGCCTTGGCCTTCTTTCTGCGGACACGGCCAGCACGGCCGCTGCCGAATGGTGAGGTCAAGGCGAAGTCAATGTGCTTCTGGGAGTCGAGACGGACAATGAAAGAGGGAACATTGACGATCTGCTTGCCGACGCGGATGTGGCGCTGGCGGATCAGAACACGGGCGTGGTGGATGGACTTGGCGAGACCGAGCTTGTAGACGCAGGTCTGCAGGCGGCGCTCCAAGAAATCCTCAATCTTGAGGGCGAGCACGTAATCGAGCTTCATGCGAGACTCGTCGAGGACACCGACACGGACGAGACGGCGAATCAGGGCATTGCCTTCGAAAAGTCGCTTGGGGTCCTTCTCGTCGAGGGTAAGAAGCTGACTGCAAAGAATTGACCATTAGTTGGAGGGAACACTTTGAGGTGGCTACGACAGCAGAAAAAAAAAACTTACCGGGCAGCACGACGGATCTTGGACAGAGTCAAACCGACTCGCCAGACCTCACGCTTGTTGCGCAGGCCATATTCACCGACGAGCTTCAGCTCCGAGTCCCTGGTGAAAACATGTCAGTTTCCTTGTCACGATCGACTTGAACAGAGCCATGCTCTAAGTTCAGTGGCCGGTGAATACTGACAGACGAGCAGACTCGAAGGGTCGACGAGGGACACGCGAGGTCTTGGAATGCGCACGGGGGGCCATTCTGTATTACAGTCAGAGATTATGACTTGGATCGTCTGAATTGGGATTTCTCAAGACTCACTTGACTTGCTTCCTGGAGTGGTGGCTGCTGGTGAACTTTTGCGCAGGTGATCTCGAAAATCATCAAGGTTGTGTGGATAGGAAATTTGGCGCCCGAGAACTTACCCACGTGACCGCCCGCACCGAGCCCTAAGCCGGGCTGCATGTGCCATTTCCACCAAATCCCACAAGCCTGCCCTATCACCACGGCGGAAAAAAAAAATTAAGTGGATTATCTAAGCATATTCGCTTCCACACGCCGTGCGTAATTTCACCACGCCAAATTAGCAAAGCTTCAACTCCATCCCTCGTCAATCCTCGAACGAATATCGACGGCAATCAGGCGCCATGGGTCACTCTTACGGAAAGCGGGCGGGCACCCGAGTTGGTCTATCCCATCTGTGACGGAGCGGTCTTGTTGAAGACAGTCGTTGCTAACGGGTTTTGCAGTATGCCTTCAGCAGGGACTTCCGCCAAAAGGGCATGATCGCCCTGAACACCTACCTGAAGGTGTACCAGTGAGTGCAGCCCGAGAAAATCTCTGGCGCTTCGAACCAAGCCAGCTAACAATTGCCCAGCGTCGGTGACATTGTCGACATCAAGGCCAACGGTGCTGTGCAGAAGGGGTAAGGAAGCCTTTCTATTTGGGAGAGTCTGGGACATGGGCGAAATTTCGCGAGGAAACTAACACACTTGGCAGTATGCCCTACAAGGTCTACCACGGCAAGACTGGCGTTATTTACAACGTCGCCAAGAGCGCCGTCGGCATCATCATCTACAAGAAGGTCAAGCACCGCTACATCGAGAAGCGCATCAACGTCCGAATCGAGCACATCCAGCCCTCTCGATCCCGTGAGGACTTCATCAAGCGAGTCAAGGCGAACGCGGCCGCCAAGAAGCAGGCCAGAGCCGATGGCGTTACTGTCCAGGTTAAGCGACAGCCTGCTCTCCCCCGGGATGCCGTCACAGTCTCTCTGACTGACAACCCCCCTGAGACTGTTGTCCCTCTGGCATACGAAACCACTATTTAAAGGAAGGGTCGGCGTGGTGCTTGCTTCGGTTTTTCTTAGGGTGTTGCGTTCGGACGGAAAAGAACTCAGCATGTGACCAAGGTCTGCATTTTTTTTATTTGATGTTCATAGCAAATGAGACAATATGACATCGACAAAGAGTGCATTCATTCTCCGTGAATACTCCTCTTGGAAGAGTCGAGTATCCAAATACCTTGTACAAGTTATGCAGTGTCCCCTCGTCGATGCCGTGGTGACTGGCTTGGTTTTTGGATGCGTTGGGGACTGATGTTGAAGATACAACCTAATAGACTTGGTGATCATATGGCAATTTAACATCTGTCAAGCTTGAACTGTGAAAACGGTGTATCATTGAGCTTTACGCTGGCCGTGTAGGTAAAGCATGTCACTTCCTTATCCGAGCAGTCACTCTTTGTGACGCCATTATGGGTATTTTTCTTTGTTCCCTGGTTTAACAGCTGGATCCGCGAGTGTACAATGGAATCTTGTTCAACCACATCGTGCCTTTTCATTAGGTGTATTACGTGAATTGCAATGCCAATTGGGCTGTATTGTTCCAATGCTGTCTACCTTGCAGGCCATATACATCAATAGACTGTTCCAATGACGGCCTTGTTATGAGTGAGATGAAGAAGGATATACACTTGATACCATGTAGTTTATTACTTACCTATTTTTCTACCAGCGCTGCTATATACTCGAGACTCTAAATCCCAAGACATTTGTCAATCAGACCCTAGTCCCGCACCGAAATATCACGGTGCAATTTCCATCCCAAGAACACATTCCCCCCTCCTCTGATAATCGGCTCACATACTGATCTGATCCATGATACTATTACCTAGTACCTATGTAGCACCCAGTAGTAAATTACCCTGGAAGAACAAAGAAGGTAAATCTTATGGCAGGATTATGTAATTTTGCATCCAAGCACAAAGGCGCAACCTCCTGATGTTTGATGAAAGAAATCGGATTAACATTAACACCGCCTCGCCCAGGTAATTAATGGCCCGCTAAGCCCCACATGGTGACGATGCTCGCCTGTCCGCAGCTGCAATCGCATTCGTCTCGTCTTCCCTTCATTCCGAACTGGCCATAGTTCTGCCTCTCTGCGTGCTGAAGATTGGGCCATCATCTTTCTGGCCAGGGACGGTTCGGCTCTCCGGAACCACTGCAGATTACAGCCTCACCGGCCCCGGTTCTTTGACCTCCAGCGCCTTGAGTGCGCGCTCTTGCGACTGCTGCATCGTGTGCCTCCTATCCAAGCTCCGCCGCCGAGCTCTTTGAGCTGTATTACGCCCACCATGGCCTCCATACGCACCACCGAGCATACCAAGTTTGTCTCGCCCTTTCGTCTAGATATGGATTCATCTGTTTAAGATGACACCTGCTTATCTGTGTCCGTCACACCAACTAGAACCGATCAGGAGCTTGCCGTTAGCATCAAGAAGGCTACCAACCCCGATGAAATCTCCCCCAAGCGCAAACATGTGCGAGCGTGTATCGTCTATACGTGGGATCACCGGACCTCGCAGCCCTTCTGGGCAGCCATGAAGGTGTAAGTTGACTTGGGGCGCCCATGGTTTGCGGTAGCTTGTGCTGATTACGACACCTCGTCTCCATGCAGCCAACCCATTCTTGCCGACGAAGTCCAGACATTCAAAGCTCTGATCACTGTTCACAAAGTTCTGCAGGAGGGCCATCCTTCGGCTTTGAAGGAAGCAATGGCCAACCGTTCGTGGATCGATTCCTTGAACCGCGGAATGAGCGGAGAAGGAGTTCGAGGATACGGGCCTTTGATTCGCGAATACGTATACTATCTCCTTGCGAAGCTATCTTTCCACCAACAGCACCCAGAGTTTAACGGCACTTTTGAGTATGAGGAGTACCTCAGTCTGAAGGCCATCAATGACCCGAACGAGGGATATGAAACCATCTCTGATCTGATGGTGCTGCAAGACAAGATAGAGCAGTTCCAAAAATTGATCTTTTCGCATTTCAGAAATGTTGGAAACAATGAGTGTCGAATTGCGGCTCTGGTGCCCCTGGTTCAGGAGAGCTACGGCATTTACAAGTTCATTACCAGCATGCTGCGCGCCATGCACTCGAGTGAGTCGAAGACTCCCATCTGCAGAGAACGAGTACTGACCTGAGTGTAATAGTCACTGGCGACGATGATGCACTGCAACCCCTCCGTCAGCGGTACGACGCTCAGCATTATCGCTTGGTCAAATTCTACTACGAATGTTCCAATCTTCGATACCTGACAAGTCTCATCACGATCCCCAAACTGCCGCAGGATCCACCGAACCTCCTTGCCACCGATGATGATGCTCCGGCCTTGCCCGCTAGACCAAAGCAAGAGATCGAGCGCCAGCCATCTCCTGCGCCAGCCCCCAAGTCGGAGGAACCAGATGAGATTTCCGAGTTTTGGAAGGGTGAGCTGGATCGCCAAAACCGCGAATACGAAGAACAACAGCGAGTTCTTGAAGAGCGACAGAGAGCTGCTCTTTTGGCGCAGCAGCAGGCGCAGCAGCAGGCCCAGCGCGAGTTCGAGGAACAACAGCGGCGTTTGATGGAACAGCAGCAGCGAGAACAGGAGGCACTGCTTGCGCAACAAGCGCAATGGCAGACGCAAGGCCGCCTGGCCGAACTCGAGCGGGAGAACCTCAATGCACGGGCACAATACGAGCGTGACCAGCTGATGCTGCAGCAATACGATCAGCGCGTCAAGGCTCTGGAAGGCGAGCTGATGCAGATCCAAAACAGCTTTGGTCATCAGATGAGTAGCAAGGATGACCAGATCAAAGCACTGCAGGAGCAAGTCAATACCTGGAGGTCAAAGTATGAGTCCCTTGCGAAGCTATACTCTCAGCTTCGACATGAGCACCTGGATCTCCTGCAAAAGTTCAAGGCAGTACAGCTCAAGGCAGCAAGCGCCCAAGAAGCCATTGAGAAGCGCGAAAAGTTGGAGCGAGAAATCAAGACCAAGAACCTTGAGCTAGCTGATATGATCCGAGAGCGTGACCGAGCTCTCCACGACAAGGATCGGGCCAGCGGAAGCACCAAGGATGAGGTAGAGAAGCTCAAACGAGAGCTTCGTCTGGCGCAAGATCGGGCCGACAATCTTGAGCGCAGTAAGGGCAACGAGCTATCCGCGATGCTCTCCAAGTACAACCGTGAGATGACTGACTTGGAAGAGGCCCTGCGAATTAAGTCACGGGCGTTGGAGGAGGTGCAAAGCAAGATCCGAGACGGCGATTCCGATCTCGAACAGCTCCTGCGCGACAAAGAAGAAGAGCTTGAGGTGTACAAGGCAGGAATGGATCAGACACTCATAGAGTTGAACGAGCTGAAGCAGAACCAAGGAGAGACAGACCATGCTCTGGATGGGCAAATCGACGCACTGATCTTGTCAAACCTGGATAAGATCAACGACATTATTGATTCGGTGCTGCAGGCCGGTGTCGCCCGAGTGGACGATGCTCTGTACGAGTTGGATTCGTCCATGCAGGCGGGTAACCAGAACGCGTCGCCGACATATGTCCTATCTCAGATTGAGAAGGCGTCTGGGAGCGCAATGGAGTTTGCCACTGCTTTCAACAACTTCATCGCTGACGGACCCAATAGCACACACTCAGAGCTGATCAAGGCCATCAATGTCTTTTCGGGAGCTGTTGCCGATGTGTGCAGCAATACAAAGGGTGTGGTGCGCCTGGCGACGGATGACAAAAAGACTGATGCGCTGATGCAAGGCGCAAGGCAATCGGCACAATCTACCGTGCAGTTTTTCAGGGGCTTACAGAGCTTCCGCCTGGAAGGAATGGAGCCGCTGCAGAAGACGGACGTTGTCATCAACAGCAACAACGACGTGCAGATGAAACTGCAGAAGCTCAACAAGCTCGTCGAGGGCCTCGCTCCTGGCTTTGGCAAGTTGATGAACAACAAGGGAGACCTGGGAGACCTGGTCGACTCCGAGTTGAGCAAGGCGGCTGACGCCATTGCGGCGGCGGCGGCTCGCCTTGCCAAGCTGAAGAACAAGCCCCGTGATGGATACACCTCGTACGAGGTCAAAGTGCACGACTCAATCTTGGATGCTGCTACAGCCATCACAACGGCCATCGCGGAGCTCATTCGAGCGGCAACGGCGACACAGCAAGAAATTGTACAAGCTGGACGAGGCTCATCATCGCGAACAGCCTTTTACAAGAAGAACAACAGGTGGACTGAGGGTCTCATCTCGGCGGCCAAGGCAGTAGCTTCGTCAACCAATACGCTCATTGAGACGGCGGACGGAGTCATGTCCAACCGCAACAGCCCCGAGCAGCTGATTGTCGCCTCCAACGACGTCGCGGCATCCACGGCCCAGTTGGTGGCAGCCAGCCGAGTCAAGGCTGGCTTCATGTCCAAGAGCCAGGATCACCTGGAAACGGCCAGCAAAGCTGTTGGAGCAGCATGCCGATCGTTGGTGCGCCAAGTTCAGAGCATGATTCGTGAGCGAAGCCAAGAGGAGGACCAGGTAGACTACACCAAGCTCGGTGCACACGAGTTCAAGGTTCGCGAGATGGAGCAACAGGTAAGCCGACAATTGTTTCTCTCCTTTAACACTGATGAACATGAGCTAACCGGAGTGACTTTTCACTTTTACCCTCACAGGTCGAGATTTTGCAATTGGAAAACGCGCTTGCTTCAGCAAGACACCGTCTCGGCGAAATGCGGAAGATTTCTTACCAAGAGGAATAGAAGAAGGCTGCTCCTTTTTTCTTTCTTGTCTGCGAGCTTCTCGAACAAAACAATTTTAACCAATGTAGTCCTGATATCCTGATTGTTGCTTTCACGGCCTAGTCATTTTGGTGATATTACTGTGTATTTCGTCATGTTTTTATCCATAGAAGATGCGTCCTATCAATGGTTTACTTTTCCCATACTCAGATTGTATCCCCAGGGTAAGATTTTTTGGTGACAAGGTGTATCGATGCACACATGCTGCAGCTTCTCTTGGGCCTGGCTAGTTGGCCTCCATCCCGCTCCTCAGGATGTTATCCAGTTTCCCCCCTCTGTAAACTCAGTGACTCGGCCTTCTTCTTGAGGCCAACGTATGCTGCGGCGTAATCTGCAGCCAAGGCCATATCCCCTAATACTTTCATGATTACCGCCTTCTTCGCCATCATCTCGCATTGGTTGGCGATGTCTTCGATGCTGGAGTACTCGTCAAATGCCTTTTGGACCGCCATCGCCGCTCTATTCAGATACTCATCGCGTCGTTGGATAGCTGCTTTCATTGTCTCACTTCCTCTTCTTTCCCGGTCCCGTTTTAGGACCTCTCCATCTTCACCAGCCCTGGTTTCGCCTTCGGACTGGCCTGCTAATCCCATATTGGCATCCGCGAGGTATGCATACAGTTTGGCTGTGAGGGCTGGAGACTCGCATTCCAGACTGCGCGGCAACACAGCGGTGAGAAGCTGTGCGGCGGCTTCGAACTCGCCCATGGATACCAGTATATTGGATATTGCGCCGATTGACACCCAGAGCAGAGACATCAGTCGCGCCCGCAAACACAAGTTTGCCGCTCGGAGAGCAATTGAGAATGCACGCTGAGGCCGTCCACATCGATCCAAAAGCGAAACCTTGATAAGGAGCGCCTTGACGCGCAGGCATATGTCCCTATTCTCATCCTGAAGCTCCGATATCATCCTGCCTACTTTTTCAGAGGCTGATGACAGGTCTCCACGGCGTATCAAGTAGTCTATATGTGCAGTGTCAATCACGAAGGCCAAGTCAGGTTCGAAGTCATCGCCCTTGGATTGGAGAAACTGGTCCAAGAGCTGCTCCGCTCCATCCAAGTTTTCGTGATGCAAGTCCCTTTTGAGTCGTATAATCCCCCTGTATTTATACCAGTACTGGTTAGGCTTCCATGAGCGCAACGAGTTTTCGTCGACGTTGTCGAGAACTTCCATGGCCTCGCGATATTTCCCCTGGTCCATAAGTGCGAGCGAAAACCGGCTAAGTATCTTGAGTTCGTCATCGAACATGGAATGGTAGGTGTGACAACGTAAAAAGGTCTCACACGAGACAGCGGCCAGATGACCCAAGCCAAGCCTGCTCCAGAGAGACGAGTACAAGCCAAGGTGCGCCCCAAACATGCCCTTCATATTCTTTTCCACGATAATTTGGGAGCTTCTTACCATGTGTTCAAGAGAGGTTGCGATGCTGTCGCCATTGATGAGGCAGAGTTTTGCCTCGCTCAACAGCACAGAACTCCAGAGGGTCCACATCCCAGCTTCCCTGGCCTTGACCCGGAGGAAGGTGAGTGTTTCTTTTCCCGTGCCGAGCAGGTTGTCTGACTGTAGACCACGGATGAGATCTGGATGTGCCTGTCCAAAATGGAATAACCAATTCAGGGAGAAGTTGAGGCAAGTCATATCTCGGTTTTCTCTCGCCGTGGTTACTGTCTCAAGCATCGCCGTCATGGCTTCCTTATAACAGCCAAAGTCGGCTTGCAAAACAGCCAAATTCATCAGAGCGTACTGGTAAAAGAGACGGTCGCGATGCTGCATTGTGTAGTCGAAATAACGGTGTAGAAATTCGAATGCAGTTGGATAGTCTCCAGCTCTCCAAGCATCGAGGAAGCTGAACACAATATTTAGCACGCCATCAGCGGATGGGAAACCAGGAGAGAGAGCGCGGACTTACGTGATGTAGTGTGTAACACTTGGGATTAGGAAGATATCGTTGAGGAGGTCGTGAAATTGGTGTCGAATCTCCAGAGGTATTCTGTTGCCGTACTCTGCGTATTAAACCGTCAGTCAGCAAAAGCCCATGGCAATCAATCAGAAGCACTGGTCTCCGTGTTGTTGGCAGGCTTACTCTGCATCTGCTCAATTTGAAAGTCTAGTAGATTTTCAACGTCTTCTAAGCTGACGGGGAGTGTTCCGGTGCGATCACCCGCCAACATGTCCCCGTACACTACTGATGCCAACCTCGCAACCTTGTCGACATCCCAATCCTCCAGCTCGCCACGCAGCAGCACATTGTCGAAGCTGTATCTGCCAAATTCCGGATTCTTCCGCTTCTGGTAGTGAGATGTTGGCTGTCGATAGCGGACAAAGTCCTTCCATAGCTCGGTACATTCATGGAACGGAAGGCGTTGGTATTCGAGGCGGGCTCTGCGGACTAAAGCACCGAGAGGAGAGTTGTGAGAGAGCTTGACGTCTGCCTCGGGTTCGTCAGGATCTAGGCCTTCTTTTCGAAGCTCCTCTTTTGACTTGGGAAACATGGACGCTAGATTTTCGAAGAAATGTTCAAGTGCATGAAGCGAATCAATCCCCCACAGATTATTGAGGAAATGGTCCCATAGTTTCTTCCCGGGCAAGCCCGTCAAAAATGGATAACTGCTGAGAAGCTTTTCAAAGTCTTTAACCGAGACGACCAGACTGACGGCGCGTTCAGCTTTTGTCCATCTCGTCGCTTGGCTTGTAGAAGGACCGTTGGGATCGTAGCCTATCATATGAGACGCAATGAACGACAGGATAGGCACGACAGCATCGCTGGGTATCTGTTCCTTAACGTAAAGCTGAATGAGGACAAGAAGGCCGATCTTGGCCGGCGTGAGATATCGTGACATGGCGGATCTTGAATCTTGAGACTCCCGGTTTAGAATCGGATCCTGGAAATCCTGCGACAACCAGCAGGTAGAAGGGCGATTGCAAAGCCCAACCTGGAAAGCTCGCTCAATGCCTCTCCATATTATTGCTAGCCGGCAGCTTAGCGTGTGAGATTTCGCGTGAACGATGAACAAGGGAGCAAATCAGAGATGAATAGATCAGACGGCGCCTCTGGTCAGTTTGTTATTGACGCTTTCATGTTGGGGAAGCCAAGTATATTTGCCGTGATGTGAAGTATTAGTAGTACCCCAGGTAAGGTAGCTTCACGCGTTGGAGGGAGGAAAGCGCTACTGAGGTATCTTGGAGGTTGTCCAAACGGCTTACCTAATACAGTTATGACCTTTTTCAGATCTTGGGTGGCAGTACGACTAAGGTACTAGATCGGGAGGAAGAGGTATTTCATCATGCATGATGACGGGATTTCCTCGGAGAATCATGGCCAACTGTTCTCCTACTCCCTCGTTGTTATCGAAGTCTCAGTTACAAGTAAGTAGTAGGTGATGATAATGGCATATGATCGGTAGAACAATGTAGTACTAGCACGTAGGAGCTGGCATTCTGCTACGGGGCTGGGGTATAAATGGAAGCCATTCAGAAGCGTTGGACGTATGCAGCAGGTAGGGACACAGGGGGATAATATACATTGCAAACGAAACAGCTCAAGCTCAGTCGCCATGGTACAAGCATAGGTCTCTCTCCTCAGCCACAGTATAATCGATTGAAGCTCCAAGGGAAATACTATACAGAGCGGTCCCAAAAAGGGTAATCTACAAACACCAGCAGTTTTCCTCCGGGAGCCATAATTCGAGCTTATTTGGTCTTGTCCTTGTTGTGGTAGTTGACGTTCTCGTTCCAGCTGTTTCCCAACATGGTTAGCATACGCATTTCGTCGTCATGGAATTTTACCAGAGGTGGGATGGCAATCGCAGCAAAACCTTGCCCTCTAGGGCGAGCAGCAAAAGAACTTACAAGATAGTCTGCGAAACTAGTTAGCATGCAGCTCATGAAATACGCGGCAGGCCGACGACTCACCTTGTCACCATCACCCCACTGGTAGTTCTTGGTGCGGATGTTCTGGTAAGGGTACTCGGTGCGCTCTGGCAGAGGAGGGAGATGGCTCCAGTGCTCCCAGTGCTCAGTCCACAGCCAGTAGGCATTGGCACCGGCGACAGCCAGCGCAGGAACGACGGCGCTTTGACCTAGTCAGCCTTCTTTGTCTTGATCCAAACGTATCCGGCGCATTCGAGAGCTTTTCCCCTCATCCATCGCTGGGCGGCGTAGAAATTCGCTCAATCGAGAGCCGGCGGTGAACGTACTAGAGAGAAATCTTCTTCCAGAGGTCTAGACACACAGTTAGAAGCTTCCCTCAGACCCAATTGGTGCGACCGGGACCTTGAACACTCACCAGTGGTGCCCTTGGCGTGTTCCTTGATGTGCTGGCGCTCAGCGATGAACTCGTTCTCGGCGGTGCTGGCAAAGCGGCGCTGCATGGGAGTGCGCAGCTGCGCAGCGAAGCGCGGGGCGGTGCGGGTAACCTGTCGGGCGGCAAACATCGTGGGCGGTTCGAATTCGTCGATGTTTGAGTCTATAAAGTGCAGATTGTGAGATCAGGTCATATTCGATGGAGCTCGGCTAGACCAGGCCATGGATGCCTCAATCTCCAGGCCGCAGTCAATCTAATACCATCACGTGATCTCGTGACGTATTCGCGCAGGAGAGTTGTAAGCTCTCGCGATGCGTGGGGCAGCTTCATCCTCCGTCGTCTCTATAAATTGCTATGCGGTGCCTTGGCGGCGCATTTGGGCCTATGCGATTGTATCACAGCTGCCATTCCTCTCAATGCGATTGTTTATGAGCGCCATCAGTTGTTCAATGCGCACGGATTTCCTCCCGCCCAACCGCCTTGTCCCGTCATCGATTCACCTCCCCCGATTCGGCCGAGTGAAGCGGGATGTTCTCGTTGCGACACGCGGTGGAAGAGTGGCTAGATTGCGATAGTGTTCAAGAGTGAAGTTATAGTTCCAGGTAAGATGGGCTTTCGTATTACGACGTGGAACGGTAAGGACTTCTCGTTACCCATTGACAACAACCTCGACGCTGACAGATTTCAAGTCAACGGCATTAGGTCTGTCTCGCCAATCCTCGCACGCCTGCAGCGAATCTGTAAACTTATGCATTTGCAGAAATCCTTTTGGGTATCAGCCATGGAGAGAAAAGCGTACTTTCCAGGTCCGTAAGGCATTCTGAACAAAGTTGATCCGCTACTAATACTTCATCTCCCACCTAGGCGATGTTCGATATTCTCGAAGCCGACATTGTTGTGATGCAAGAGACTAAGATTCAGCGAAAAGACTTGACGGATGATATGGTTCTAGTTCCTGGATGGGATGCATACTTCAGTCTACCGAGGCACAAGAAAGGTGGGTGCCTTTAGCTCAACACCGTCGTGGTGTTCACAAGAGCAGCAGCAATTAACATGATACTTCAAAGGGTACTCTGGCGTTGCCATATACACGCGAAATGCCACCTGTGCACCTATTAGGGCTGAAGAAGGCATATTGGGTGTGCTCTGCCCTCCCAAATCATCGACGCAGTTCCGGAACCTACCCAAAGACCAACAGATTGGAGGCTACCCAAGGCCAGAGCAGCTCCCGGGAAACATTGACGAATTGCTATTGGACTCCGAAGGGAGATGCGTCGTTCTCGAATTTCCTGCCTTTGTGCTCTTGGGTGTCTACAGCCCAGCTAACCGCGATGAGTCAAGGGTGGAATTTCGCATGGAGTTTCTGCAGGCCCTTGATGCTAGGGTGCGAAACTTGGTCGCAGAGGGCAAGCAGGTGGTTTTGGTGGGGGACTTGAACGTGAGTCGCTCCGTGCCCGACTCCACCAACGTTGTCGAGAACCTTCGAAAAGAAGGTCTGAGCATCGAGGAGTGGATGAACCTACCCTCACGCCGCCTCTTCAATCATCTGGTCTACGGAGGCACGGTGCAAGGAGATCGGGACGAAGGGCGGGAGCAGCCTGTGCTGTGGGATCTATGCAGAGAATTCCACCCCGCACGAGAGGGCATGAACACATGCTGGGATACGAAACGAAACACACGACCAGCCAACAACGGCAGCCGGATCGACTACGTGCTCTGCAGCAATGGGCTGAGAGACTGGTTCACAGAGGCCAACATCCAGGAGGGCCTGATGGGATCTGATCACTGCCCGGTTTTTGCCACGCTAGCTGACGTCGTTGCGACTGGCACCGAAAAGGTGCCGTTGTTGAACCTTGTCAATCCAGCTGGCATGGTTGGCAGGGACGGTCGACGCCTCCGTGAATGGCATCTGAAGGACGTCTTGCCCTTATCAGCCAAGCTGATTCCTGAGTTCGACCGGCGACAGAGCATCCGGGACATGTTTACGAGGAAAGCTGGCGCTAAGCTGTCGAGCTACTCTTCGTCACTGGCGCCTTCCAGCGCCACAGAGTCTACCCCAGAAGGAGAGGCAGTGGTCGACTTGGCACGCTTGGAGACGAAGCCAAAGACGAACCACGCTCATCACAGGCTCGGACTGAGCGGCGCTAGCCACTCCGCAGATTCAAAATCGCCAACTGGGTCGGGGTCAGAGGCGCCATCCACAAAACGTGCTGCGGGGTCCGTCGATCGTGCTCAACCACCCTCTCCAAAGCGCAACAAAGTGGTTGACACTGGTGCCCACGCTAATCTGGGCGCCACGGAAAGGAAGAATGCCAGAAGCTCTCGCGCTGGCATCAAAGGGCAAAAAACTCTACAGGGCTTTTTTCAGCCCTCAACCACTAACCGGATGCCAGGGAGAAAAGACAGCGACACCACCACAAGTACCAGCGCCAATGCCAACGCCCCATTTTCTTGCGAGCAAACAACAACGCAGCCCTCCGAGCCCCTGTCGTCACACCAAGCCCAGCTAGCTTCCCCGGTTGCAAATCTGCCACTAGAGACAAGCGGCGGTAATTGGTCGGAAGGGTTGCCGGATCCAGCGTTTCCAGCGTCTCCAGCCAAGTCAGCTCCTGAAGCCTCCTCTCAACCGACGGATGCTGCTGCCAGGGTGTTTGATCCAATTCAAGCAAAGGAATCCTGGTCGAAACTTCTGGGAAGACGGACGCTTCCCCGATGCGAGCATAATGAGCCCTGTATCAGCCTCACCACGAAAAAGCCAGGTGCGAATTGTGGTACGTCTGGTTCCTTTTCTTTTTCCTCTCCTCTTCCCCCCCCTCCTCCGCCTCCATCTGTTCAGCCGAGTCCAATGACTATTCCGAACATGGCTCTAGCATTTGGCGAGTTATTTTTATGCTTTTTGCTTTTTTGCTTTCGTGACCTTCAGTTGTTGGCTCGTTTGCTCCCACTACACCTCTCCTCTTAGCGGATGCTGTTGGTTGCTAGATCCAATGATGGAGACACGCCCTCCGCCCTCTTGTTTGCCTGGACGCCATCATAATCACCACGTGTGTAGACAGGGCTTGTGGCTGACGCTTGCTCTAGGACGGTCATTCTATATCTGCGCCCGGCCACTAGGCCCCTCTGGCGAAAAGGAACGAGGCTCTGAGTGGCGTTGCGGTACTTTCATTTGGAGTAGCGACTGGAACGGATCACCATCGTAGCAGAGCGTCGGCTGCATTTGAGCTTGGATGCATCTGCGTACTGGGCTACAGGGTCCGCGGCATTTTTCTTTCCAATTAGAGCACAGCATTTTGCTTGTCACTTCAACTGTTTTGGCGGTATTGGACTTGTATTCATCCATGGTGTCCCGAAGTGCTGAGTGGCATCCGTAATATTCCTTTACGAAAATCTACGGGATGCTCGGCGGCGTTCTTGCGAAGAGAGTAGAGGTCTATAGATCTAATGTCTATGTTTGAAGATGACGAGTAATAAACCTGGTATCGGCATATACTGAAAGAGTAGACCTGGAAGATCCAGTGACGATGTCTGAAGAAGCATGCCTGAAACACGATATTCTGGGAGGCTACCGTATGTGATCATGTACAATTGAGATGAAGGAATTGTGAAATCTGACTATCTGCTGTCCTGCTACCTCACAGCCCTATATGGCTAATGAATAGGAATGAAATGAAACTCAAGTAGAGCTAAGATTGCCAAGTACCTCAGGCGGACGCGTGATCTTGTGGTGACCAATCTGTCTCGACTGCAGCGATGCCCCCAGCCTGCCTCCCCTGCCTCTTCTTCGCTTGAGGCTTCCTCACTCTGTACTTGTAGTCGGGGTATTTTTGTTTGTGATTGCGCTTCTCTTGTTCCGCCAAATCGTTCCAAAATTTCTTCTCATGGGTATCTCGCTCTTCCACTTCCCTACAATGATAGTTGCTGTGTGTAACGATGCATTAGTACATGTAAATACTAACGTAATTTGACATAAATGCACACTTACGCAGCTTTGATGCAACTATTGCTGGCTAATATTTGGCAAATTCTCTTCACCAAAACTGGCAGTTCAAGGTCCAGATGTTATGAGAATGTGGGAAGCGACTTGCTTCGCGCTGATCATTGCCCAGGATATCTGGCCCGGCTTCGGATTTATCCTGCAATTTGTCAGATAACTTGCTTTGTCGAATGTAGTTTTTGCATGCGTACCATAGGGTGCAAATGATAGCCCACAGCTGAAGGCGTTCGCGTAGAATCTTCTCCGCATCTAATTGTGTGAAACTAAACCAAGTTCACGGAATGGTCTTCAACTGCGTGATCGTCAGGAGCAGCAAGATTAGCATCGACCAACATAGCATGAGCTTGTTGGCTGCGACGAGTGCGACGGCGTTTCTCTGACGATTTCCGAGGCTTGTACTGATAATCTGGATGCTTTTCCAGTAGCGCGATTTTGATTTCTTCTGACATTTGCTTATATTTTTGTCGTACGTCTCTCGACTCTTGATTCCAAGCTCGGCCTAGGATTTGAGCTGTATGAACAAGTAATTAGCTGAAGAATCTCACCAAAGAAAGAGGAAAGCTTACAGATTTCGTTATTGGTAATACCTGGATTGGCAGCTTTAACCAAATTGTGGCGATCCTTGCGGTACAAAATGTATGCATTGGGAGGGCGTGGAATCTTGGTTGGTTTAAGTGGCACTGTAGGTTGGCAAGCTGCGACGCTTTCAAGGCGAGTATTGGAACCATCATTCATCACCCAGATTGGCTCAAGACCATCAGGAGAATGTACCACGCCGCCATTAGCAATGAAGTAACGAGGTGAGCCAAGATAATGGCGGTCTCCTCCACTACCATCACGACAATACATTACAGCTTCTCTCGTATGCTCCCTGCAGCAAGGTTAATACTTGCGAGAATATTCGCTGTTGTTATTGGACTCACATGAATTTCCTAGCAATGTAGCGCCTCCCATGGCTATCCAGCATTCGGTAGATGTTATCATCGATGCAAAGGACAGTGAGGAATGGATTTATCTGGACTTTCAGTCCATCCCAGATGGCGGCTAGATAGACTGCGATTTCATGATTCGGAGAGGATATTTGCTGTGGGATATCCATGATGACGTAGAGATGGCTGGCTCAAAATGAATATTCGCGGGTGATGATGGTGTGCCAATCTCTAAATCCGAAAGGTGTTTGAAGAAGTATCGTGAAAAAAAAAGCGGTCGTAGTTTGAGAGTTGATAGATTTGATGTGAGAATTGGGAAATATTGAAGAAATAAAACATTTCCAAAGTTCAGTACTACGAGGAATTGAAAAGCTATGGGCGATGGTGAGCTGCAAGTGAACTTGGAATCTGCATGGTAGTTCACTTATTAGTCTCTATTGAGAGCTGCCAGTGAGTTAATCTGATCACCCACCAGCCCCCCCTTATTTAGTGCTAGGTCAGTGCGCCCTCCACTTCAGTTTTCACTCCCTCTGGACCCATTCTCCAACTTCTGTGGCGGAAGGAATTGGCTTTTTCTCTACCAACAATATGCTAACAAACAAAGGCGTTGGAGCTAAATTCAGCCGCCCCACTTCCAGGTTTCTCCAAAATTTTACCAATACCCCAGCCGTATATTTATACTGGCACCCTCCCCTCCCTGTATAGGCGTGCCCCCAGCTATAGAAGTTGTGAAAACAAAGTGAATTACCTATGCGCAGCAAGAGGAGAACGATCTAATTCTACCTATGGCAAAATGAAGAAAACCTGAGCTGGCCTTTTCTACTACACTGGGTATATGGAATAACCATAATACTCATACAAAATGGCAGGCGGTTGCGAACATTTCTCGGGCAAGAAATAGTAGCTCAGAATAAAATTGCCAAAAGGCGACAATGATATTCCTGCTTGTATGGACTTCAGAGCTTATTTTTAAAATTTTACTGAGGCTGCAATCTGATGCATATGTGGGTGACCTCAAATGGAAAGAAAGCGTTTCTTTACGCTACTTTTTATAATATACGCAAATGAATTTACATATTGGGAGATTTTAATGGCGAATCTGGTAAACAACCAACACAAACAACGGGCGTGCTTAGCGGATATCCGCAATACGTATATAAATGGTGGCGTGGGCCTCTCCCCCGAGTAAAAGCTTCACAGTACTTGCACAGTACTTGAGATGCAAGTGAGTGAAAAGTGAGGCGAAACCATGGACCTCAGTTTCTACCCTCAATCTTTCTTTTCACTTTCACTGTTAGACAAACATATTTTAGGCAAGGCACACACTCTTGAGGGAACATACTTCAGCTGTTCACTCTATACTCCCGCTTCTTACATTCTGCCAAATCCTTAAATAAACTTTGGAGAATTTGCGATCTCATTACTTGAAACCGTCTTTATCACAATTAGCATTGCCAAGTACCATACCAAGTCGACCGATACCATCATGGAGTCTCCAAAAATTCCACCAATTTCCGCGTTGACAGCTCTGGAGCCACGACCCGGTGGCCAATGGACCGTGAACGAGCAAGAGGGCGATACCACCTCTCTGACCTACATAATGGGCAACGGCACCGAGGCGATTACTTATAATATGCGCCAGTGTCGAACAGAAGATGATGTTCGAAAACATTGTGCCCCATTTTTCTACGAGTATACTGATAACGGTATGGCTCCTCTACCAAGTTTGGTACTACATCTGACAATTTTTAGTTTCTGAGACCGAATATTACCATCAAAACGCTCACGAAGCTCCCACAGAGTTTAGAGATGCACAAGGAGTAGCACCCACACTCTATCAATCACAAGAGGAAGGCGCATTACGACAATACTCGACGGGTCAAATCCAGCAACCACTCCAAGAGCATCTTCTCTTTAACACTGAAGCAACCATTGTTTCACCATCTGAATCGCAAGCTCAAGCCAGTATTCAATTCGAAGAAACGACACTTGCTCCACAATCTCATTTTTACCAACAGGGCCAAAGATTGCATATGTCTAATCACGAACAATTTTCACACCATAGTTTCGCTCCTGGAACTACTGAGTGGCCATTGAGCAATGAATTATTCCCCACGGCTGTAGGCAATGCCTCGATTTCCATACCAAATACTGAATTTGGATTACCCCAAGATACTACAATGTTTCTGGGTGCTTGGCAGCAGAACTGGGCTCATGTAACTCCAAACACTACTCAAGGCTCTGATGGAGACTGGGATACTTTCTTCTCGCAGCATTCATAACTTTATGAACTGCAACTTCATATCTTTGCTGAACTAATTTCCCAGGCAAATAGCCTCGCCACTACTAGTCTAGTAGAATATCATGAACAATAAATGAAGCTGATAGCGGTGGCATCAGAACTCGCCTGGCTCTCTTTCCATCTTTTTAATGACAGAAAAGACAGACATTATGAAAGTTATCGAAGCAGACCCTTTCCAAGCAGCCAAGGAGCATCTAGGCACACATTACGAAGAAAAACGAGTGCCAGTTCTAGGAGTCAAGTCTCATTTAGTCGATGATCTTAATGCAGTGAATTACCTCTCGCTGCAATTCGCATATCCAGACCCACGACAGCTTTACAATTACGCTTACACATCCTCTACCGCCACACAACAGTATCAGCCTGAGATACCACAAATGGGTTATTTTGGGATGGCTGAGAGTGACACGATCGATGTCGACAATCCTTGGGACATCGATAAGATGCTGGGCTACCAGGAGAACCAAGGCGAGAGAGGTATGTTGTCTTGTACAATTAATGGCCCGACATCTTACTAACATCTAGAAGATGCAGGTTTACCCCCCAACAACCAATACAACCCACACAATGAGTTCTACTACGCCTTTTGAACTAGGTGCCCCAATTTTGCACGGCGCTCGCATTCTATTACGTTAGGTATTCAGGGAAGGGGGAGCATTAGCCATGTTTATTTGACATCACAGCCATAGGCTTGTACTATAGTTTGGGGAAAACGGGAAGCTGAGTCCGGGAGTGGCGAGCGTGCGCGCCACTTGGTAAAGGCAGCAAGCCCTGGGGCTGGTTTCGATATGATCTTGCATGTAATGATACCCGACGCAATTCAAACATTCTTGATAGATGCGTCATATAACCGAATGCATACGAGTCTGGTTTTTACGAAAGTGTTTTACATCGTAAATATAACTACATCCTTTGATTGCGGTCAGCTATAGCGGGAGCCCATAGACGGTGGCTGTGAGTACTTTAGTGAAGTTGGATCGCGACTTTTGGACATCGATGTCATTTGGATGAGATCACCTTGCTTGACCAAGATGACGAATATAACAGCTTGCTTGATCGAGAACATTTTGTCGAAACATGAACAAGAAACCTGCCAAAAGTGAATAGGTTCTGGTCTATAATAGCTTGTTTGACTTGGACCACCTTGTTTGACTTGGACCACCTTGTTTGATTGAGGCTTTTCAGATTGATCGCGATTAACTAGAATAGTGTGGACGACGTTGAATGGTGTCGCCTTGTTCAACCATATCATTCAGCCTCGCAGCTTCGCATGGCAATGAAGCAGAAATCGTTTCTCTGGAATTAGTCCAACACGATGCTGCTGCTGTTTCACCACTGAATCTTCTCACCCTTCCTGTTCTTCAGCTCTCCTTCCTGTGCTTCTTTCGTTGTGCGTGTGTCTTCAGCTCCATTTGTTGCCCATACTCTCTCGATGCAGAGCTCAAAGGGCCCTTCCACGCGATCCGTCAGCCCAATGCCTACACTATGGACTCTTTGTCTCAGAAGCTCCGTTTGTGGCTCGACAACGAAGCCATGGTTTGTGCGTACAAAGTCATTCCACCGAATTAGAATCGTTTCCCATTGCCCAGGGCGCTTTGCGAATAGTCGATGCTGATGTAGGTCTGTCGGCTCAACGCTCTCTGTCTGTACATTGACGTAATATGCCCTGCCATCGGACTTGATCCGCAATGCAAGATATGCGTAAGGGTCTATATCCCAAACAGAGCGACCAAAGACTGTGGGAGGCTGATCTGGCGTCCGAAACGCGGCATAGCCTGTCCGCTGAATTGCCAGGCGATCTGGTGGCAGTGAGGTTGAGATGTGGCCGGAGAAGCGTGCGTAGGACGGCGGGGGGGAGGAATTCGAGGAACGGATAAAGTCAAGACTGCTAGTGGAGGAGCCACCGATCAATTTATCAGACATGACAATACAGTTGCCCACGGAATCGGCGCTATGGAAGTCGTAGAGCTCGCGGGGGCCCGAGGGACCCTTGACGGCGTCGAGGTTCCAGGCTGACGAATGCGAATGTTAGCGACTTCGAGGGTGTTTGGCGAATCCGAGGACATGAAGATGCCATCAGAGGGGGTGTGAAGCTAATTACCTATGCTGGAGCGCCTCTTGAGCTCGTCAAAGCTCCGCGCGAGGAAGCTCTTTGCGAGAAGAGGCTGTGCGACTTTCATGATGGGCATACAAGCGTGTTGGCGACAATAGCAGCGGACGAGCCAATCGGCTCACCTAAAGCTGAGTAACATGAGAGATTTCCCGCCGTGAATTACACATCAGACAAATCTCTCAGCCTTGTATCTGATCGTGGGAGATGATGCACAGCCTTTCGGCGTTGAGAGAAAGACTAAACATGAAGAGGCTAGAGATTCGCACATAGCAGACGGGTGTAGATTCCAGTCCTTTGGGGAGATGCCTGGCCTTTCTAACACCCCGCACAGGGTATTCCGGCATCCGGATTATCATTAGTCCATCAATTTTCATCCAACCGCAGAAGTTCAACACCACCTGGACCGGCCGGCTTTTTGAAGATTGTCTTTGGTGGGATGATGACGATGCTTGGATGCTGATAATCGGGTACAATTCCTTTGAGGAAAGGCAGAAGAAGTTTCTTCCACTGTATCATCTGTACGATCCGAACCATGATCATGTCGCCCGCCCCCGCAATGCGCTCAATCGCGGCACCGGTCCTTCGCTATGGCACTGCGAATAATCTTCCGAGATGCGCCGCAAGGCCATTGGCCGCGCACATGTTTCGACAATATGCGACACAGCCGTCAAGGAGCAGGACAATGAGAGAGATGGATCGTGCAGCTCGTGCCGGCTCAAGCAAGATGACAAAAGAGCAGAGCATCTCGCAGCTGCAGAAAATGGCAAACGCAGAGTACTTCAAGGATGGAGGGGGGCCGCTGTTTCCAGGTTCGCACATGTCCCTAATTCCCTGGACGTCCGCTCCCTTTCCATCAAGTTGTCTCGTGATGGAATTGAACAGTACCAGTTCAGATTTCTACCTTGATGGGCGATCCAGTTGAATGCGCTCTGGCTAACACAAAGCTCTCTCTCGTTAGGCACATTTGTAACCCTACCATTATCTCGTCTGCCGCTAAACCCTGCGGATTTTGCGCAATATCAATGGAGCAGGCTCAGGCATTGGGTGATTGAAACTGTTTCCTTGCTCAATTTTAAGCTGAAATCCATGCCAAACTGGACGACTCGACCTCAGTGGAAAGCCCGCCGCGGCAAGATTGCGCCTACGGCCAAGGCTTTATACCAGGAAGTGTTGGAGGCTTTTGCCGCTGGGGACAAAGCGACACTCGAAAGAATCTGCGTCAATGACTTTGCCAAGAAGCTCATTGCGGCGATAGACCGCCGAAATCCCCGAGAGCGAGTTCACTTCGAGGTTACCAAATACAACAGCCCGCTCTTCTATCCCAAGCGAACAGCACATCAGATCCACCAGATCAACATGTACGACAAAAACCTCATGACTGAGCAGGCCGTTGTTGCCATTTCATCCACCCAGCAGGTGTCTCGATATGATGCGTCTACAGGGGAGACGATCACTGGCAGCGTTAAGATTCAAGACAAGGTGGAATATGTGGTGCTTTCCAGACAGGTCAATGCAGTCACATTTGAATCAGACCCATGGAGGGTTTGGGGCACAACATCTCCTACAACCTTGGAGGCGTATCTGGAAGAGAAGGAAGCTATCGACAAGGAGCAGGCAAGACGAGCCGGATGGAAGCCAGCGTCCAAGTAGCTGCTTAGGTTTCTCGATGGTTGAATGAGCGAGGGAAATTCATGCTATCAACGGGGGCGTCGCCTGTAACGATGCTGACTTAGAAAGGGCTGAAAATTGTAAAGTAGAAAGGGAACTGGGCAGGTTAATGTATTAGTATTATTAAAGAATTACCGTTATATTAGAGTATCTTGACAAGGTAGCATAGGTACAAATCCATCAGTTTGATCGCGGCTTACGGGATAATAGGAACCTTGATTGCATTTACTAGGTACCTGTGATCGGATTTCTGGTAAAGTGTCTTAAATGGTAGCCGAAGCAGGTCATCATGGAACAACGACGACGGCAAGTTCCACACCATATGACATTATGAGTGTTTACAACTCACTTTACTTTGGAGACTCCTGTATAAACTCCTTTGACACGTGCCTCTATGGGATCGTTTCATGGGTTATCTACTTGACAGGAGGAACTTTCCTGTACGTTGATATTACCGAGGAGTCTAAGAATGTTTTCTAAGATTCTTTGATCCCCAAGTAATATACCTGCGGTTCTTTCACAATTATATGTTCGGCAATCACTAGATGGATTTTGAAATGTACGACAATAATTCTAGGCTTTTCATTTCAATCTTGACGCATGTTGCTTTGGGAATTTATCACTAATGCCATTGGCAGCTTTACTTGGCCGTCCCCTAATCTCAGGGAGTGGGCTGCTATCACAGAAGGTGACAACTGTAGCATTTGGCTGTCAATTTCTTGCCATCTGCTGGCACTGCTGTGATTGGGTTTCCGGGCAACCAATCAGTCCATCTCCAATCTATTTCATGTTTCCCCCCCTCTCCACTTCACTTCCAATTCTCAACTTTCAAATCGCCCACCTTCAATCGCCATTCCCAAAGGCCACGCCTCACCCGGATTTGCGAGTCTTCCATCACCAGTTTCCCCCCAAAGCAGTTCCAAGCTGCTCTCTGAATTATCTGTTACTTAGTCGTTCCTACCCATTCATTCTTCTCTCTTCCTTGGAGAGACCTAGTCGCATTTTGTTCGTTGAACTTTATCAGGGCCGATTTTCGGACACTTTTCATTGCATTAGGCAGTCAATTTTTTTTTTTCCACTTGGCCCTCTCTGAGAAAGTAAGTATGTTCAACCCCGCGTGCATAGGTTCGCGCGGCCTCTATTTCTCTCCTCCTCTTCTACCTTCTTCTTCTCTTTCTTCTTTGCGCTCTCGCTTTGCTTTCATCTGCTTTCTTTACCGTTCACTTTTCTTCCACCTCTCGTCCACTTCTCCCCTGCTGTTCCCTCTCCTGTTGATGTTCTAATATTTCTTCTTCCTTCATTCTCAACCTCTACCTCCTTCACTTGCCCACAAACGTTGACACTTGCCTGCAGAACATAAAAAATGCCAGCACATTCTTCTCTTCGCCATCCAAAGAAGACACTCATGAAGGCATCGTCCTTTGACATCCTCCGCCAGCTCTCGTTTGATCAAGAGAATGTCTTCAATTCTGGTAGGTAGCATGCTATATCTTCTTTTTTTCTCCTTCTTAGTCACTAAAATTGCAAAGGCCCAAGTAGCTTGCCGAGACAAGATAACACGTCAGTCATTCCCAAGCCTATATTGTCTTCAGAGAGAAGAACTCCTCGGATCTAACAATTTCAAAGTCCTAAGCGACCTGCCTCGTCTGGCAACTTGATTGCCCAGAGTGCCAAGTGTGCTGAACGTGAAAGGTATTCATGCCCCGCCCTCAGCCTTGTGTTCTTGATTTCTCAGGCCATTTACTAAACTCGTTTGTCTAGCTCACTTGCCTTTCAAGTTGGAAATGCCAACAATGATGACGTGTTTACTGATATACCAAACCCAGGAACGGAGTGCAAGGCTTCATCCTCAATGGAAGCGAAAGATAGTGTTGAAGAGGCCTCAAACGGGAGCGAAGAACAGGTGTCGCAAACGGATGGTAGCTGGTCTTTGGTTCCTCGCGAGCCTCTTCAAATTGATGCCCAGAATATTTATCCATCATCAGCCTGCGTATTTGTCGCCAAGTAAGTTGCTATTACAACACTAAAGCACCATCCTCGAGCTTTTGCTAACTAGTACTTTCAAGTCTAACTCAAGCCTTTGACGACCGAAAGCTGGAAATCGAAGTCACTAAGTACTTCTCGCAGTTTGGAACAGTCTTTGTCAAGATCCGTCGAGATAGTCGTCAGATGCCGTTTGCTTTTTGTCAATTCACGGTAAGCAGAGATAGCATGCCTGACTCAACAAGTGCATGTTATTTGCTAACTCAATTACAGTGCGATACTGACGCGGAGAATGCTGGAAAACACGGAAACGGTGCTGTCATACTCGGTCGCCCTTGTCGCGTCGAAAAGGCCACCGCTAATTGTAGCTACATCGCCCCTCTTCGGTCGTATCAAGATGGCGAACTAACCACTATCCTCCATAGCATGCTTTATCGTGTATAAGCTCTCTGGAGCTGGAACGACCAAACAAGAAGCTATAGACCTTCTTGGTGTCCTAGGACCAATAGCTAAGGCATACCCTCTGGATCTCAACAGCCACAAGACAGAGAATTTCCCGCCTGCGATTGTCGTTCACTACAAACGCTATGACTCTTCGCGATCTGTAACAAAGGTATGCAATGTAATGTCTGCTGGATGGTTACCGCCCTATATTTCAGTTTGAGTCTAGCTAACGTCTGCTTTCACGATTGTAGACTTTTGAAGGCCACCCCGTCTTTCGTGTTGACGCATACGACCCCAAGGCTGAGATTCGGCAGCAGCACAAGAAAAGCGATCAGCAGAGCTATGCCCAATACGAGAAAGACCGTCGATCGGCATATTTTGGCAACTTGCCCTTGAATATGACGGCGGATGTTTTGAAGTCTCTAGCAAGCCAGTGTGGCAAAGTGCTCTGTGCTGAAGTTGCGACAAAAGAAATTCCCCAAGCTGGTGATAGGAGTAAGTGTCCATTTATACGCTCGTTCATGAGTAATAACTAACGATTGAACTTAGCTACTACAACATGTTTTGGATTTGTAGAATTTGTCCGGCCCGATTCTATTGACAACGCTATCATGAATTATGTGAGTTGACTCTGTCTTTTGAGACAGGTTCTAGACATTGATGTGGTCATCACTAACGCTCCTAATAGCACCGCAAGCCTATTGATGGAAATATCATCAAAGTTGAGAGGAAGCGTACGAGAATGTTCAATGGGCCAACTTACGGTACCAATGGCTCTCAAAGAGGAATACTCGTTGGCATTCCGTCCACTTGGCATGGGAGCAAAGGGGGCAATCAACATGGACGTGGCAACCGTATCATGACTGCTAACACTTTCATTCCTCCAATTACAGGGCTATCGGCAACATATCGTCCAGCCGTGGCTGACAATGAGGAGGATAACAACGTCTCTCCTACAAGGCTAGATGGATCTTACCCTCTTCTTCGAACAAATGCCGGACGGTATACCCACTCTACCGTTGCCAGACCAACAGTCAGCGGTGAAAGTTCTGCTACCTTTGTTAGCTTCCCAATCAACTCGAAGAATAGCTCCACTGGCCAGCTACCGGCGATTGGCTATGTCAAGGAGACTGAGCCTGAAGAAGTAGAAGGACGCATCACCATCAAGGGCAAAGATGAAATGCGACAGGAGAATTCGAGTGACAACGTCGAAGCCAGAGAGGAAGAAACAGGACCAAAGGCTATCCAAACCACTCATGAGCCAGAATTTTGTCCACATGACAGTTACCGAAGCAAGTCAGATGAGCATCTCTGCGATTCTAAGGGCGTCGAATCTGTGAATAGTGCGACAAATGACGGCCATAAAACTCTGGAAACTCCAACAAAGTCTCCGATAAAGACTACTGCAGAGCCTTCTCCGGCGTATAGTGTTGAGTCAGCGGCATCTTGCTTCTACCCAATCATTCAGCCTTATACCTATTCGCCTTATGGATTTCACCCACTCCAATCATTGATGGCTCATCCCATGACGCCTCAGGGTGGTCCTCTTATGTACAACTCGTTCGGACAGTCGTACTACAGCCCCGCACCATATTCCGATATGTTCACTATGTATCCATTGATGCAACGATATCCAACTGCTGCGGTGGAAACTCCTACTTGCGCTTCCACTTCATCTCACGGCGTCGGAAATTTACAGGAAGAGTGCCTGAATGAAGCATATGGAATGTCTCCAAAGTGCGGTCAAAATACCAGTGGAGAAGACAAGGGAAAAGCTAACTGAAATGGTGCGCATTAACAGAGCCATGGTCTTCATGCTCATCAGCATTTTTTTCGTTTCTTTCTCATTTAACTGTCTTATCAGCTCCCCTTTTCCTTTGACATTTGTCTTCTAGTTTTGTGTTGTATTTGAGATATTTGTGCATTTTCTTTTACCTTTTTCTCAATAAGAGTCGAATGCTCAACGTGGTTTTCTATCACCCTCAGTTGTATCTTCGTTACATAGGTAGCAAAATGTTGCTAAGGACAACTGCTAAATGTACAGTCTATTATTTGCATGGATTCATTATTCTCTAGCCCTTATTGCCGTTCTCTTGCAATGAACGTCCATTTAATTCTCCACAATAACAGCAGTAGCTACCTCACTCTCGGATATTTGAGACGGATGAGGGCTTATGATATACAGTCCATGCCGCCGTTCTATTTCACCACTTCATTTGTGCAAGAGAGAAATAGGAGGTACTAGTAGATGGCGTTAACGTGACCTACCTTATATATACCCGTACCTACCTCCTATCTAGATGTATACCTCCATTTTGGCTAGCGATTTGCCGCTTCGTTGCCGCCGACGGCTTGGCGGCTAATCCTAACCATACATCATTCGTGCAAACCACCGAATAGGCATTGCATTTCGTCATCGCTCAGCATGTTTATTTAAATATTCACATCTCTCTTAGAAACAGAAATATCAAGACTTGACCCGACTCCTTTTGCAGTTCTCGCTTTGGGCAACTCCATACTTACGTGCTGTCTATTAGGTATTGACAATTGGTGAAAAAATACTGTAGTTTTCTTTCTCAAAAGGCAGCGTGGTGTTCAGAATGAGCAAAGTAGCCGCAATAAGTCAAAAGAAGCAGCTTTACGTCCCTATATCAATTATGGCAAAATATTGGACTCATGACTGGGGTGGATTACAGGAATGAACGTACCTATGCTAGAAATGACAGGTATGGATTCGAAATCTTTCATATGCATGCGAAATAATAAACGATCAAACAAAAGAGCTACCTATGGAGTACTTGCCGCGTTGACTAATTGAGGAACGACCTGTTACTTTACATGTAGGTACGCAGCACTCCGTACATGCTTGGTGTTATTGAACCTACCTCCCACCTACCTAGTATCTTTGCTTCCGTATATAATATTATCCTAACGAGTATACTCTATACTGAGTCCGCAGTCAAAGTGAAGATTTAGACATAATTTACGGAGTACAAGAAGTATGCTTCGGGGTGGTAAGTTGTCACAAGAACTTCTCTTCAATCCGAGTGTTGGTTCAAATTACATGCGAATGGGCCCATTTCCCCCTGTTAGTGTTGTCCCTCGTTTACTCTAATAGGCTAAGACTCCCACCGTTTCCAGTCTGCAACCAATCCGCGCCCAAAAACAGATGATCAAGGATCTAGCGGGGTGTCACTGAGCGGTTAATATTGGCCTACCGTTGGCCATTACGGGTACCCACATGCACACTGCTACAGATGTTCAACCAACATACATAAAGATAGCGACTTGTCAAGGACAGATGGTTTACGACATTTCCGCTGCTTCCTGACCTTCCCACCTCCTTACTTGGCATAAAAGGCGCAATGAGCAGTACTTGTAGTATGTTCTCTCTAACAGCCCTTCCTTCAAGTTTCCCCAGCCGTAATAGGGGAGATAAATAATCTGGAGGCTCCCATTCACACTAGGAGACGTCCACCCCTCACATCCATCTCGATGCGCTTCTAGCTCGCCTCTTCCTATTCTTCAATATCCGCTGAAATTTGACAATACAGACCCTGACAAGCAGTTACGGTTCCTTTTTTTTTTTTTTTTCCCCTCGCGGATATTATGAGGCTAGGGGAAAGGGAAGAGGTTGGCTTGGTTATCTTGGGTTTGCGGTCTGAGACGTTCCAACTAAGATGAGAATCGGGTGCTTGCAGTTTGCACCCCAGGTGGGCGATGTTGACAACAATCTGAACCGTGCCGATGCAGTGCTTTCCAAAGCAAATCCCGAGGATTTGGACCTTTTGGTCTTGCCCGAGCTGGCCTTTTCTGGTATGATTCGCCCCATGTCTGCTCGCTGAGCTCTCACCTCGTATTGCGATAGCAAAACACCAAACGAGTTTGGTAGATGCATGGGTGAACTGACTATCACTACCCAGGCTACAATTTTAAGTCGCTGCAAGACATCTCACCATTCCTTGAGCCCTCGGGCTCAGGCATTACTGCACTATGGGCTCGGACAATGGCCTTGAAGTACAACTGCACTGTTCTTGTTGGATACCCAGAGAAAGTCGACGTGTCTCCCAAGTGGCCCACTGGCCCCGAGTACTACAACTCGGCCATCGTGGTGAATGGTGATGGCGAAACAATCGCCAACTATCGAAAGTCTTTCCTTTACTACACAGATGAGTCATGGGCGCTGGAAGGTAATCGTGGATTTTACGATGGATATATCCCAGGACTTGGGAATACTTCCATCGGCATTTGTGAGTCTGCAGAAGAAGAGGTCGATTGTGTTTTGGGCAAAGTTTCGCTAACAGTGTGCTACTAGGCATGGATATCAAGTAAGTCAACAGGCGTTGAGCTTCGACATACCTGTACTCTTCCAACGTCGTGTGTCATGTGTCGTGTGCTGATTTGCATTTCTTAGTCCCTATAAATTTGAAGCACCGTGGCACGCATTCGAGTTTGCCTTTCACGTTCTCGAAGTCGAATCCAATCTCGTCATCGTTTCCATGGCATGGATGACCAGAGAGGATCGCCGCCACTACAGTCGAATGCCCAATGAGCCAGACATGGATACATTGACATATTGGGTCACGCGGCTAGAACCCCTGATCCGCTCTAATAACGAGGACGAAATCATCGTCGTCTTTTGCAACCGTACCGGCGTCGAAGATGAAGTGACCTACACTGGTACAAGCGCTGTTATAGGCATACAGGAGGGAGAAGTGAAGGTATATGGTCTGCTGGGGAGAGGGGAAAAGGACTTGCTGGTTGTGGACACGACCAACCCGCCTTATGCCAAGATGGTTTATCGACCAGACGCCAGTGCTTTGAACAAGCCTGTTGGCGCGCTCGAACTGCCTTCTCATGTCAATGGCCAGACCCCAGCATACACCAAGACACACCATGTTATTGGAGCCCTGGATCTGTCCATGGCCCAGCAGTCACCGCCTACCGAAACCTCGATTCCTCCTCAAGTGTTGGATCCTACGAAAGGCAAACAGGCATCTCCCCTTCAGCTGATTGGAAAACCCCAGCAAATATCTCCCGCCAAGCAAATAGCGAAGCGACGAGCGCCTTCTATCTCGATCCCGCCCCCATTCGAATCAGCCAATCGTAATCAGGCGGCCGATGCAGCAGATGGCAATATTCCAACTCCTTCTGCCCCTAGTCCGACGCCCATGGCTGTTCGTCCAAGACTCGTTATTCCGCAGTCACCGATCTCGACTTCCAATCCGCAAAATCCAGAGGATAATCTCCTAAGCGCAACGTCTATAAGATCTGCACAGTCAATGCAATCAGTCAAATCCAATGAATCAGAGGTCTCGGCTCAAACAATTCGTTCCAACCCGAGACCACCAGAAGACAGCACGCCATATCCTCATAGTGGCCTTCCCCTGAGCGGATATCCTTCAAACTCCTTCCACAATGAGTTCGAGCGGCGTATCTATGGCGGCAATGTGACCATTAACCACGGTGCAGATTCCTTCAACTCTCCGACAACTCCGTTTGCTGCATCTACGGCATCACCACGTTGGTTTTGGCGACCACATGACAGCATAATTCGGACACCAGTCGTTGGTGGAGAATGGACTCCCAGCACGCCGGTCGGACGGAAAGCAGAACCTTTTCCATGGGAAGCACTCAAGGATACCACTCCCTTACCGAATACAACGAGCGAGAGCGAGAGCATAAACGGTGTTCCAGCGCTTCAGCAAACAAGATCCAAATATTCACAGTCTCCGAGGTCGAACACGTCGTCAAATAGAACTGGAAAGTCAAAATCGTCCACGGAGGCGCAGACGCAGCGCATAAAGTCCCCTAATGAGAAGAATCCCTCAAGACCCTCGTCGCCAAAGTCACGGAATGCGAGCCGCTCTGGGATAAGAGGCAGATCTGATTCATCACTAAGCCCGCAAAACATCCCGAGCGCAGTATCGCAGCATATCGAGCAAATTTCTCAGCGAGCCGAGTCGAGAAATAGACACAGCACAGATTATCATCAAAGCGGGCTAGCCATTGACCGTCCTACGTCTTTACTAAACCTGGCAAGCGATGGCCAGCATAGTACTAGAGCGGATTCTGCAATGCATCATATGATACCTATTGTTGCGAGCCCTAGTCTCTTGGGGCCTGGGACTCGAGCATACATACCTACGCCCGTGGCGGTAGACTACTACCGAAGTTCTACAATTGGGGCATCTTCTCCCAATACATACTCACAGGTGCCTGATGATGGCTCCAAGCCTGGAGCCCATGGCAACAACAGTGTCGGTAGTCACCAAGCATTCACCAACGATGCAAAACAAAGGTCGATGGCTTCTCTGATCAATCGCGGCGAAACGAAGTCATCACGCTCTGTGAGCAGAGGTCGTCAGCCTAAAAGGAGAGCTGCATCTACCGGCGCAGCCAAATTTGACCCGCAGTCTGAAAGGGCCACCTCTGCGGACTCCGTGATAAATACTATACTGCACAGCAGGGTTGGAAAGCGACACTCGGACAAGGACTCGCAACGCCCGCATGATGATGGGATTTCTCACACTGATTGCCAACATCAACATCCCCAGAACACCCCTAATGAGTCAGAATTCGAGAGAGTCGAGGTTGTCAGCTGTCCTAGTTGTCCGGTCCATGGCCGCCAATCTGCTTCTGTCAACGGCTCCTCCAAACGGCTGTCTGATCCTTCCGGCCAAAGGAGACATTCTATCCGAGATGCGACATCGGAATTCCAAACTGATCGGACCTACGATATCACTGGAGAGCAAAGAGTAATGAAGAAACCGGGGGCGAACCACGTTTTGGCTCAACGAGCCGCTACCACGGATGTATTGATCGGGGCCAAGGATCATAACTCACGTCCTGCCGCTAATGGGCAGATGGGTAGAACTGATGCCCTGTTTGTCAAAACAGCGGTCAAAAACACATCTCCTAAATCTGAGCCAAGATCTACGAAGCCAAAGTTCAATCCTACTACACCAAGAGCAATGATGTTCCTTCCTGCGGATACTTGTATTGACAAAATACCCAGCACTGAGTTGGGGGATGATGAACAATTTCCAAGCTGGTTAACTGTTGAAAAGAAGGTGCAAAAGCCGAAGTTGGGTCAAAATCTTCACTGGACAAATTGATCATCTTCGTGTACCCAGCGTGGCCTTTTTTGTTATTTGGATATACTCAGCAGTTGTATGACTACCTAGGTAGTACACAAGGTCTTCTCAGATGCCCAATCCATATAAAAAAAAAACTTGATATACCCTCCCTTGTCCCCAACCTTCTCACTGGGATCAAAGCGGCTCTCTATAGCAGTAGAGTCCACTCATCATTATGAGCTCAACTTTAAGACACATGGGTTTATAGACATCCCTAGTCAATTCGGTGCTTTGACCCAAGAAGAATTTGACGTAAAGCCAGAGTAGATATTCTATCATCTCAGAATAGAGGTAGAGTCGAAATATAGAAACCCACAACGATAGCCAATGATAAAAGATCCACAACCATAACTCGTCATGAGAGTTTAAACATTCGAAATTCCAAGGAAATGAGCATGCCGGCAGCAATGTCTGGGTATGTCATCGCAAGACTCCATAATCCAGCCAAATAACAGTGGAAAATTAGATGGCTTAATACTGTTCGGGGGGTTCCTGCTTCCGGATCCATCTTTACTAATGAGACGAAATTCAATTGATCGGCAGTCTCTGGATGTAGATAATAGGCAATATGTGTCAGAATCTGGCAAATATGATTTGGATATTCGCAGTGTTGTGAAGTGAGAATTATTCGAAGGAGTAAGGAGGTGTGTATGAGGGTAAGGGAAACACACCAGTGCTGGGGAAGACTGTTGTTTCTACACACGCACGCAGTGAACTGTGGCTTAATCCGACAGAGTTTGGGGAGAACTTAGATTGGTACTGCAGGGAATTTCCGAGACTATGCCATCAAGACTATGTAGATACAAGGACTTATCTCACCAAGAGCAGTCATATATTGTACTTCTGTTGCTGCGGCACCCCGAACTTATCTCACCAAGAGCAGTCATATATTGTACTTCTGTTGCTGTAGCACCCCGAACTTAGTCTTGTTGATGAGGTAAACTTTATTGATGGTCGCGTCACATTTGAAACTGACAGTGAGGGGGGATCCAACTTCTACATGTACTATTTCTACTATATTTATCTTCTCGCTTTCGTGTTGGGCAATGCTGAAGCAGGATATCGCTCAACAGTGCTGGAATTTAAAATACGAGCCTAAAATGGAGTTGGGCGTGCAAGGCTTCAATGTTTTCAAGAAGGGGCGTGAATAGCACGGACAGCCCACTCAAAGTGAGGACCGTTGGGGGGGATAAAGACGGCATCAACGTTGGGACCATGAAGGATTTCTGACAAACAGATGAGGGTGTTTCCGAGAGCATGAGATGACGTACATCTACCTTGATAGGTATCATTGACTTGGAGGACTCCATGGGTCTTTGCATATTCCTCGGCCTTTGGGCGATCGCGGGCGCTGATTGCCTGGACAATGGCCTCGGGGTGTGATTTGGCGGGTTTGAAGTGAGCAAGGGGACTGTCGGTGTTTGTATGTTAGCCACGTGTGTTTCCATCAAGAGGGAGAGAAGACGACGCATAGGCCAGAGTTGAAGCTGAGGAGAGCTGGGCAGAGGCGGGCGGGTGATGTGGCAGAATAGCATCGTCGCTTGGCTGATCCCTCTGGTCTCAACAAGCGTATTCTGACCGGGCCCAGATGGGAGCGATTTGGCAGAGAATCAAGGTTTACGCAGCATCGGCCGCTCCCAAGAAGCCAAATCTCATAGCATCGCTGCCCTTTGGGGGGGTGGGAGCATCCATAGACTCGACCGTTGAGACTCATCCGTGGGATTTGGCTTTGGTGGTATTGGAAGGTATAATTAAGCCATGAATCGAGAGTCAATTCAACAATAGCACAAGAAATATCAACGAGATGGCTGTTGTGGAGGCGAGGGCGCTGTTTAATCTGTTGGAAATGGAACGGACAAGTATCAGGAAAGTCTCGCAGAGAGACAGACAGGGTACACGTACACGTATGAGAGCCCGGAGAATAATTTCCAGCACTGAGATGTGCTTGTAAGTGAGCGATCCATTACCTGTAAGATTGGCTTTTGTGGCGTTGCAGCGTCCAATGGACCCGATGGCTGCTAATAAACAAGGCAATTGATGGCCTCAATCCATGTGAACTCCATGTGAGTGAAACGGTCGGGGAAATCTCGGGCGCTGTCAGTTGGCGTTAAAGCCGGGCCCGTAAAGTTCCCTACAAGGGAATTTGGAATGGACATTTCAAGCCACTGGAAAATTGGCGCCTGGGGTTTCAGCTCCTAGTAGCGCCACCTCCATGCTTTAGTGCCTACTAGGTAGATCTGGCAGTTGGATGGCGCCGTCTGTGGGGGAGCATCGTGAAAGCTACATACTTTACTTGGACCTCACAGTCCGTCGACGCGGCAACGCCTGTGTGCCCACGAGCCCGAGAAATCAACAACAAATGGCGAATTGCGTTTTCTCATTGTTGCTGTTCGGTTTTTTTCTTTCTTCTTCTCAATTTCCGCTTCCCTCCAAAAGTCTCCGCCCGCAAAGCCACTCCAGCAGTGGCGTCCCGTTCAGTCCCATCGTCCATCCCCCTCAGCCTTCGATTTCATACCCCAACAGACAACATTAAATCCGCGTACGAGTCATTCTTGGAGTCATTATCGCCGTCGTAAATTCAAGAACTCAAAGCGAACCTTGTATAAGGTTTGTTCTTGTTCAGCCGGCAGGTGTACGTACAGTCGAGACATCCACAGACTCGAATCACTCCAAGCATTCCGTCGTGCCCCCATGTTGACTCAATGGACAAGAGTTGCCGAAAGACGGAAGATACACATCTCGGCGTTGCAAGATGCACCTCAACTGGCCGTGATGGCAAGAGATTTGCAGGTGGTGTGGTGGTCAAGACACCGAGGCAGCTTCAACTTCGACATCCACCATTGCACCACTTGGCCACGTCATATCCCGTCAACGAATCTTCTTGAGGAGCTACGTTACAACTTTGTTTGATCGTAGCTTGTCCTTTTCTTGATCCCGCTTCGAATGCGGGGTGCGAAAAGACAAAAACGCTCGCAAAACACCTCATCCAAGGAAAAATCTGTCCAGGAGGAAAAACCTACACGGTAGCTCGCGCCACAACTTTTGGGAAAATCTAAACGCAAGCAATAGGGGTGGAATCACAAGGAAGCAGTACGGACGCGTATGGAGCTGGTGGTGGCAATTGGTAGCATCATGACGTTGCTCTTCATCCTCGTTCCCTCGGCCGTAGCCTCTCGTCCAGTCCATTGTGTCTACGCGCTTGACACAGCCAAGGACGTTGGCATTGCCTCGTCGTCTCGTATCTCTTACGAGAGGCAGAAAGAGATAAGAGACGAAAGGAATGGCAAACGAAGAAGCGGCGCAATATGTTTCCAACATATCAAAGGCCTTGAAACTACATGTACAAGGTCTTCAAACTACATGTACAAGGTCTTCAGACAACATGTATAAGGTTTTCCCCTGATATAAACTTTTCTACCCCGAGTCTTATAGTTTGAGTAATGAAAATTTTCATTCCCGAATGCTGGGTATATAAAGGTGCAAGAGGCCCGCCGAGATCCAAAAGAATTTCCCCCCAGATTTTGACCCTGCATACAGCTACTCTCAACATCTCTACACCGCGCTCTAAGCAAAATATCCTCAAGAATTTCCCCCCAGATTTTGACCCTGCATATTGCTACTCTCAACATCTCTACACCGCGCTCTAAGCAATACATCCTCAAGAATTCTATAAAGTCCCTAGCCAGGCCAGAAGCCTCCAAAAGAAGCTTGGTGGTAGAGCTCCTGAGAAAATTGTAGTGATCAAAGCAATAATCCTCTGCTCGATATTCAAAGCAATAATCCTCTGCTCGATATTCAAAGCAATAATCCTCTGCTCGATATTCAAAGCAATAATCCTCTGCTCGATATCAACATCACTGCAACAATGGACCGCGACAACCAAGCTAGCGATGCCCATGGCCGCTTTGAATTGTTCAAGGATCTCCCCTCCGATATGACTGAACCAATCTGGGATGGCGATATCACGCAAGCCGGAACAGCAGCATACGTCCCAAGTCCCGACGATGCACCTGAACCGAGCAGCCACTTTTTTGATGATGCCATGGAGATAACCAAACCAGCCGAGAAGATGGACGCCTTCATGGAAAACGGAGCGGGCCACGAAGCCGACAGCTTTTGTGTCGTCCCTAGCCGTCAAGTTATCGCCATGGAAATGGAATACATGGAGTTTATCCGTGCGTTTACTGGCACAACAGAACAAGAGCCTCAAGAACAAAGATCCGCGTCGGACATGGACTCTAACCTCCCGGCCCAGCTTCCACTCGATGAGCAGTCCCAGCAAGAGCAGCTGCAATTCACCAATGAGCTTACTTTGCTGCAAGAGCAACAACAGTTCCATCAAGAGCAGCCGCAATCCAATGAGTTTACTTTGGAGCTGCAATCCAATGAGTTTACTTTGGAGCTTCAGCAACAGCAGTCTCAGCAAGAGCAGCTGCAATTCACCAATGAGTTTACTTTGGAGCTTCAGCAACAACAGTCTCAGCAAGAGCAAATGCAATCCAATGAGTTTACTTTGGAGCTGCAATCAGATGAGTTTACTTTGGAGCTGCAATCTAATGAGTTTACTTTGGAGCTGCAATCCAATGAGTTTACTTTGCTGCAAGAGCAACAAGAGTCTCAGCAAGAGCAACAACAGTCTCAGCAAGAGCAGCCGCAATTTAATGAGTTTACTTTGGAGCTGCAATCCAATGAGTTTACTCTGGAGCTTCAGCAACAACAGTCTCAGCAAGAGCAGCTGCAATCTAATGAGTCTACTTTGCTTCAAGAGCAACAAGAGTCTCAGCAAGAGCAACAACAGCCCCAGAAGGAGCAGCCACAATCCAATAACTTCACTTTGGAGCTTCAGCAACAGCAGCCTCAACAAACCCAGAGTCTACTAGGACTGCTTCAACAGCCGTTTCAACCACAGGAGCATGAGCAAGGGTCCACGTGGTTTAACCCTCAGCGGCTTGACCTTGAGCAACAACAGATGCAACAACAACAACAGGTGCAGCAACAACAGATGCAGCAACAGCAACAGGTGCAGCAACAACAGATGCAGCAACAACAACAGATGCAGCAACAACAACAGATGCAGCAACAACAGATGCAGCAACAACAACAGGTGCAGCAACAACAGATGCAGCAACAACAACAGATGCAGCAACAACAACAGATGCAGCAACAACAGATGCAGCAATCACAGATACAGCAACCACAGATGCAGCCATCCACCCCAAACCCTTTCGACGATTCCAAATTTCACGCCGTTTGGGAAAATCTCGCCATGGTCAGAGCCGATGCCCGCGAGGTTTGTGCGAGGGCCTGCGACTTTGCCGAAAGGATAAATAGGGCGGTTAAGCGAAGGGAATGTACTGAAGAATACGCCCGGAACCTGTGTCAAGTCAGCATCCTGTTTCATGCTCAGGTCAAGGCCTGGGACACAGCTAGCAAACAGAATCCCGATGGGAAGATCGTCAAGGCACAACCAGGAGCGAATTTTGACTACGGCAACTGGAACTTGCGCTTTGATATCCTGTTCTTGAGGACAATGACTGTCTCGCGTGACTTCACCAAGGCCCTTCGAGGTCTACCGAATCAGTGGATTTTCGGAAAGGGGCCCAATCCCGTGCCTGGACCCCTTCGTCAAATCATCCTTGAGTGCCACACAGTCACGCTCGACGCTTTCAAGGTACTATTTTCCGTCATGGAGCGGGATAAGAATCTTCTGCCATACACGTCCACCGGGACGGGGCGCTTTGACGTCATGACCGTCACCGACCAGGAAACAAACAACGCCGATGCGATACAGTACGTTTCGGAGAAATTGGTGCAGAGGATTATGTGCCACTTCCTTCTTGTTCACCAGATCTTGCGAGACCTCGTCCGATACCCCCAACTACCAGAGCTCATGAAACCTCAAGCCATCAACAGTAGCCAGTGTCAGCTGCTGCGGGAAGAGCAAGAAGTTGAACGAGCCGGGAAAGGCCTCCCATTTCTCACGATTTACCCATGTGTGGCACGACCTGATATTGGCGATGAGCAGATTAAGGAGCTGGAGCTTTTTGTCCTCCTTCGACTTAACTTTATTGTACAGAGAGTCCCCCGGAAGTGAGATTGAACCACCGAGAGAAGGGAGAAAGGGAGAAGAGAAAAATGAGGAAACTGGGAAAGAGAGAGAGGAAAATGAGGAAACTGGGAAAGAGAGAGAGAAAAATGATTGAATTGTTGAAGTCGTGCCCCAGGAGGACTTGGACCTTTGTTTTTTTTCGGTTGTTTGGATCTTTTGTTTTTTTGGTTGTTTGGATCTTTGTTTTTTTGGTTGTTTGGATCTTTTTTTTTTTGGTTGTTTGGATCTTTGTTTTTTGGGTTGTTTGGATCTTTTGTTTTTTTGTTTGTTTGTTTGTTTGTTTGTTTGTTTGTTTTGCACCGTTTAGGATACATGTACCCTGTTCCATCTAGGTTGTTTATCCCAATGGGTTACAAGTTAGTATGGGGATCATGTTTGTTATCAAGAGGTTCAGGAAAGCTGCAACAGCTAGGTCAAAAGGAGGCTACGCCCCAGCGTTTGATAAGTTAGTATCTTTTATCTTTAGGTAGTCTTTACTTACTAGGTAGGTTATAGGTAGTTGAAAATTCAGTCACTTGTTGTGGTTGAAACGTATTGAGTGCCCATACATCATATTGTGATACATACCTGTACCCAAGTAATATAGTAGTAAAGAGTATATAGTAGTAAGTGTATCAGATGTATCTGTCCATGTAGTTTTCTCTTTGCGCCGGTATATCGAATGATGAGATTGGTGGTTTGCATAGGTAGGTACTAGTATATTCACATTGTCTACAGAGGCCGAAATCATCTTTAATCTGCCTCAACTGGATCAGCCAGATGGACCAACCTGTTGCTGCTCGAGGCCTTTCACAACCGCTTCCAAGGACCAAATCCACCTCAGCTATAATGGCTACGGGTACCAACAATCTTGGCTTACCTTACCTTGTGTAGGAGTCAAGTCAGGCGTCAGCCATGCTGTGCTGCACATCTTATTCTTGGGTACGGAGTACAGTGGTGTCGCGCTGACTAATCCACTAAGCGAGGGGGAGATGCAGTAATACCAGCAGTTGCAGCACCTGGACGGAATCTTTGTTTGTTCCATTTGTCAGGTTGTTTTGTGCCTGATCTTGGGCATGTCGGCTTGCTTGCAGACGGAGATCGGTCAAAAGGTGGTTGCGATTTGTTCGTATTGCTGGCCCGACGACTGGATCCAGTCACTCACTGCTGTCTGGAAATGCTCTCTCACCAAAGCCAACGGATCCGAGCCTGTCAGAATTGCAGCCGGTGAGTTGCTCGCCCTGCTCTGGATTCTGCTCGACGTCATGGCCGTTGCCAGCTAACTACAGCTGCTGTTGCACGCAGGAGGAAAAAGAGATGTGAGTTTTGATGTGATGCTCCGCGGCGAACGAAGAATCGTGTGTTGCGTTGCACCTTTGCTCATGATCGTGTTACGTGCCTTTTAGGTAGCGGGACGAAGCCGCAGTGCTCGCTATGCTCCCAAACCATGGCAACTTGTATCTATCCTGCCTTTACGAAGAAACCCGGCCCGAGAAAGGGCTACAAGAGAAGAATACAGGTACCTTTGAGCGACAAATCAACAACAGGTGAGCGCCAGTTGATTGCTTCAGCGACACCTTCAGCGCATTCGACACTTACTTACTATATGCACATCATTAGACCCTCAGCCGCCCCAAGAAACACAAGCTTCGGGCTCAACACTCGACAATGGCGAATGGGAAGACAATTGGTCGCAAGATGCCCTGGGGCAGATGAGCTGGTCTCAGTCCTCCTTCTCCCAAGACACGCTTCATCCCCTCTCGAGCCTGGATCCTACACTCGAGGCTGCAGCATCGGCATTGGCGACGGCCACCGAATCTCTGCCTTGGCAACAGCCGTGGAGCAATTCCCCCAGACAAGATCCTCCTCCTCTTCCTCCAAAGGCACTCATCATTCACCTGTTAAATGTCTACTTTGACCATGTTCATCCGCAGATCCGCCTCCTTCACCAACCGAGCTTTGTCGGCCGAGTGGAAAGTGGCTCGTACGCGTTGGACGAGCAGGCAACGCTGATCCTGTCAAGCATGTTTTCTTTGGCGGCCAGATATTCGGATCATCCTGAAGTCGACCTTTTCGACCGCATGCTGCTGCGCCAGGCGCCAGGTAGCTACGGCAGCCAAGATGACGGCCACTACAAGAGCCGAAAGCGATGGGAGCGCGGTCAAGGGTTTCTCAGTCAGGCATACCGGCTGCTCATGAATGAAACCTCGAGAATGGACAAGCTGGAGCTTGAAAGCGGCGGGATGCAGAGACCCTCGATTACCGTCGTGCAAGCTGCCGCCATTATTACCTTTGCACAAATGGGAATCGGACTCGGTGGTCGAACGTATTCATTATTAACAACTACGGTGCGATTAGCTCTTGATTGCGGCCTGGATCAGGTCGATTACAACAACGAAACAATGTTCACGTCGAGAGCCAGCGATTCAGATCCTTGCAAATCCATATGGGTCAAGAAAGAAGAGCTACGGCGCACCTGGTGGGTCATTGCGTATCTGGAGAACTTCATCTGCGTAACCAAGGACAGACCGCGCATGATTGATTGGGGGAAATGCAAGACAAAGCTTCCCTGCGACGACAAGGACTGGTTCCAAGGGCGTCACTGCCCATCGGACTTCCTACCAGCGAGCCTCGATGATTTGCGAGCCTCTCTGACAGTACGGCCTCAGCTCTCCATCTTGGCACATCGGATCAGAACAATGCATCTCGGCGCAAAGATGCTCGAGGAGGCGATGAATGATGATGACGCTCTCGAATCAAACGACATTCTCACAAAAATCGACGAGTGTGCTACGTTTTACAAACAGAACATGCCCATGGAATCGAAGACGGGAGATGCTGGGCAGTTCAAGATTTCGACCGACCATTTCCATCTGCGTTTATTGCTCGAATCGCAAGTCGCATCCTGTCCCGTCTCAGCAGCCTCGCCGCTGACCTAAAATGCAGTGTCTTTACCATCTCCAGCAAGATTCGATGCTTCAAACATGCAACGCCCTCTGACATCTTTACCATCTGTCACGACTTGTCCCGCCAGCGACGACAGGGCAGCGACAATGGCACATCACCCGAGGCCAAAGCGTTTTCACGGGCGCTGTCCGCATCCGAGACCGTTTGCTCCATTCTTCGAGACTCGTCGGCCGACGATGTGCCGCGCTGCTGTCCTTACCTTGCCTCTGTTCTATGGGTGCCCGCGTGCCTCCAATTGCTCGTCAAGCTATTCACCCGAGCTGATCCGGAACTGGCAGAGAGGGCGTCGCTTTCCTTGCAAATCTTGACCATGACCCTAGAACGGTTTGCAGAGTTCTCGGGCCTTGGCCAATTTGTCTTGAGTAGGTCGCAACGGAACGTAGACGTAACAGAGATATAGCTATACTGACGGGCGACGTATAGATTCTTTCCGGCGGTACGAAAAGAAGCTGAGTGACCTTGAATGGGCAGACAGCAAACCGGGCGACGACGACCATTGGATCGTGTCCCGCATCTTGTTCTTTCCAGACCACATCAACGCCTTGTCACTGAAGGAGGCGACGTCAATCAACCATGCAGAAGCGCTAATAGATCCCGCTCTCGCTCTTTACCAAGAACCCGACGCACGATTCAGCATAGGGGAAGACGTTATCGTTCAAGATGGGATGGACAACTTTGACTACATTACCAAAGACTCGAATTGGATCTGGTCAGAAGGCTTTGCTGGATTTTGATTTACGATTTCTTGTCTCTTTACATTTGAACATGTGTTGGTTCAAAGACTATCAGTTTGTTGTATCGATATCCTCTTGGAATTTTAGCATGCGAGCTTCCAGACTAATTAACATGCATGATGAAGCATCAAGTACATCTTTATTCTCGTTTAGTTCATAAACCATGGTGCATTTAGGGCGGCATGTTCAAGTGCTTTGCCGGGCAAACTGTTCAGGTCCCGTTCTTAGTGTCGGGCGGATTGTCTTTGGACGGGCCGTCTTGGGATGAAAGACGGACAGACTCGCGCTCCAGTAACGGCAGCCACAGGGCCATTGTCACTCGGAATTTGTCATGGACACAGTATTGATACCGTGATGACCGAAATACCCCCAATGCTGATGTTGAATATGGCAGCCGCCCGTGGTTGACGTCTTACCCCTCGACAGAATCTTCTCCTTACCCACGCCATCACAACTGAATGCCCGCCGAACGAGGCTACATGTACTCAAGAAAAAAAGGAGGCATCACGACATAAATTTTTATTGTCTGGAGCTACGCAAGGACCCGACTTGTAGCTGTATTTGCGATCGTAGGAATAAATCTTCTGCCATTCTACAAGGGGACTACATCAAGTCCATCTCCAATCCTATACAGACATGTAGAGCTGAGTCAATTACTGTTGCTATTTGTACGAGAGCCTCTACCCGAAGATATCGAGGCCAGGAACGGATCAAGGCAAGTTCAAACGTTGCTGATGCTAAGACGTACCTAGCACAAGCTACTGAAAAGTTGTTGATTCAATCTAACCATTCTATTGGCATACACAACTCTGCTATTTCCCATCTCGCTACTTAGTCTCAGCGAATTGACCTGAAAACTGGCGCTTGGAGTTCTGCTTCGCCGCCTCCATGGCCCAATCCGTCAAATAAAGGGGGCACTCAAACTCAAACAGGCCGAAAGTGAGGCCTTGATTCTGTACCATGACCGGCTCAGTAGTGTCCGATGCCTTCATGGCCTGGTAATGCTTCTCGTCAGGCCCATGCGTCACCATTGTCCCGTTGAGAAAGGCCGCAAAAGGGCTAAAGTCGGCTTTGGGATCGTTGAGCGGAGTATCGAGGCGCTGGTCATCAATGATGCCGAGAACAAACTCCTGCATCGTGTTACGGTGAAACAAAGGCAACGGGTACGTGCCTTCGGCAACCTGCCATCGGGGGCCGACGCAGGCAAAGTCAATCACCGCAGTGCCGGGGGCTTTGCCAAACGAAGGAGCCGTCAGAACAACAAACACGGAGGGATCGGCGTGGCCGTAGCGGATGTTTGCGATGCCATCTACGCGCGCCAAATCGTACTTGTAAGGATAGAGTGTGCCCTGCCAGCCGACGACATTGAAAGGGCTCGTAGGCTGTGAACAGCGCCACAGTTTTGTATTCAGGCGAGATACAATGTTCCATACCGAAGTCTCGCTGGCGACGGCGATTTGATCACCGTTCGGCCGCTTTTCAATGCGGCCCTCGAATGAAGCCTTTGGTATCTGAAAGTCATAGGAATTCGCCAAGCCAGTCGTCCCGATAATACCGAGTTCGGGCAGACGGAAATAGCCCTGGTAGAGCTCGCAGATGTACCCCCGGCACGGCTTTCCATTAGGTAGCGCCACACGATATCTGATGCCGCGCGGGATTACGGCAATCTCGTTGTGCCTAACCAGCATCTTGCCAAGCTCTGTCGTAATATCCAGCGAACCGAACTGGGGGACAACGAGAGCCTCGCCGTCCAGGCTGTTGAAGACGGTTTGCGGATCCATGTCCTTATGAACGTTAAAGAACCAGATGGATAGGCCCGTCTTCTGCTGAGGGTCGCCGTTGCTGCCCACCAAGCGCTGCGAGATCCAGTCTCCCTTCTCTGGCCATGGGACGGTGGGCCACGACACAGCATTTGGAGTGAGGTTCTTGGCCGGGGGCGGATTGGCGTATTCAAGATGGTGGTTCCATTAAATGAACTCGTTGTGCTCATGGGAGGACTCAATGCGATACATATACGTATATAAATTGTGCGATCGAGGGCCTACCAAGGACGTTCCGGACATTTTCTCCGTGCGCAGTCCAAGGGGAGGACGTTAAGGATGGGCATTGGGAATAGGAACAGCACCAGGAACGGCTTCGGACCCGTAGTTAAAGCATCAGAATTTGATTCGCTTTCCGTGGTTCCAAGGGGCATTGGACTGGCCGAAAGTGGTTTCCAAACCCTTCATAATAACTGTACTTATCCTTAACGGCGAAATTTGTAACGATATGCATCTTTCACTTTTATCGTTCAAGACTTAGAATCAGCTGAGATATTCGATGGGGGGAGCGGTGTAGACAGTAATTCTTATTCGGATAATACTTGGAGATCCATTGCGGTCCGCATTACAAGTCTTATAGTCACACGATCCCTTGATGACAGAAGCCACAGTCTTGTTATCCCGCGGGCGAGGAGACTCTTTTGGCATCGCGGTGCATCTATTGTTCGAGAGCGGCGTATCCTCAAGCGGCATATCATCTATTTTGCAGTGCGTCATTCAGCGGCAAATCATTCGGCAATCAAAGTGACCTGAATGATTGTTGAAAAGGACGTTCGAAATGATGATGAAGGCGTCTACAATCATCTGCTGTCAGGTTCAGTGCTCCGTAAAGGCTTCTGGACACCCGCCATTTGCACACTTCTTCTCACAAAATCCACAAAATCCACTTGCGTCTTTTGCAGGAAACCCGACTGTTTTGAATTGTACAAACTTGTGAAAATCCAATGGCCAAGCTTCAATCAAAAGTTCCTGAGCTTCTTGGCGGCCGATTTGACGATAGGCCGTTGGTTGGTCTAGGATATCGGACAGCGTCCCAGTAAGGCGTCACTGACCAGCAAGGACGTTTCTTCTACCAAGATGGTGAAATTTTGAGCTTTTCGATCGGCAAATTGTCTCTTGGCTCCGCTGTTGGTGGTTCACTGACGCTTGCCACGCTCCGCGATAGTGTCACTGAGCTGGGAAATTCAAACTTGACACTTCCAGAGACGGTCAACCAAGCGCGTTTCGTCCAGAGCTTGGCAGTTGAAAGAGACCTCCGAAATGGCGTATCCATCGATGATACCATGCGTGATATCGTGAACAGACATGCAGACGGCATCTCGTTCACTTCCGACATCGACGCCTTTGAACAATCCCCCGCCATCCGTGCCGTCTTCAGCGAGCTCGGAGAGCCGTTTTCGAGGCGTAGAAGAAGCTCTTCCTGGAAGTCACAAGCGTGGGTGTTGGGCATATTTCCACTCGCGCGCCTAGCCAGGAAGGAGTTGCTGAATATTCAGCCGATGTAGAAGATGGGAACGAGGCAATGCCCATGGCAGTCTTCGAATCAGCTCCATTGGAAGAAGACCTCGAATTGGTGGGACGCTTTCGGGCAACGCTGTGGGTGTCGTCCACAACGTCGGACGCTGACGTCTTTGTTGCTCTGCGTATCATGGATGGCGAGCGAGAGGTTCCGCATCGCACGTACGAAGCTGGATCAACTGTCCTTTGACCTGGGGATGCCTCAAAGTCTCCCGTCGAGCGACTGATCCTGAGCGCAGTACGACAGAGCGCCCCTGGCACACTCATCGACGTGAAGATGCTCAACCCCTCGTACCAGGAGAAGTGGTCAAGATTGATGTCGAGATCATGCCGGCTACTGGACGTGTTCTAAAAGGTCATCGGCTGCTCGTCGAAATCTCGCCAGTGGAGGGCCCCGGATGCCCACCGGGATGGGAGCGCGAGTACGACGCATCATACCATGCCGGCGCTACGAATCGCATCTTGACTGGAGGCTCGTTTCCCAGCTCCATTACGATTTCCGTTGCACCTCGTGAGGACTTGCAGATGCCACTGGGCGCCATCGCAGGATTCTGCTAGAGAAACGCGGTATAAGAGAACCCCCCAATCTCCTAGTCAACCCGCCGAGCTTGTTCGTTCCTACCGAGTGCGATATATATAAGGTTCCTCGAAGTGCAGAGAGAAGGCTTCTTCAAGACGGCACCTGTGCACCATCCAACTCCTTGTCCCTACATTCCGCCCTTGTTTCTCCCGCATCTGCCGTCAATTGATCCCCATAGTCACCTGATTCTTTCTCGACGTGCTGTTCAAAATACTCGTCCGCCTCTGGGTGTGATTGTCTTAGAATCTCGACCAAGTCAATTACCAACTCAGAGAGCTTGTCCAGGCATTCAACCACCTGCCCGCCGGCCTCTTCGCATAGTTGTCTTGAAACCTCCTTCACGCCACGTCCCAACTCTGCGAATTCGCCCTGGCCGTCAAACGTCAGCCAATTCGCAACCTCGCCAATGGTAGCATGAGTCGCAGTGTGAATCTCTGTGAGTTTGTCCTCCATCTCTTGGAGCCCATGCCGGCAAAATCCAGCATCAATCTCTTGTAGAAATAGCGTCAACAATCCAATCACGGTCGAAACAGAGCGACGCAATGTTTTGGCACGTTTACTAGGCAGCATGGCATCGTCATTCAAGCTGGCATCCTCGCGCTTCCGCTTTCCTATGACAGATCAGCCGAGCCTGGAGAAGCATCTTGTATGGAGGGGCGGAATTGGGTGTGCTTACCGAGATTTTGATGGGGCAAGATAGAATCTGCTTGAACAACATCGCTTGTCGCAGTGGTGCTTGCATCAACGATTCGGCCTGGTTCCCCAGTGTACAAGCCCTTGGACATTAGCACGCGGGAGATCCGTTTCGGGGCGGGGCGCGTATTTGGAGACGATTTGTCGGAGGCGATTTCTTGAAGGTCTAATACGTTGGGGTCACATGGTCGGAGCGGTTTGGAAAGTCCTTGGTTTCTTTTAGAATTGTGATTTACGTCGAGATTTATAGGGCCAGCACGCTGCTCTGCGCCCTCAACTGGGACTTGCCAAATGACAGTGGTGCCTTGTGCTTGGAATTCAAAGACATCCTTCATCTGCTGGAAAGAATTGGTTAACGGGGTTGGGTTCCGGTTGTCGCTGCCATCGCTGCTCCCGTTCCCGTCTTCATCGTGTGTCAGCCTAATATGCACGAGAGGAAGGGGACCAAGAGAAATCTGGGCAAAAGTGTTTTGAACAAGGAAATGATGAAGTGGAAGGGACAGCTCCAGAGATGGCATACTGCAGCGCCGAGGTGGACAAGGGACGCTCCACTTGGTAAAACAACAAGCTGTCGCGCATTATCCACAGCCAACAAGACCCCGGTCCTTTTTCCTCTGCTCGCCTGGATGGCAACATGTCGGAATTCCCCAGTCCCGCGAGCAGAGAACAGTCTGCGGGGTTGGCACGGCTGTCTAATTGTGGAATCACAGAAGAACCGTCTCACTAACCCCGGCGAGGAGGACTGCGTGTTGACATTGGTGCTTGGGGAGTCTGGTGCCGCGTTGCTAGCCATGTTGAGAAAAGGGACAGCAGAAGCGTACGGGTTAAGAGCAGACGGTGTGCTAGGAGGCGGAGATGATGGGATTATGCTGCACGAGGCTGTACGAGTACTCTGCAGCTTCAGGCGAATCCCATATCGAACGCACTGTGCCATACTCTCCAGTATTGGGGAATCTGAAGCATCTCTTCTAGTTCCATTCATCACCCCTCTCGTCGTACCTCCGATTATTGAAGAAGCTTCCTATCCCCTTCTCAGGTTCTTCTCTGAAGATGCTGTCCATGGAGTCGTGGGCTACTAGCCAGACGGGGAGGCGCTGCGCAAGTCTGGTATTATCGATGCCATTGTTACAGTCACGATGTTTTTGGAGTTCCAGGCTATTATCGCTTCGATGATAAATTGCTTCGATGATAAATTGCTTTGGTGCAATTTATCGCTTCGATGATAAATTGCTTTGGTGCAATTCGGCATAAGCTCCTCGCCTTTAACCTTGTTGGCTTTGTCATTTTTCATCGTCATCAGCGGAAGAACGGTTGCATTGCTGTTACAAGCTAGGTGTGCAAGATGCTCTGCCTGCAAGCAAAGAAAGAAGACAGAGAGAAAGGCAGAAAGAGTGAGGGAAAGCACAGTGAGGCAGAGCGCAAAACTGAATATATGTATATTAATACATGCATTTGGCTACTAGTTTGATTAGCTAGGGAGCTTGTCAGAATTGTTTGGACTTCAGGGGCAGAGACATGATGGGAAGCAGAGAATACGTGGATGCGCTACCTCCATCATGCTGATGCTGCTCCTCCTCACGTATATATGTATACCTTTATATATCCGCCATGCCCGCCATACCCTGGCCGTTATTGCTGCCATTACTACTGCTACTACATACTACTATCAAATGCTGATAGCAACTTGACTCCATGCCCAATGCACTGCCAACAAGAACAAGTGGTGATGTGGACGGTGTTTGGTTGGTCCCCTTTGGGCAACCAGGGAAGCTAATGCGGCTGACGGCCCGTCTCCCGAGTTGGTTTTATCGATCGGTACCTCTAATCTGACGCGCACTGTCTGCTAGACCAAGTACCCGTCGTGAATCACGGCCATTTGTACTTTTGCTTTGACCGTCTTCCTAAATCAGAACAAGATGCAGCACTAAGATAAAACGCACGCATTGGGCACGATTCTGCCTGGTGCTTGGCGGATGTTTTATCCTTCCATAGCAGATTGAGCCGCTGTTGATGCTCATTGCGCGGCCGCGACTGCGAACCCCCGCGTCACCATCACCATCACCATCACAACCGCGAACCGACCGATTCAGATTCAGCGTCCGCCCGCCCTATACTCGTCATGGGCTTACCCAGGGCGCCGATAAAGACTCGCGCGAAGGCTTTGGAATGGATGCACACTGCCCCAAAAGATATTCGCTCTCCCAAGTTCCTATGGGAAGAGTACTGGGGGCGATTCAATACAGTACAAATACCCGTCCTCGACACGGAATCGTACTTCAGGACGGCAATCAAACTAGCCAAGCTTTCCAGCGATAGAAATGACTTTGAGAAACGTTTTCGGCGGATCATCAGGCGGCGGCAGGCCAAAGGAAGAAAATGGTACCGCGGGCTCAAGCGACATGCTTGGAAAGAAAACCAGTCCTTTGTCACCAACGCTACTCGCCACCTGGCAGTTGATTTCTGCACAACCGGCAGCTTGAAGAGCATGCTGCAGATCTTGGATGGAGTAGCATTTGGTTTCGAAGCGGACGAGGTTCATATTGAGTGGTGGCCTAATGGATATCTCTCGGACGACGAGATAGGCTGTGGGACACAGCATTTGGACGAGAATGATATTGGGGAGATTTATAGGACGCCGTCTGAACCTTCTGATCTAGATGTGTCCGAAGCGCCAAGTGAAGCAGTGACGAAAGAAATCCCCAATTCTCAACATGAAAACTCCCCTTCCTCTTCTACAACGACAGAAGAACATCTACGCCATTCGCCCCGACAAAGTCTGGATGGCAAACGGCAGCAGCATACAGAAAACGAAAACCGGCCAAAGAAGCGGGTGAGGTTCACCGACGCGGCTGAAGAAGGCAACGCGGCCGGCACAGATGACGCAGTAGAGCCAGATGACGAACCCGATGATTGCAATTGGTTTCCCTCGAGCCAGCCAATTCCAAGCACGCAACGTGCAGGAGAGTCACCAGCTAAGAAGCGGCGGAGACTCGATGATGCAGCTGAAGAAGGCAATGCAGCTGGCACAGGTAACGCAACACGGCCAGATGACGACTTGTTCCCGCCGCGTCTGCGTTGGAGGAGGTATACGGCGGCGAAGGGGTGGAAGCTCAACAGGCCTGAATCTATACAGCCGGATTTTATCACCTACGGCAGTTCGTCGGAAGATACATCAACGGATGAGGAAGAGGAGAATCTGAGCATAGCATCTGAGCAAGCTGTGGCTGAGAAGGTGCCTAGGAAGAGATCCAAACCCGACGACGAGGATGATGATGATGGCGATGAGGAACGCCGACAAAAGCGCCGAAGAACAGAGACTCCAGAATCTGCTCCGACGCCCCACGTCTCCCCTCCTGCACAGCAGGCACCAGATGAGAGCATGGCAACGACGGAGGCCAAAGTCGACGACGAAGCAAAGGGCAGGCAGCACAAACGCCCAAGACGGACGTCTTCTTCTCCAGCTTCTCCACGAGCAAGGCCCCTCCGCCCTGCTAGCGGTTTGAATACGAGATCCACGAGGAGGGCCAACCAACCCAAGCTCTGGGAGCTGGACGATACAAGCAAACCTCGCTTGATTCGGTAAAGGCCTTTTCTTTATAAATTAGATGGACGAAACTCGAACGAGGGGACAAAGCAGAGACGTTGGGTCTGAGGCTACCGGGACCTTCCGAGGGCATGGTCGTCATCCTGGCAGGGCTGGGTGCAGCAGCGTAGTCCAAAGGAAGAGAGAGGAGAGACGCGCGCCCAGAGCTTCAAGATTCCTGAGAGCATGGTCGTTATCCCGACAGGGTTGGGTGCAGCGGCGTAGTTTGAGGGTAATGAGATGGCAGTCTCCCATACGTAGGTAGCTTCAGGCCTCGCAGTTTATGCCTGCATCTCCTCTAGTAGAGTTGGTTTTCTCATCGTAACCCTTTTTGAGTGGTAGAGGTTATATGGCGTTGGCTGTTTAGAGCCATTTCTGTTCCTTTCGAGTCTAAAAGGTTTCGTCCGTTCACCACGGCTGTTGCAAAAGTCATGTCAAGTTTCCCCCTGGGCATCCTGTGCAGATTGAGCTGAATGCGATTAATACTCGGCGGTACTGGCAGGTGATTTCACACATGGCTAAAAGCAGTGCAGCGCTGTTGAGTCATTGTGCAAGGATGCCATGAAGCTGGCGAAATGATGTATAAATGAGATAGCATTGATCAGAATCCAACAAGCAGCAACCACCTTGGAGCACTGGCCAGGTCGCTTAATCACCGGCCCGGTTAGCTCAATCGGTAGAGCGTGAGACTCTTACGAGGCGCACGTTCTGATGTCGCGATATCTCAAGGTTGCGGGTTCGACCCCCGCATTGGGCTTTTCCTATAACAAGCACCTGGCTAAAGATCAAGGTGGTTCTTTTTTTTCTCCCTCTTTATTTTGGTATAATACAGTTGCCTTTTTGGGTATTTTCTTTTTTTTGTTCCTCCTTCTTTCTATAATTGTGAATACATGTACCTACATACCTTATATGTAGGTAGTAATCATCTACGAGTAGGTATATCACTGCAGCCCAAGTCCCCAGTCACTGGAAGCTTGCATAGGTACCTTGCCGTGCATCGAGTGAAACGTAAGACATGCCTCTTGAAAAGGTAGCTTACATGTCACGAGGCTATTCTAACTACTACCTCGATATGTAGCTTATCTGCTCAGTTATCACACGTACAGCCCATACGTAGTGAGGCCAATCGATTGTTTCCGTTTGTTGTCTATCCTCCGGATATCCTCGGTGGCCCTACCTGGCCCTCACACCCACTTCTCCAAGGAAGTAAGCGTCCAGTAAGCCAGATCTCATATACTAGTACTTAGTACTACTAGTGAATCTCTGCTCCAGAAGACAGGTGGAAAAAAAAAGACAACGCTGCCGAGTGAGTTGTCATGGACAACCCTGCCTCTCACCGACACCGACGAATACCGCTGCCTGGGCCTATTCCTTTCATCACATGCCTGGCTGGACAGGGAATGCTGCATCTTTTCGGCTGGCATGTGTGACAGGGAGAAGCCACTGCCAATGGCCTCTTCCGATTTCCCAAGCTTGGCGCATCACATACCTAATACGTTGGTCCAACTTTATCACTGTATGATGAGAACCCGTACATGAGAGCCACCATATCAATGACATCCCGGTGATTCCGACGCAATGTACCGATACTGAAGCCCCAGTACACCGTACTCGTACATGGCTCAGCTAATAAAGCCGGGATCCATTTAGCTGCATCTTTTCGGCACTTCTGGGTCCGTCCCCCTTGCATCCCCGTGTGGATCTGACAGCGCAAAACCGGGTGTCCTGTCCTGTCCTGTCTGCGTGTAGGTAGACATTCGAGCTCTGTTTTAATACTACGCCTTGATTTATACTTTGGGCTAAACTCACCGACTTCTATATAAGATTTGGCATGGATCTGCATTAATGCCCAGGTGATAGATAACGACCTGAAAGAGGGGCCTGTTTAATTCATCTATCCTTAATCCTTCAATTTTTCCTAGCCACCTACCTACATATACCTAAGCTTGCCTTCATCACCAACGTACTTTAATCAATATTCCACGACACCATATTGTTTGCTTTGCTTAAAACCACCAATTTTTTTTGTTTGCTGTTTCAATTCATCTATTTACCGTTATTTCCTTCTACTACGATCGCGGAGCTACCAAGAGACCGTGGGTATCGACATTACAGATCGTGTAAGACTACCTACCCACGAGAGCCCAGCCCAGCCATAGTGACCCAAATCTTACCGTGAAGACACTTTAGATACATCTCCTATTGTTAGAGCGGACTTCCCGGATATATACAGAATGGGCGACAACAGCAATGGCAACAAGCCTGTTGGCGACATGGCCTTGTATAACTTGGAGAGAGCCAACCGACGTCTGGATACGCTGGAAGGCAAACCCACGTGGGACCTCGACGACACGGCAGATTTCGATTGCATGCACTACTTGGGCAATGCTGCCTTGGAACATGCAGGCCAAACGTTAGGAATGCAACAGGGACAAACCGTCGTCGACATTGGCTCGGGCTTCAGTGCCACGGGCCGCTATCTGCACAAGCATTACGGCGTTGATGTCACGGGCATCGAGCTGCAGCCTGAGATTCACCAGCTTGCCGAGAAAATCACCCAAAGAAATGGCCTCTCCGAAGGCGTTCGCTCAGTCAACGCCGACTTTACAAAACTCACAATAGATGCCCCCGTCGACTACATTGTCTCGTTTCTATGCATTCTGCACATCCCCGACAGGGATACATTGTTCCAAAAAGCAGTCAGCACGCTCAAGCCGGGAGGGAAAATCTACATTGAGGATTTCTTTGCCGAGACAACATTCAGTAAAGACGCCGGAGACAAATTACACGACGTCCTCTCTTGCCCTTACCTGCCGAGCCGGGACCAGTATATACGCGATCTGACAAATGCCGGCTTCCATGACGTTCAGTTTGAAGACGTGTCGGAGGAGTGGACTGAGTTTGTTCACCAACGGGCGCTCATTAACCGACAAAAGGGGACGACTGGGGCGCCGCTTACATTATTCTACGATACAGTCGACGATTTGTTCTCCAGCCGTGAATTGGGAGGAGCGCGCATCATCGCTACCAAAGCATAGGATTCAGAAGTAATTGAGCTCCATGCTGAGCATGGCAATGACATACCGGGGAAGATATCCGTGTCGACATTCACGGGCCCAACCGTACCACCACGTTTGAGGTATCATGAAAGCATGGAAGAGCATGGTTAAGGAGGTGATGGCGACTCCGAGCACCATTTACGACGAGAATGATAGACCTCACACTTGATTAATCTATATGTTTATATATATGGTCCATCGGAATTGCCCGATATGCAAACAGTGCGGATGTTGAATCCTCTCAGACCGCGCCATGCAGATACACTCTTTAAAACAACCTGCTTCCCATTTTGTTGTAACCGACTTCTTCAGTTTGAACTCACACTAATGATATCCCCTTTGTAAGGCCTGGTGCACAAGTCAACTCCGTGTCACTTCATAGGCTACGGGATGCTTGAAACGACTCACATGGCTGCAAGATACTTGCCAGTCTCAATAGACTCTCGCACCCAGCGCAATCTATCCACGAAATCTTCGCTACGATTCGGGTCTCAACAAACTTCAGTACTATGTCGTGTCTCAATCATTATCGTAGGCTTTGCCCTATGGGAAACGTTCCTAGGTTGCAACGATTGATTCTCTCCACATGCTGTCGTGCTTCGGCTCGTCGCGATACCATCGTCATTCGGCACGTCGCCATCCCGAGTGACATCAATGATCGGATGTAGCCGTTGCACTACGGCTATAGCATGTAGCACTGCCTTATACGAAAGATGTATTACTCAGACCGACACAAAGACGCCCATGCCTTGCTCTCAGCGGATGGGAGAATCGCACATCTGGACTGCCGTCGGACTATCCAGTCCATCCGACCTCCCAGTATCATGGCATGTGTACTCCGATATGACTTGGCCGCTGTGTTACCCTTCATTGAAACAAGCATGATCAACATGAAAGAATATGTACCCGTCACTAAAACGTGAAGAAGGCTCATGTACGACTGATTGTAGCATGTATGCTTAGCGACCCGACGAATTAGCAGTATAAGTAATCACCTTGCCTTATCTTGTAGTTGAGTTTACCACCATCCAATCCTTGCCTCTACATATAATTGAGATCTTGCCTCTCAATGCCTGCCATGGCTCCTTATATCCTTGCTCTCGGTTTTCTTCTGCTGTTTGTATATGCCTCCATCTACCCATACAAGCTACCCAGAAATATTCCCAGAATTCCGATCTGGATCACAATTTATGCCACCTACTATGGGACCTCAAGAGTCGATTTCTACAATAAACATGTGTGAGACCTAGCAGAAAAACACGGAGCAGTTGTTATTTGGCACATTGGAAGATGGAGCGTGCACATCACAAAGCCCGAGTATCTAATGCAGATGTTCCGTGACGACGCAACGTTCCTCAAGGGTGGCTCGTACATGAAAGTTCCATGGGGTCCTCTGGGTAAACTATTTGGCCAAAACATCATTGACTCAAGTGGTCAGCTGTGGAAGCAGCAGAGAAATATTCTGCAACCGGGGATTAAACGGCAGTTTGACATTGCGTATATGAGGCAGAAATCTTCAGGGCTACGTGCCATGTTGTGGCGAGACTGCGAGACGCAAGACAGAGACGGCACAGTCGGCATCAATATTGATGAACACGTGCAGCATTGGGCACTCTCCATTTACTTCAAATACTTTATGGGCATCAATTTGGAGAGTGCACCTGATATCGAGAGTCGGTTGACTCGGTTTGTGACAGCCCGAAAGAAGGGCTTCATGGGGGGGAATACAATGCCCTTCCCATTCCTGCAAAAGTTCCCATGGTTTTTTCCATCGAATCGTCGAGCACTTGTTTTAGTCAAGGAGCTTGAAGAAGTTGTCCTCGGCATTGCCAGGTTGAGCCCAGACAATGAGTCTAACGCTGATAGTAACACCGTCAAGGATCGCCTGAACTCTGCTAGAAGACACGGAGCTATTTCAGAATTTCATCATCTCTCCAACATGAAACAGCTGTTGATTGCCGCTTTTGAGAATGTTGAAGCAGTCCTCTTGTCTGCTATTGCGGCGTTGGCAATAAATCCCAACATCCAATCCACACTACACACCGAGTTGACTTCCTCGGTGCCAACCACATATACTCTAGAAGACTTGGACAGGCTTCTTGTTCTTCTCTCAGTTACACTAGAGGCTTTGCGTCTCTACACGCCCTTGTCCTCTCTCACGAATCGCTATACAGCCCAGCAGATTCTTCTAGGGGGTGACATCAACCTTCCTGCCGGTACATGGATTGGATGGAATTCATATGCAGTGCAAACCGATGCGCGGGTTTGGGGCTCTGATGCCCTTACATTCCGGCCAAGCAGATGGGGAGAGGACATTGACAGCATCAATGCCATGTTCCGGGCACAGCAGGCAAAAGCCGTTTTTATTCCTTTTTCGTCGCGGTCGAGGACCTGTCTAGGAGTCTCGTTTGTACTGATGCAGCTCAGGGTTGTCCTATATGAGCTGTTTAGCGAACTGGAATGGGGCGTGTGTGACGACCGCATGCCTACTATGTGCGAGGTAAGCAGGGCAGAGCAGAGCAGAAAACGGCTCATCTGGCTAACAACATATCTATAGGGTGCGATATCAAGCCCAACTCACTGCAGATTCACGCTCAAGGCAAGAAAGCGTCAAGCAATTCCATAAAGGCCAGCGATAATGGAAGGCCTGTGGATTGAGTGTGTAATATCTATCAAGATAAGAAGAGACTGAACTGAGTGTAACCCACGCCTTTTCTTATTGGTGTACCGGTGAGGACTGTCAAAATGTCTAGCTTAGAGACTGGAACTCTTGGTCTGAGATGTAGACATCAACACGGTTGTAAAGAACTTTAAGAAACTGAAAAGACACTGGAGCCTTGAAGAAGTCAATTCAGCACTGTGATTTGCTACATCTGATGTATTAACTGTGTTGATTCGGTGGCTGTTGGGCAACATGGATGACAGGGGTTGTGTGGCCAGTGGGAGATGCACATTAAGCGCTGCCTGATCCTTCCATGCATGTACATGTATTCAGCCCCGTCCAGGCTATGTCGCTTCAGACATGTACGCAGTCTGCAGCCGAAACTAATCTGAAGCCGTTGGGCACCACCTCGGCGAACCAAGTGATCGGTGCCTGGCCAGAGTCAGAGACGAGGAAGAGGCACGCGTCTTGCTGGCAGAAGAAATGTCTTCTGCTGAGAACAAAGTCTACCGCCTGCGGGGTATTCCTGAGCACCTGGATCGACTTGGAGTAGCCCTTCTTCTCAGCAGGTTCATTACCAACGGCGATCAAGGAGACGTCGGCGTGGCTTCGCTGGCTCTCAGCTGTGAAAGATGGGTCATTACACGCACCAAGACGGCGACTCTGTCCTTTAAGAAGCTTCCAGACATTGTCAGCAGGGATCCAGACGCAGGTGAATGGCCACTACGGGATCCTACTTGGCTTGCACCGCTTCTCCTTGATGATACCTTCATCGGGCTATCGCCTCTCAACGATGTCGCAGAACACGAACATCACTATGAGTAAGGAGCTTTTGAATGCAACAATCTTTCATTATTATGCAGCAGTCCAACTAACACAAACGCCCTATAGCTGCATCGTGATGTCGGGCCTTGCGAGTCACCCCATGGGCTCATGGCAGCCACATGGCAAGAACAAGTCGTTTATGTGGATTCGGGACGCCCTTCCGCATCTTGTTCCGAAAGTCAAGTTCATCTTGTATGGATACGACACCAAGTTGGCTGGAAGTAAGTCGTTTCAAACAGTGCCAGATATTGCACTGAGCCTTATTCACACCCTTCAACAAGGAGGATGGGCTGGAACCGACCCTAGAAAGCTTCTCTTTTTCGCTCATAGCCTTGGAGGCATAGTTTTGAAGGAAGCGTTGCGCATGTTGGCCGACAGCAGTGTGAGGGATGAGTTGATCCTTAATCGCACTCGAGGGGCCATCTTTTTTGGAGTTCCAAGTCAAGGATTGGACGTCTCGGATCTACAGGTCATGCTACAAGGTCAGCCAAACAAAGATGCTCTCGTTAAAGAAATTTCGGACGAATCACCCTTTGTCAGGGTACTAGAAGAGCAGTTCTCGGGCATCTCTCATCTTCAAAAGATGAAACTGCTCTGGGCGTACGAGACGGAGACAACGCCAACAGTAATAGTATGTCTCCATCATCTTTCATTTCCGTGAAACGGCAGGTGTGTGGATTTTGACATTGTCATGCTAAGTCAAGCTGTAGACAGTCGATGGAAAGTACAAGAGAGCTGGACCTGGGACTATTTTCGTCTCTCCTAGCTCTGCAACAAGCCAACGCTGCAACTTCGAACCGGGCTCGACCATACAAATCAACGCCAACCACTCAGACATGGTCAAGTTCTCTCCAGGAAGCGAGCTTATTGATCGTATTGCTTATAAGCTTCAAGAAATGCTCGAGGATGTTATCACGGGGGCTGATGAGGAAACAAGCCGGCCATCCATTGGAAAGATGACAGCCTTCCATATTGATAGCCCATCAGCCCAGACCTTTGTCAATCATGTCGACCCTTCTGTGGACCCGGATTTCTGGGACTTTCGTTGTAAGTATATGCATGTACTCTTATTCTATATGTAGAGAATGCTAATTGTATGCTGTACATGTAGCCATCATACAGGCAATTGACGCCCCAGAACGTGACACCCGACTGGAGCAGGTTGATGTAGCGGCTGGCCATTCTTTCTCCTGGGCTTTTGAGAGATCATCCGTCGGCTTGACTAGCTGGTTGCAAAATGGTGAGAAGCTGTTTTGGATATCCGGCAAGCCAGCGTCTGGCAAATCAACATTCATGAAATACCTTCACAACAACCCGCTCACGGCGGATTATCTACGCACATGGCGTCGCAGTGCGAATTTTGTCCGCGCAACATTCTTCTTCCACCATCGCGGCACCGCGATCCAAAAGTCTCTCGAAGGTCTTCATCGCGGAATCTTGAGTCAAGTCCTCGAACAAGCCCCGCAGTCATTCCTGGCTATCCAACCGCACCTTGTGCAGACATACCAGGCTGCTGTTGGTGCAAACAATCTTGGAAGCCTTTCTCATGATCTGGAAGCTTTGATCGTATTCTGCAAAGTTACTCCAAATACCGAGATCTTGGGGCAACTTGACAAAGTTTTATGCTGTGAGATACCTCTCAAGGCCTTTCGTACGATGGTTATCGAACCAATGCTATCCACCGGTGCCATGTACAGCGATGAAGACCTTCTATATCACGTCTACCCCCTTCGAGATGATTTGTTAGAGGAACAAAGTAGGTACAAGAACAGCCGGCGCAGACGATTCCAAATTGTGAAGGATACTCTCTCCAAGGTTAAGAAGCCATGGGCCGAAAGCCCAGAATTCATCTCTCTAGTCGAAAATTGGCTTGAGGCCATCGACATAAACACGCAGCTGTCGAACTTTAGAGATGATTTGGTGGCTCGAAGATCCAATAATTGGGATGTGGTTAACAAGAGAAAGCTTGATGATATGATAAAGGAGATTCTGAACAGATTCACGGTTCGAAAAACACAACGGAATCGTATTGGAACAGCCGACTGGAGTCTAGAACATCTCAACCGTGCAATCAGTCTCATCACTGATCAGCAGCTGGTTGACTTGGATCTTTGCATTTTTATCGATGCTCTGGACGAACATGACGGCCCACCAGAATTCATCTCTCAATGGATCAAGGATATAACTTCAAATGAAAGTAGCCGCACTAGACTGAAGATCCTTTTCTCTAGTCGACCCTGGCAGCTATTTATTGACGCTTTCGGACGCAGCCCCAGCATTCAGATTCACGAATTCACTGAAAATGACATCCGGGAGCTTTGTTTACATACCATACGCCCCGAAAATCCAGGTTCAGCAGAGATGTTACAATTGGTCGAGGAGATTGTCAACCAGGCGAGAGGTGTCTTCCTATGGGTTAAACTGGTGCTGAACGATCTCTTGGACAACGCTGCTGGATTGACTAGTTCCGGCGTTGGTAGTGTGCATCTTCATTTTGCGCTCATGGATATCCTCAAGTCGCTGCCCACAGATTTGGAGCAGTACTACAAGACCATCATTGAAAGAATACCACGATCATATCGCTGGGAGGCATTTTGCTTACTCGAGGCTGTCAGCAAGTCGGCAAGACCAATCTATCTCAAGGAGATGTCGATTATCCTTTTATGTGCCAATGTTCAAAACGTCAATGATATTTACCCGCAGATGTTGGAAATCGACAAGAGCGACGCACGACTCCACAGTTATGAACATCTTAGGACATATACAGGTGGCCTGATTGAAACTGTTGGGATCCAAGAGCGTCGTAGGGCACATTCGGGCGGCCTGGGTGGTGTTGAGAATGATCAACTTCAGCTGTTGCATCAAACTCTGGTCGAGTTTGTCCAGCTTCCCGAATTCAAGCGCGTTGTACTTGGGGAACGATACCGAATCGTAAAGGAAAACGGCTATACAATACTTTCAAGATACGAAGCTGTACGGAACGCATCCTACTCCAACGGCCGCATCTCGATACCGGTGGGCGAGATATTCTCAAACTACGCACGGGAAGCAGAGTCGACAACAGGAAACAGCGCGTATTTCTCCTTTACGGGCGCCAAATGGACTGTGTGGCAGAAGAACAAGGCTTTTCCAGATCATAGTACGGCTGTGCCCTACACTACACTGGAAGTGGCGCTGGCCTGCGAGCTCAAGTTACATCTGCAAGACGCCCTCAAGCACGAGAAGGAGACGGAAGCAGTGCTCATCTTTCACATTCTCTTGCACATGATTGAGCGGGAAATATTCGATACAGACAGCGCTGTAGATTTTCTTCAAGCCATAGTGGCTCAAGGGCTGCAGCTCCATGCAAGTTACATTGGGTTGCTCATCCTGATGGATCAGATACATCACATGGATCCATGGACCACCAAGACCGCCATATCCATGGAATTCTTCCAGAGGGTGATGGCCGCTTTCTTCGAGCCAGGGGCCAATGTCGAGCTCAAGGCGGACTTTGCCGGCTTGGGTATTACCAGCAGTCACTTTGTTGAACTGATGTTTTCTCACGGACAAGGGGGGGTTATCCAGGCGCTTCACATACCTACTGACGATCGACTTACCGACTATCTCTTGGACAAAGGCGCCGACCCCAATACGCTGACTTCGAGGGATCTGACGCCGCTCGACTGCTGGGTGAAGAGCAACCAAAGGTACAACACCTGCCACGGCCGTTCCGTAGGCTCCCCAGCCTTGATCCGGCGTGGAGGGCGTCTCAACATTTGCACGAGAGAGGAGTGGGAAAGGGCATTAGCTGTCGCAGGCTTACTGCACAATCTCGCATCGCAGTTTTCCGGCTGGCTTGAGGGGGCACCAGGCGCTGTCACCACCAGATGGTGGGATATTGGCTCGAGACATTCAAAATTCAGGAAGTGGCTGCGACGAGACTCTTTCGTGTCATGGAAGAGGAAATGATGAATGATGATGATGTATGTGATGATGCTTGCACCACGCAACTAATGTCGTCTGAGCATGGAGGACGAGTAAACACCAAGTACGGAGTAAGTAAGTAGTCCAAGGCCACATCACATCATGTTCATAGTAGACACACACACACACGCACACACACCAGGAAAAAAAAAGAAGGGGAATAACAAAAGATTCGACGAAAAATTCAGCCACAAAAAAAGAAGCCGCCTTGAACTCTCAACCAGGTGCTTGTTATAGGAAAAGCCCAATGCGGGGGTCGAACCCGCAACCTTGAGATGTGGAGATATCGCGACATTAGATCGTGTGCCTCGTAAGAGTCTCACGCTCTACCGATTGAGCTAACCGGGCCGGCGAAACACCGGTTGAGCTCAAAGGCGGCTTGTTGGAATAGCGGAGATGTATTGATGCCTATGAACCAAGTTTGTTTGGCAGTGCACAAAATGTTTGGAAGAAACGCCCCGCTCAACGACGAAAAATGTTTGTTCGACATGGCTCTTGACTTGTTGAATGCTCAATTTGCACAAGTCGGCCGCTCCAATTGAATTCACGACTCAGTGACACGACGAATCGCAGTCATAGATTGGTCCTGGAAGATGTCGATGTGAATTATAGCCAGGTCTGTTGGTGGTTCAGCCGCAACTCAACTCTAACTGAGGTGGTTATCAAATCAGTACATGAATTAGCATTTCTAGATCAAGTATTACTCAGTATAGCCTCTTTGCTCTTCTTGATTCACTTGTGCCAATGTGTCTGTCCTCTTCACTTAAACAGCACCTCTCCGCCCTCCATCGTCCCACCAGCCTTGTAAGTCCCAATGATGCCGCTCTTCACCATATCCTGCGCCAACCTCGTCAGCACTCCATCGCAACCTTTGGCCGCCAAGATGCCCAGCCCCAAAGGCAGCTTCTGCGTGTGATTCGTAATGGTGCTGTTCACTTCAAACTCCCCCACCGGAATCGCAAAGTCTGGAACTTCTGCAAACGGCGCAATGCGAGACAGGGCGAACTTGGGGTTCACCTTGGGCGGGCTCAGGTAGACGTTGCGCGGCACGGCATCGGCGAGCACTGTCGCGTAGATGATGATGGCCGATGAGCATGTCTCGTCGTCTGGCGTCAGCAACTCTGACTGCAGCCAGTCCCGGAACATGGTTCTGTTGGTCTCGGCGGCGGCGAGTTCCGAGTCGGGCGTCTGGTCGGCAAAGCCCCATCGGTTGGTGTTGGCCGGATCGACAGCGGGCAGAGCACCGTCGTGTTTTGCTGGTGTGAATGCGTCAGAGTCGTATCCTTTACAATGGAGGAGCACGAGCCGTGTTTCTTGACTTACCGCTGTAGTCGGCATAAAATGGTTCGCGGACAAGCCGCACAACGTCCTTCTCTACCTTGGTGGTGTACACACGATCGAGGACCTCGTTGATACTGGCATCCTGGGCAGCCTTGGGCCTCGTCTTGGCCCATTCGTCTGCAATCTCAGTCACGTGGAGCTCTGAGCCAGTCAACTTGACAATCTTGTCTCTAATGTCGACAACAATCTGCGTCAGATGGTCAAGTGGTGTAGGATCGGCTGGGTCCGGCCAGCCGCCAATGTTGTAAATCTTTCTCGGCCACTTCATCGCCTTGTCACCGGCGTAGGAGGTATACTTGCTCTGATACAACGCTGCCTGAGCCGCGTCCCAGAGCGCGGGATCCCTAGTGATGAATCCAATGGTGTCCATCGTCGGAGATAGGGGCATGCAACCGTCCGAGGACACGCTTCCCCAGCTTGGCCGGTTGCCAAAGGCTCCGCCGTCAGCTGCAGGGCCGCGAATGCTTCCACCAGTGTCTGTTCCAACGGCCAAGTCAAGCCATTCGTATGCGGCGATGGATGCGCCACCGCCTGTCGAGCTACCTCCAGCGTCGTTATAACCATCTCCTCGGGGATTGAACGGTGCGTGGTAGTCGATCCAATCCGCCGTGGCAGTGCCACCCTGCGCAAATTGTGCCGGTATCTGCTGGCCGACGACGACAGCACCGGCATCGATGAGGTTCTGGATTGCGGGAGCCGTCTTCTCAGCCTCTGGGTACAAGTGGTACCATGCCCGGTTGCCGTTGGACTTTTTTACGCCGTTGAGGTCGAAGAGATCCTTTACTCCGATGCGAACTCCAGCCAACGGCTTTTCCTTGGTTCGTGTGAAGTACAGTCTCGACGGCACACCGATGCTCATCGTGGCCGAGGAGCTGATCTTGGCCGAGAGCGTCTCGAAAGATCCATCCGGCTTCTGCAGAAGCGACTCGGCAAAGGCACCGACAAAGTCATCGTACAAGCGGTAAGCTCTGTATGCCGAGCCTGCCGAGTCGACAAAGTAGGGCCCAGAGGGCAAGTCGGAGGCATCAAGCGGCGCTACCACTGCATTTGTGCCGAGTAGGTTCTGCGTGGTGCTGCTTTTCTGACCCGCAACAAAGACGGCTTGAGCAAAACCGTCCTGGAAGACGTCGTCGATGCTCGTCCAGTTTGTCAAGACCGCGTTTAGGTTCGAGGGGTTGGTGGCTGTGGCCACGACTGTGACTGGGGTGAACCCGAAGGCGCTCGGTATGTCGCTGATCGCACTGAGAGAGGATCGAGGAATGCTTCCGGCTTTGTAGGGATTGATAAAGTAGCTGAGTTGGCCAAGCTTGACGGTCGCTCCAGAGGACGCGATCTGGCCCGCGGTGGCTGTGGCCAGCGTCAGTAGGGCCAGCAGGCGTGATGTTGCGAATCCAGCCATGCTGTCTTTTTGAGATACTGATGAAGCTCTAGATGTGTCTCAAGAGTCCATGCCGTCTCTTTTATAACTTTGTGTACGGCCAAGACGCCAGCAGCTCATCTCGAAATTCCCATCATCATCGTGGAGACTCTATAATAGACTCTTCGGTCCTTTCGGCGTGGCCGCGTAAAAGTTTTTGGTTGAAGTTTTGTTTTCTCCATCAACCTCCAAGGCAATTCGGGCTGGTGTTGTCTGGCTGTGCTTATTTTCCCAAGCAAAACATGCCCGACGGCAAATACGATTAGGCCGCCCGATCCTGGCAGAAATGGTCCTTGTTTTAAGCTTGGATGGAAAAGTTGCTGCTGCTGCTTCGAAAACGCCCAGGATGAAGACAAATACCCCCCAGCATGGTAAAGGCAGCAACCCGTCGGTCAGAGCCTTGATCCTAGAACGACTCACCGACGTAATTGGTTACCAATCATCTTAAATATAGACCTTTCGTGATGATTATAGGAAGTTTATCCCACAACAACCGTCGCAAACGAGCGCGGCCCGCCCATGAGAGGTGGGTTGACCTCTTGGAGCGGCTGGCCGAAGAGGCAATCCCGACGTGAGACTGGCGTCCTGCGTTGGCGCGGTGAATATTCCGGCTGCGTGGAGTCTTGTTCAGTATACAAGACTCCATCAGAGTAAGATGAAATGTCTTAAGAATCTCTGCTTTCTCAGCATAGTTGGCGCCACAAGAGCCACAAGAGCGTCGGAGCGAATGATGATGTCGTCGAGAAAAAAAGAGCGGCCAGTGGTTCACTCACATTTTGCCGAATAGATCCCAAGAAGGATGCAAACGTTGGCTCTCTTTTTTGGGTGCCTTTTGTTATAGCGGGCGGGGGAATCCCTTGAACGTCTTGAAGAAAATCTCTGTAAAATATTGTTGGTTGTGATATTATCACCAAATGGAACCACCACCACAAATCGCCATCGCCATGTCAAACAGCGAGGCTCACGAGGAGGCGATGCGACAAGCCCGCGAGACGCAGCTTCGACTTCAACGAGAAGCGCGACGCATCGCCACGCCACGCTTCGGCCCAGCTGTCAATGGCGTGCTCTGGCGAAAAAGCCGCGCTGAAGAAATTGCGGATGCGGATTCAAGCGCGCAAACGCCGATCCTCAGCAATCATCGAGTTCTCGCTCAAGCCCGGCGTCGACCTTCGCGATGATTCCAGGCCGCCTCGGAGGCTCTTGGACGCCACGTTGCGCTACATCAGCTCCATCACCGGCTGTCGCGGTATCGAATGGGGATTAAGAGTAGATGTAGGTGTAGATGCAGAAGCCAGTTTCTTCTGCTTGATTTACTGGGACAGCGTCGTCGCCTGGCACAAGTTTCAGCACTCTCTCGGCTTCACTCCGCTGGTAGCGCTGCTTGCGTCGGACGTTTCCAACCGCTGTGCGAAATTTGCAGGAAGAATTCCAGGCGCTCTGGAACTTGGTGAAGCAGTGCGAACCAACGCAATAATCGATGTTGCATCAGTCACCTTCAGCGCCCAAGAAGCGTCGTCGCATGAGCGCCGTTTGGCCTTTGAGGAGAAATGGAACGCTCTCGTCACTTCACTGACGGATGGTGATGGTGACAACGGCCTTTTACACTCTCATGTCATGCGGCTTGAGAATAACGCCTCGACATTCGCCGATCCATCTCCAGCGGAAGCTGCTGCTGCGAATGTCTCGGCCACTTTTACCGCATTCCTCGCCTGGGATGGAATTAACCATGACATCCATCGTGCCGAGCATCTCTGTGACAGCCTACAAACTTCGCTGCTGCCGTCCTCTCGCGGAAACGAGCCGCCCAGCATCTTGAGAAAATCGGTTCAGCTCATCAACCGAGTCCAACCACAAGAATCTCACGATCTACCGCAACAATCACCCGCACTGCTCACCAGCTTGGTCTCTATTCTTCAAGGTGATTTCCCACGCCAATGCAGCGCTGACCTCTTCAACCTCAGGGAACATGCCCGTCACGTCCTCGATCGCAGCATCAGCGACGCAAGGGCAAGGACGCGGCTGTTCCCGCTACCGCAGGGCTATTTTACATCCCAAGGCGAGCTGCACGAGGGCAGCATGTCCGTGATTCCAGAATGGCGGAGCAGACAGGCACCTTGGGGTCATTACCTCGTGGACATTGCTTGGATGCAGCTGAAGCGGCATTCCGTCCGGACTCACGGCCCTCGCATATACAACCAGATCAAGAACGATGTAGGCGCACTGCCAGGTTTTGTCAAGGCCTTTTGGGCTCGTGATGTCGAGGACGACACTAAATTCGCCATACTGCCAGGTTAGAACAACGTGCAACTAGTTGCAGTGAATATGTTTATACGTGCATTCAGCTGATTTATTCTACCTTATGAGTACCTAGTCTGGGGTAGCCAACATGCGCAAAGAGCAGTCTCACACGACTCTCGTCGGATGCTGGACGACTTTGTCGCATCGTCACCTCACATATCATCACCATTAACGTACCAATCTTTCCCGATAGCCCGAGACCACGAGGGTTCAACAGGGCTCGATCGCGTAGAGTGTCTCGAGTTGATCTGGTTCAATCTCCCACCAGGCGCGCTCGAGCGTCAGCTCTTCGAGCATGCCTACGGCGTCTTTACTCGGTGTGTTGCTCTCCCTCCCCTCTGATGCTCTTGCAACGGTTCAACCTAACAGACGCCTCTTGTGTTCTTTGGCAACTCAGCATGACGGTGCCTTCACAACAAGGAGGAATCCCCGCCGCGGTCAAAGTGAGTAGCGACTTGGGGGGCTGGCAACCAGCCGAAGCCACTGAGAGTTCCGACTCTCAAACCTTTACCGCGGCGCTGGCTTGGATGAGCCCTGCCGCAAGACAAGAGTGGTATGGGGAGCTGCTCGGGGCCTCGCTCTGGTCGTATGAGCTGTTTGGCCACAAGCTCGACGCCCTGAAGATGTTGGCTACGGGAGGGGTTTCGGGGCGGTTCCTGGCCATGCAGAGGTCTTGACACAGCCCGTTGTACGTGAACGTCGGGCCATGTTATCAGGCCTGGGTAGCCCCTAGCTGCATAAGTATGTGCATAACTCATCAAGTCAAAGCATTGGCTCTGCGACTACCCGACTGTTATCTCAGCTTGGCGCTACAATCGTTGGGTGAATCCCGAAAGTCGCTTTCCTTTTTCATGTCTCTTTGGTTCTACAGAATTCGGAGACACAGAAGAGAGACGAAGCCTACGGAACCTCTCAGGCGCGGCCTCTCTCCTCTTTGGCAGAGTGAATGGGTGTGACAGAGGTTGGTGTGTCGAGCCGTGTCGAGCCGAACCATACACACCAACAACAACAGCAACAACAACAACAACCTTGGGCAGGAATCCCGCTGGTCCAGCTGTGATACGCCATGAAATGAGCGTTTCTGCCTGCCAAGACCCATCCCGAGATTAAATGGCTGGGTGAATGACGAAAACCCAAGTCACCCGAGGCCGACGTGTTGTTTGGCAAACAACCGCTGCAGGGAGGATATTGGAGTCACGACATGAATATGCCCCCCCTATCTCCCAGCCCCGATTATGCCACGAGCCGCCAACCCAGCGACCGACCAATCCCGGCATCTGGATCCGCGATGCCGGCGAGGATCAAGAGTTTGCTGTACGCATGCGGTAGTCACTACTAATGCAGGCATGGGTTGTGATCCTGGCGTGAGAGACCTCAGCCCCTCACTCAGCCGCCTTGAGAAACCCGGATTCTGGCGTTATCAACCAGATGCAGTTGTCCGGGACTTGGGCATCCGTACAGCAGGCAGGAATGGGCTGGCTCACCACCAAAAGCAAAAAAAAAAAAAAATCAACAACTGCAGAGTAAAGGGGGGAGAGTTGTTTGTTTGCGTTACCGTGTGGCTTCACACGTGATGGAGGCATCAACGTTTGTGTAACGTCAAGTGTGTGAGGCCGGTCCATGTATTTATTCGGGCACCATCTCAGCACCTTGAGTATCGTTTACCTCTTTCTCTTTCTCTTTATCTAGCCTCTGAACGTATCAAAGCGTATCCAATACAATCACAGACTTCCAAGTGTTCACCACTGTTAAAAAAGTGCCAATCCATTATACTCGCTTTACTTTACTTGTATCCCTTCTTGAATTCAACCATCTTCCTACAAAAACATTTATAAAAATGACTTGGGGAAAACCAAACGGTCATTGGATCAGGTCCAGGGAGGTTGAGCCTCTCCCGGACACCGGATGCAGCTTGTGCTTTGTCACGAACAAGTTGCTCGACGGGAGTGAAGCAACCTACGTCTTGCAGCATCACTCTCCCGACTTCAAGTGCGAGTGCCAGCATTATCCGGCACTTATACGCATGGCTCAACATGATCTCGCCGTGACGTGCGAGACTCACAAGGCAATGATGGAGCATATCCTGAAATTGTACGGCGAGTTCGTGGAGAAGATGATGGCAACTCGAATCTACAATCGTCCTTATCCCGCCTACGGCGTGGAACTCTCTTGTACCCAAGACGGCGTGCCAACCGTCACGGTTCTTGACTACAAGTGCCGTGGCAAGAAGTCGTATGAGTTTGTCCTTCGAAAGCCTCCAAACTCGGGCGCATCGTCCAAAGAAACAACCATCGACACCTCCTGGATAGACCTCAGCCGCGCCATTGCGTGGAAGGACGATTGCATCCTTCGGCGGACGCCAAACTGCCGAGAGTCAGACAATTATGCATTGGTAGTCCCCAACTGGCTCATCGATACCCAAGACAACTGCCTTGTGCGCGGTGAAATCTCAATGGAGTACGTCGCCTTGAGCTACCGATGGGGCGCATCCGTCTGGTCCAGAGTCAGCCTCGATAAGATCGATGAGCTCCAAAAGCCGGGCGGCCTCGCCGACAGCTTCATCACCAAGCTGCCAATCATCAGAGACGCCATCCACGTTGTGCAAAACATCAAAGAGCGCTACCTATGGGTCGACGCAGTGTGCATCATACACGACGACAAGGCCCATATGTTGAACCAGATCCAAAACATGGGGGCAATCTACGCATCCGCCAAACTCACCATCATCTCCACCGATGGCGATGGCATGACGGGTCTGCCCGGCCTCCAAAACTGCTCTTCGCCCCGACAGCTCGAGGGCATCTTCCCGTGGACGGAGAATCGCGAGATTTTCGTCAGAGACCTCCCCTCCGTCAGCCACATATTCGTGCCTGAATACTTCAAAAGGGGCTGGACGTTCCAAGAGTACGTTCTCTCTCATCGGCGCCTCATCTTTACGCGCCAACAGATTCATTGGACCTGCCACTGCGGAACGTGGCATGAAGATCTCCCAACTCTTCGCTCTCCGTTGGACGAGGCCAATGAGACCGTCCTGCAGTCGTCCAAAATCTTGAGACGCCGTCCCGATCTCAACGTGCTGGGCAACCTGTTCCGCTCGTACAACAACCTCGGGTTGACCTACCCCGAGGATGCCCTGCCGGGGATAGCAGGCCTTCTCAAGCTCATCAGTCCCTCCTTCGACGGCGGCTTCCTCTTCGGAATGCCCGTCGTCTGTTTCGAGGCGGCGCTGCTCTGGGGCACCAGATTCTGGTACTACAACATGTCGGGCGCAAAATACAGAGGCCTCACCAGACGAGAGCATTCCAGCAGGCCTCGCGATCTTCTTCCCAACGCCGAGCTGCCCTCGTGGTCCTGGATCGGATGGAAGAGCGACTACCTCAGCGTCTTGAGGGATGAAGAAGATTACCAAGTCGTGACCTACCCGAACCAGCCCCAAGAAGCCCTCTCGAGGACGGAGAAATGGACCACGATCCCGACCTCCCACTGGTTCAGCCAGGACACGCCAACATCCGAAGACAGGCAGCGCATCCGATCCAACTGGTCCACGCCCTTCCTGGAGCCCTTCCACGACGAAGAGGTCACCGGCGGCTGGACGAGGGAAAGGTATCCCGGCTCCAACGGCCCAGACATCGCAAACACGCCCAGCGTCCCCTTCGGCCTCAGTGGCAAATACGTCTACAGCCACCCCGAGTTCCCAACCCGCCTGTTCTGGCGCCCGTTCCCGCTGCACGCCCGGCGCGGCGCGATGCAGATGCGGCAGCGCAGGTTCATCTCCTGCAAGACGAGGCGAGCCTTCTTCACGTGCTTGCGAAAGACGGGCTGCACCATGGAAGCCGGCGCCATGGACTTTCACCTCGAACTGCTGGACTATGACGACCAGGTTTGCGGCTGGGTCCAGCTCCCGACGGCCGATACAGAACTGCCTAGTCTCTCGCAAGAGGCCAGCCCTGACATGGAAGATGAGGAGGAGCCTGAAACTGAAACTGAAACTGAAGCTTCCCCAGACCTTCCGTTGGATGTTCCGTTGGATGTTCCGTTGGATGTTCCGTTGGATGTTCCGTTGGACGTTCCGTTGGATCTCCCGTCAGATCTCCCGTCTCCTCCCGACAGCCCTGCGGGGGATCTCTATGAAATCGTCGAGGTTGTCGAGGTCTGTCGGCGATTGTACTCCGAGAGCATCGATCGTCAACGTGGTCGGTGGCTCAACAGACGCGCCTACAAGCCTTTTTACGGCGTCCTTTGTATCGAGTGGATAGATGGTGTAGCGTATCGGAAAGGATACGGCTATATTACACAGGAAGCTTGGGATAGTCATGACCTTGACTCTATAGACTTGGTTTTAGGATAGGTACGCGTTGGGACGCAACGATGATGATGGATCCTGTTTACATGATGCATATGTAATACTTAGTTACCTGACATGGGCGATTGAAACCGTAATGCTAATACGATTCCTCTTCTGTGATTCTACCGTCCACACATCAGTATACTTGGCTCCAATCGATTCCGTTGATAATACAGCGCCGACTACAACAATTCTACAGAGCATCGTGACAAGACTCAAGCATCTATGAAGTAAGAGGCCGAAATGATACTGATACGCCAACTAAATTTGCAATGTCCGACATGCCCATCCATACCTACTCCAGACACGCTCCCACGCTCTCATTCATCTTCAGAGCGAGAAGCACATCCAAATAGGCACCTAGTTAACATACAAAATTGAGCCAAAACAAATCCCTCTTTTTTTTCAGTTTAGTTTCCTTGCTACAAGCATCAAAAGGGAAAAATGCATGCATCTGTTTGCAACCCTAGCATGATGGGGATTCTTTTTTTTTTCGTCTGCAAAAAAAGCAGTTGTGCCTTGATGGGGAAATTTTTGACAGTAAAGAAAGAAACAAGTTTAGAGAGAGGGGGGACTGCATTCTAAGAATCAATGGTTCTTCCAAGGTCGGAGTATGCAGAGGCTAAAACAGAATGCTCGGTGTGCCAGTGACAAATTGTATCTTATCAAAAAGCCATCCATGACAACCTGAAATGTCTGTGAGCATTAACAAGATCAAATTGAGAAACAAAACAAAAAGAAAAGAAAAAGAAGAATCGTTCAGAGTCATAAGGCGGGTCTTCCGTTAGATGTATGGTCGTCACGTTTGCGAGAGTGAGAGCGAGAGAGAGAGAGAGAGCGAGAGAAGAGAGAAGAAAGGATGTTCCCTTTTTCTATGAGAGAGAGAGAGAGAGATGGAGAGAGATAGAGTCAAGACGTTGTTGATTAATAATGCAAAAGTCGAATGAACAAGAAACTCTATGCCCGAGAGCGCATAGATGCCATGGGGGTATTCATGGCAGACTGTCCACTGGAGTGAACGTGATGGTGATGATGGTTGTGGCTGCGTCCTCCCTTCTTGGTAGTGTGAGGAAGCGTCCCGACGTCGTGTTTGCCTACGGAAAAACATGTTAGCTTTAAACCGTTACACACACAAACAGTTCCCATTCTCGCGCATGACTTACCATCGCAACAGGCTCTGACATTCTCCAGCCGGTCTGCTTCCCTGTCTTGCTGCTCAATCATCTCACGAAGATCCTCAGCACTATCGTGGACCTCGCTCGCCTGGTAAATGCTAACATTCTGAGCGCTAACCGTCCTGCTGCGGATCGATCCAGAGAGCTTGGACCCGCCCACCTTCCAGTACGAGCCTACCTTGCTGCTGATGCTGCCTGTAAGGGAAGGCCTAATCGGGGTTGAAGCATGCTTCCCCGATGGCGTCAGCGTAGGAATCTCTAGAGAGATTGCCTCGGCCTGTGAAGTGGTGCGGGAGTTGTACGACGAAAGGGACGGGGCCGAGGGACGCGAGGTGCCGTTGGCAGGGCGCCGCCCAAACGGAGGGTTGAACTCGTCGACGTCTTCCCGAGTGAGGTCAGTCGCCATCTCTTCCGCATCAGATTGACCATCGTGACCATTGCTAGTCCTCAGCAGGAGATATGACAGAGCATTGAACCACGTCTCGTGTCGTTGGCCAGTGGTGCAGGTAAACTTGATCGTCCTGCCGGGAGAGATGATCACCAAGCTCTTACGGTGGAGACCCGGCGGCATGGGGTTGTCGTCTGTCACTACTCGCACGCCATCGATGGGGAGACTCTTCGCCTTCATCTCAGTACGACCAGCCGTTGACGGGTCTCGCTCGCTCCAGTAGATAGTTCTCGTGTATGGGTGCACCCAAAAGTAGCGGCGGTGTCGCTTCTCAGATAGCTCGCCGCGACCAGTCTTGCGCGTATACTTCCATATGTATTCTCCAATCATGGTCTGCGTGATGGCTTGGATCATCCTGGGGTCGGTGTTGGGTCCAAACCCGCTAGGGTCGAGGCCCATCTCGTTGGCCCGCATTCCGAAACGATTGTCCAGCTCTGATGCGAACGAGGACACGGAAGTCTGCCTGGACATGGCAGCAGAAAGCCTGACAGGAGGAGGCAGAGGGAACTCGGCAGTACCGTGGGATGAGTCGGCTCGGACAGGAGCGCGAGGAGTAGGAGTGCCGCGGCCGGAAGGAGGAGACATTGGTCTGTCCCTGCTGGGGGTGGTCGGTGTTGGCTTTGTCGCCGAGGCGGGCCAGAGAGGCGGGCCCATAGTACCTTGGCTCTGGCTCTGGTTCTGCGTTTGCGTCGTCCCGTTGGATGAGCCGGAACGAGCCGCCTGGATCATTTGCTGGTGGTTTGATGGCAGAGGAGGCGCGTCCACGAGCGAGGATTTGCCACTGGTAGCACTGCCAGGCCGGTACGTGGGCGTAGAGTGGAAAATAGGTGCTGGATCGAGCGTCCTACTCCTGCTTGAGATGGCTGAGAAGGGGCTGTCTAGGTTTTCTTGATAGGGGCGGTTGACCTTGACAGTCCCCACGGTATCAGGGCTGCCAACGGAGTAAGGGCTCTTTGCGGGAGTCTCAGCTCCAGTCTTGAGCAGCTCATCGATGGCTCCCGAAGTCAGTGATGTCTGGGCTCCCTGGTCGCTGGTTTGAGTCAGTTGCTGACCAGGACGAGAGCTTCCATTGGCTGAAATCTCCTTGAATGGCCGCTTGGACTCGGGAGTGTCGACTTGCGGCGACACAGGAAGTGATTGCCTCGTCTCATCTTCGGCAATAATGGGTGATGAGGGGACGCTCTCAGGTCTTCTGCGAGTAACATATGACGCAAAGAGGTTCTTGTCGGATACCTCACCATCTTCTTCATCGTTGAAGGGAGATTTGATGTTGCTTGGGAGGATGAATCCCCCTCTCTTGACGGGGCTAACTGGCTGAGTCTCAACAGATGAGATGGAGGAAAATGCAAACTGCGGGGCGAGAGGGAAGATGGGTTCAACGTCTTCTGCTACGATTGAGGAGAGGCCAAGCGCAGGGAGCTCGGGCTGGGGTAATGATGGCAAGAACAGCTCCTCGTCATCGATAGGCAGCTCGTCGAACGGAATGGTGTTTTGGAAGGAGAGAGCAGAGAGTGTCAGTGCTGCGGAAACGGGCTCGGGCGCCGGCTCGGCGATGGGTTCGACATTCTCCACAGCAATGGTAGACAGCGTCAAAGTTGGCAACCAAAGCTCTCTGGGCTCTAGCTGCTGTGTCTGAATGGATGACATGGTGAGATATGCCGGCGGGGATATCACCACCTCGGGCTCAGCGATGGGCTCGACCTGCTCCGTCACGATTGGCGAAATGCTGAGCTCCTGCAAGATGACAGCTGGAGCTTCTTCTGGGGCAATCTCCTTGGCGGCGATAAGCTCGGGGACTTGTGATTCCTCGATAACGGGCTCAACCTCTTCTGATACGATAGAGGCCAGGGTAAGCTCGGGTAGAGGAGCTTCGGGTTCTGCCTTGGGCTCCAGTCCCTCTGCCACGATGGTGGAGAGGCTCAGCACCGGCGCAGGCAGCTCTGGCTCTTCTACTGGCTCTGAGCCTTCAGTTGCAATGGTAGAGAGCGAGAGGATTGGAGGGGGGACTTGAGGCTCGGCCACTGGCTCCAGGCCTTCACCGACGATTGTCGATAGCGAAAGGGCCGCTGGGGGGACTTCAGGCTCGGCCACTGGCTCCAGACCTTCACCGACGATTGTCGACAGCGAAAGGGCCGCTGGGGGGATTTCAGGCTCGGCCACTGGCTCCAGGCCCTCGCCAATGATTGTCGACAGAGTCAATTCAGCCGGAGGCAGCTCTGGCTCCGCCCGGGGCTCCAGTCCTTCAGCAAAGATGCTGGAGAGGGTGAGGTCTGGAGGTGGAACGTCGGGCTCTGCTTCGGGTTTCAAATGCTCGGCCACGATGGCAGACAATCCCAGGTGAGGAGCGGGGACCTCCGGCTCGGCTAAGGGCTCCACTGTCTCAAATGCCATTGGTGTCAAGATCAGGGTGGGAGGTACAGCGGCCGGTGCCGGCTCTTGGTGTTGTTCTTCTCGAGGCTCGATGTCCTCGGATTGGATGACGGAGAGTTCAAGAACAGCAGGGGGAGCAGGCGCAGGCGCAGGCGCAGGAACTGGCATGACATCTGGCTCGCTGGGCAGCGATGAGGGAGGCAGAGGGAACTGTGCAAGCTTCTCGCCAATGTCGTACTGGGCACCGGCATCGCTGTAGGCAACTGTAGACGCGGGGCGGGAGTACGTAGCAGAGCCCGCGGGCCCTTCTTCAGCGCTCCGCCATGAGGCTGTGGATGCACGGAAATCAGTGTTGGGAATGGCCGACTCCATGGATCTCGGTCTTCGAGCGAACTCGCCCACGCTGAGCAGCGAGCTGCGAGATGTGCGATGGCCGAGAGACGCGATGCCAGGACCAAACTCGATGGGGTCGGTCATGACGCCTGAATCCACCATGATGACTCGAGGCAGCCGGGGAACCGCTGGAGGCGGCGTAACGGCGCGGCGGGTGGAAGCCGGCGTCATGGAACGGAGGCTTCTGCGGCCAGGAGTATACATGATTGATGATTCATCGTCGCTGGGGAAATCCTGCAGCTCGGCAAAGAGACTCTGGCCGGGGGTTGCCGGATCGCCGCCACCGCTGCTGAAGCTTGCGCCGGGGCTCCGGAACTGAGGCTCCTCGCTCTCCTGTCGAGAGCTTCTTCGGGACATTGATGACCTGTTGCTCATGCGCATTCTCCGTAGAGAGGCGGCAGCGGTGGGTGATCTAAACTCAGGGAACTCCAAGAACTCGTCTTCTTCGGTCGAGGTTGACGCGGTGCTGTCAAACGATTCCCGGTTGGGGTATCTTGGAAGGCCGGGCTGCAGGCTGGGAGGTCGTCTCATGCTGCCAAAGCCTCGTATGGAGAGTGCAACCTCAGTAGGGGCATCACTTTCATCAGACAAGTCCTCGTGTCCTGTCTGGAAATCTTCCGTCTCGGTTCCTGGTTCGGCCGTCTCAAAGGCAGAATCGTTGCCCTCTTCGGCAGCAGTCTCGAAAGAGTCGCTGGTCTCGATGGATTCGAGAACAAGTTCCTCTCCATCAGAAACATCAGACGACTGCCGTTGCCGCTGGAGGTGAAGTTGAAACTGTTGCTGGCGTCGATCGGGAGAGCGACCGCCGGCGCGAAGGCCAGAGGAGCGAGGTGAAACATCGTGAGTATCTTCCCACTCTGGGTCTTCCGGAGCGACTGGCTCTTCCATGACAACTTCTTGGCGGCTAGAGCGGAAGCTGCCGAGCAATCGAGGCGGCCTGACCTTGACTTCCTTGGGCTCGACCCTGCGACCACGACGAACGGGGGGCAGAGCAGGGCCTTTTTCAAGCTCGTTTCTGGCCTTTTCCAAATCGTCGCGAAGGTCTTGGATAATGCGTCGGAATTCAAGCTTCTCCGTCTTTTCACGGTGGAGCTGGCTTCGCTGGCTCTGAATGGTTCGCTGGGCGTGCTGCAGAGATGTCTTGAGAGTCTCGGTCTCGAGCATGGAGTGCCTGGGAGTGGCTCCCTTGACGGGAGACTGCGGCGGGGAATGCTCAGGTGTAATGTCGATGGCAGAAGCCTCGAGATCTTCGTCACTAGTGCCTGAAGAGGACTCGCGCTCCTGAGCCTTTGCTCTCTGGGCCGCGATGGCTTTGGCGAGCTCCAGGTTCTGGCTGGTCAGCTCATCAATCTTGCGCTGCATGGCAGAACGTTCGCCCTCGGCCATGGCAATGGCGCGTCTGGCAGTGCCGAGCTCAATGTCGTGGTGCTTGGTGGAGGCAGCGTGCTCCTCGGTCAGCTTGGAGAGCGTCAGCTTCACCTCATCCAGCTCCTTTTGGGTGGCAGACTTGGCAGCGTTGGAGGCGTGGAGAGCATTGTCGAGCTTCTTCTCGCGGTCGGACGCCTCCCTCTGCTGGCCATTCATCTCCTGCAGTCGGGTCTGAAGGTTCCAGTTCTCTTCCTTGAAGCGATGTTCACTCTCATCAAGAACCTTGAGACGCTGCTGCTGGGCCTCCGACTCGCCCTCGAGGCGAGAGACGTCGTTGCGGAGGTCTTTGACCTGTTCATCTCGTTCACCGAGCAGTGCCTGTAGATTGCGGAGCTGGGCAATGAGCGATGTGCTGATTTCGGCGGCGAATTCGATGTCGTGGACTCTGTTGGACGGCTGGTTTCGCATCTTGCGGTTGGGCACGCTGAGCTTGGCGGGTGAGCCCGTAGCTTGACTCTCGAATTTGGAAGGACTGGCGGAGCGCTATACACCATGATTGACGATGGCTTTGATTAGCAACTGAAGACTGACGAAGGCTTGTAGAGATCAGGAGGAACATGTGCGAGGCGAATCTATGTGGCATGTGTAAATGTGTAAATGTGTAGTGGGTCGGCCGAATGCGCAATGGGATAGATAAGCCGCCGACCCAGTTCTCTTCGAACAAAGGAAGAGCGGAAAAGGAAAACGGGAAAGGGGAAAATGAAATGAAAAGCATATTCTCACCCTGCCTGATCGGCTGTCCAGCGTGTAGGGCGAGCCTTGGTTGTTGTCGCTGCTGCTCGCGACTCGCTGCTTGGGCAAAAAGACCCTCGCCGACTCTCGAGCCAAATCATTGTAGTCCTTTTCGATGCTGACGAGCTTCTTGCGCAGCTCGGGCGCCAGCTCTTCCTCGGCCTGGAGCTTTTCGATTTCCTGGAGCTGTTCGGCGAGGGCTTTGCGCTGCGATACGAGAGCGGTTCCAATCTTGCCAGCTTCGTCCAGGCGACGGTCGGTCTCTGCCAGGTGAGCTTCCAGGGCGCGCTTCGCCTGTCGCGGATCGGAACCGGGGCCGGCGGCGAAGAGCTCTTGATCAAAGTCGGAAAATCGCAGATGGGACGGGGCGGTCGACGAGGCGGAGAAGAAGGGATCGTTGGCGCCGTCTCCTGCGGGCACAGAGAGATCGGGCCGGTCCGAGGTGACTGACGACGACGCCATTCTGATGAAGGCGAGTTCGCCAGAAAGCGCAACGTCGGTCTGTGGCTAGCGGCGGACCATCAAAGAGGTGCTTTTGTTGCTTCAATCCCCTACCGGGTTTCGGGAGGTGGCAGCTCGAGGCCGTGCCGCAGCTGCACCGGCGGAAGTTGTAGTCGTTTTCGCTGCTCGCTTTCGTACTGTAGGACAGAGTCACAGCGAGCGATGCGGAGAATTGAGGGGTTGAACTTTTGATTCCTTGGTTGGTGACGAAAAGACGACGGATAGAAACGCAGGAATTGGGTGAGTGAGCTGGCGTTTGGCACCGCGCAGCCCCTGGCGTTGCTGAGATGCAGCGGCAAAAGCGAAAGCTGCAGGGGGGGCGACCAGGCGATTGGTGAGCGGCCTGGACGGGGAAAATGGATACAGGCACGAAAACCCGGCGTCGTTGCAGGCCCTGCTGCAGCAAACCGGGGTGCTCGAGGTAAGCGGGAAAGGGAAAAAAAAAATAGAGGACGCAAGACCTTGAAATGACGCTGTGGATGCGCTGCGCACAGGCGGAAATGGAAGCGCAGAGCGAACAGGTAGGCGAAATTGGCGGGAAATTTGGAAGGCCAAAAGAAGCAGAAGAGAAGCGCAAAACAGTAGGAAAGGAAAAGTAGAAAAGGGATCCAAGCGAGAAGAGAAAGGAAAGGCGAGATAAGTTAAAAAGGCGCCGAGGCTGCGGGCTGTCCTGTCCTGTCCTGTCCTGTCCTGTCTCGTTGTTTGTTATGCGTTTGCGAGAGCCAGGCAATACGAATGCCTACCGGGTCGATGGGCAAGGCCGCAGAAGCAGGAACAGCGAATTTGGGGGGGTCAGATTAAAGACGTATTATTTGTTGTTGTTTTTGGGTGTGTTTTTTTGTTGTCCCGGCTGGGGCAGACGTGGCTCGAGCCGTGTGGGCGGCCAGGTTTCAACACTGGATCCAGTAAATCAACGGCTCTCAGCTTTAGCTGGACACAACACAACCAAAGGTGAGCACACGCAATTGGAATGCAGCTGACGCGCGACCGTCTCTTTTCGCTGATCAGGTTGGCCAAGTCGAAATGCGCACTGTACGGCGACTCGGGTCTTTCGAGTTGCCAACGCGCAAGCCGAATCGAAGGCGGCCGACCGAGGCAAAAGGAGACAATGAGACGAGGCGCAATCCAATTCAAGCTGATGGGCAGCTTGCCGTGTCAATCGGCTGAAACAACTTTTTTTGGTGAATTTTTCTTTTTTAATAAGGCTGCAATGAATGAGCGGATAGGGTTGAATCGGACGCGTATGTGGCTGCGAGTCCTCCCCAAAAAAACACGAGGCGTTCTATTATTATTCTAGCGGTAGGTGTTGGTGTAACGAGTGTATCGAGTCGGGGGGGCGGGCAAAAAAAAAGAAAGGACAAAAAAAACTCAAGTATAAAAAATCGGAGAGCCAGCCGCGCGGAGGACAAGGACTTGCCAGGACTCGGATTTTCGTGACGAGGTTAGGGAGAAAAAAGAAAAGAAGAAGGGTTAGAGAGTAGGAGAGTAAGAAAGGAAGAAGAGAGGTATCAGATGCCGCAAACAATGGAGGAGAGGAACAAGGACGCTCGTCTGCACTGCTAGGACCACTTCGGGAGGGCTAAGGCAAAGGGGCCTTGCCGGGTGGTGGAGAAGCTGACCAGGGAACAAAATGTACGAGTTGCAGGGCCAAGGTATGTAGTATTTGTTTGAGGTTGATGATGGAACGAGGTCTGACATGACGATGAAGAAGAAGATGAAGAAGAAGAAGAAGATGGGATGAGGTTGAGAGCGGATCTCTTATCGCATCGAGCTGATAGTACCTAGCAGCCGTAGACTGAGTTGGCAGAAGGCAGGCACGGATTGTCTTTATCTCTTCACTCCTGAGGCATCTCGATGTTTTGAGGGGTACAAGTGCATTGTATTGGTGTGCGCTGCGGTGCGCTGCACAAGTCGCGACTACAACAGGTACATGCTCGTACTGGATGAGGTGCTTTGGGGCTGCAAAGAAGCACGCAACTCGCATGACATGACATCGCATTGCATCGCATCGCATCAATCAATCAATCAACTGCACGGACAAGCCTAGCGATTTGTTTGCTTGTCTGTTTGTTTCTGTTTCTCGCTTTATTTTGGCTCGGCAGACGGCGTGCATGGACGCATAAATGAACTTGCATGAACCACCAACTGCTGAATTAATTGGGCGTCATCTCGCAAAGATCTTGCTCGGTCAATGCATCCGAGGAATTCCAATTCATGCACGCGCCAGCCAAGGAGGACGAGAGAAACTGGAATTCAGCTCGGCCATGTCACGAGGACTGCTGGCTTATATTAGGTGTCAATATTACCTCCCATTCACGGTACCTGTATCGTATCGTGTACAAAGTACTACTAAGGTAGGTACTGCTCACTTGTAACCGCTACCTACGACGAGCACGGAGCAAAACTCGTGGATGAGAGACGCAGTTGATGCCCCAAATGGCCCAGTGCGTGTTTCAGCGTGCTGCATCCCCTCTAATTACTGCCCCCATCATCATCACAACCAATGGATATTAATGGTTTTGTACGAAATGATACTCTGTACGGGTATATATGCACGAAATCATTACCCCAGAGCCTTCAATTAAAAAGATAAACAGAACCTTGCTCTGTACCTGCATCAACACGAGGCCAAAGCATCACTCACATGCTGTTCAGATGCACCAGCAAGGGACCCTCTGCGAGCCAGAGATGGAGGCACGAGATGCGTGCATTATGTACAAGTACCTACTCCTTGTTGATGCTTGTATGCACATGTACATCATCATCATCATCATCATCGCTCCGGCTTAGTACTACGTATTCCGCTGCTCCAGAGTCCAAAGTGCTTCCCAGCCCGAATTCCTCTCTCTTCCCCTCTTCACCTTTGCATCACATTCACATAATCACGGCCGTCTAGCAAAGCTTAAAACCTCACCACGCAGTACGAGTACGAGTACATACAAAAGAGGCCCCCCAATCTCAACAAGCCACAACCCCGGCTGATGCCGCTTGAGAGAGCCCGAGCAGAAGAAAACCTACAGCTTCCCGTCAGCCAATCATCCGACTCTAGTGCCTCGGACTAGCAACCCGCTAACAAGCCTCTTCCCCGCTCGCAAGCCCATGGAACTGCCCGCCGTGATTGGGCCGGTGCCTGGCTCTTTGTTGTTCATTGTTTTCTTGGGGAGCGGCTCATTTTATTCGCTCAGGTCGGGTTGTTGTTGTTGTTACTGCTAGTAACTAATCCTTCTCTGGGCAGCGTCAAACAGAGTGTCGGGCACTACTCACATCCATGGAGAACAACGGATCGAGTGCTCTCAACTTACTCGTGCTAGCAGCATCTGTTCCGTCTTCCGAGAGCCTTCTGGAACCCTTGCGAGTATAATATCCGAAGTTGGAGCCGCCAGAATCCAGATCAATTTACTCGTAAACCATCACCACTTTTTTTTTTTTTTGCCGCAGCCGCAACTGAGCGACTCCAGTGTCTCCAGTCTTTTCAGCCTCCGGCCCCGGCGTCGACTGAGCCCAGGCACCGTTTCCCCTGCATTAGCCGGTCGCTGAGGGTGCTCGTATGCCGTGCTCCAAATGGGTGCACACCGCCAGTTGTCAGATTGATGGATGCTTTTTTTCCGCGTGTGAATCGAGTTCCACTGCCGGTAGCATGGGCCGAATACCTACCTATGCAGTACTGCTCGCAATGGTGCTGTACTCGTGCTCGAAGTACGAATATGCCCATGTCAACCAAATGAGCATCAATTCTGGCCTCGGCTCCATGGCCATTCGCTGTCCGCGTACAGACGCCGTCTGTGCGTGCAGGGCGTGGCTGAACCTGTAAGACACTGGCAATACAGTAATACTGAACACGGGATAGTAGCATGGAGTTTACCGTAATGGTGCAAATTGGTATGGATGCTTCCAACATGCTGCATGTTAAAGTCTCCCCAAGCATTGCCTGAGATAGACCTTACAAGGCACTTTGATGTCCATCTTGCATTTCAGATGGATGTATTCAAACTTTAAGCACCATTGTCAACTCAATCGTGGTATCCTTTTGACAGCTCAACGCACACGCAGCCTGTCTGCCAAGTATACTCGTACTACCCGGGGCCCGAAAAGCTCAACAAGCCGTGACTTTGCAATATCTAGTGGCTCTCATGCATAGTGGCTCTCATGCAAGATGGCGGCGGAGCCATCATCTTAGATTGACTCTAGGAGATTGCACCGTCACTTTTGGCAGCCCCGGAAGTCGGGCCACGATGTGACAGAACACCCTCTCCATACCACTTTTTGTCTAGCCGCCCACGATGAACCGCCGCCTTTCGGGACGCCACGAGAAGTGCGATAGTAATACTGCTTGCAAGTACTATTACTGTACTGGCGGGCACACGCATGTGCTCCCTGATTATTACTACGAGAAGTGGATAGGATGACAAGTCCGTGCCGCAAGCCTGTCAAAGGCCGATCATGATCGGATCGTCGGCGGTTATCTGTGCAAGTATCTCACTAAACCCTACCCGAGAGTTAAACACTGTTCACATCAGGAAGCCATCAATGGAAAAGATATAGGCCCAATGCTGGATACTCGTTATAAAAGTAGCATCTCAGATCTCTTACAGAAATGTTTTAGTGAGTGAATATTATTGTTGATAGACACGTGCGTACAACCTAAGCGCCTTATTCACGCTCAAACAGCCAGCAGCTTCACAACTTCATACACGCACAGCACGGCACAGCACCTTGCCACAACTTGCTCCCTGTCAGCTGAACAGCAACCCAGTGACCAACTTATATGCAAGTCTCAAAGCTATTGCCTCTTCCCTGTTGACCGAGAACAACCACGGCCCAAACGGCACTCTTCCAATTGGTCCTAGTCGGCGTCACCCTGCGCAGCCGCCCCGGATGCACTGACAAGCCTCAGCCAAAGGGAGATGAACGACCAAGCCAAGTCTCCACCAAGACGGCATTTGACCAAATCAGCTCGCACGTCAAGAGACATCTAGCTGCGCCCTGAAATTAATGACAAGGGCAGTTGTGATAATGTGTAAGACAAGAAAAGAAGAAACAAGAGCGCCGTAAACCAGGTAGAGCTCAACCATGGCAGCTGAGATGCCATACCCGGATCTTGGGCATCGAGGAGAGCTTCTCCCTCGACTGGACGAGTCTTTTGTAGCCTGTAAGAGTATGGCGATACTTGCATCTCACTATCGCAATGGTAATCTGATGACCTGTTGAATCTAAGTTTGTTGAATAGCTTTACGTCGGAACACGCACGTCCAGCTGGCTTCTAAGAGTCCTGATGCCTTGCTTCCCCAGCCTCTCACAACCACCACTGACCGACCATCTGTACGTGCACTGACACTCTCATATTCATGCCGTCATGGACGTGGTATTGCGTGTCTCTGACATGCGCCCAAGACACGGCACCCAAGCCACCGAGATAATAGACCCATTCTCCCTACCTATCCCTTTCTTTGTGCAGCGTGAAAGAGATTGCGCTGTTCCTCTCCCTGCATACGGACATCCAAGCACGGCCGTCAACTTTGGTCCGAGATGGATCGAATGGAAGAGATGGCGGTGATATATCTCGTGGGACTCGGGAGGCAATCAAGGAGAGAAAAGGGTATAAAGTCGACCTTCTTCCCCATCTTCAAACGACTTCCTTTCCTCATCCTCATCAACATCTTCTCTTACCACAACCACCACCCTCTCACACACACACACTCTTCTATCAACTTTTTGTTGTATACCAACCGTCAACACCTTCAAAATGAAGTTCTTCGCCGTCGCTGCTCTCTTCGCTACCAGCGCCATGGCTGCTGTCTGCCCTGATGGCCTCTTCTCCAACCCTCTCTGCTGCGCCACCAGCGTCCTCGACCTCGTTGGTGTTGATTGCAGCACTCGTAAGTCTATCTCCTCTTTCCTAGAAGAGATTCCGCCGTCGAGCGTTTCACTGAATAACGCACTACAGCCACCGCCGCCCTTTCCAGTGGTCCCTTTTTCCAGGCCCACTGTGCTTCCAAGGGCAAACAGCCCCTTTGCTGCGTGGCTCCCGTTGTAAGTATTCCCATAGAGTAATGAGCAAGAGCGCATAACGTTGAGGTATAAATGCTGATTTGATCTCTTGTGCAAGGCCGATCAGGGTGTTCTTTGCCAGAAGCCCATCGGTACCCAGTAGAGTGCCCTTTGCACTTGGATGGTGAACCCTGTCCACGGCATCACGGGGTTCACACACACCGGTATCGAGGGGCTCGCAAATCGGAGGATATTGGATGACAACTGGTAGATATGGCTGGAAATGGATTGAAATGGACGGGTATGGTTGATTATAGGAGGAAACGGATGGGAAAGGGTGGGTAAAGGTTCATGGTGGAGGATTTAATGGTGTATTTGCGAGCGGGATAGGGATGTATGTAGAGTCACTCATTACATGGCAGATATCAATGGGAATTTTTATGCCTGTTGTCCTGAGCTCTCCTTGTGAATGTAAATGGTCAATTGTATCTGATCCATCAGCCAGTGGGCCTGGTATTGTACAGGGCTGAGATTCATTTGGCCTTGAGTTCTTCTATATGTATTCAGCAGTGTATCAAGTCGGCATGTGTGTAAGAGCCTTCCCCTGTTGATGCTCCATCTGCGGGCTGTCCTTGTCCCATGTATCAGCGTGAATTATCTTCAAAGCAACAAGCTAACTATAGTAGGTAGATCTCTGCTATGATTTGAACATTTGATTAAATTCATTGGACTGTTCATCAAGCTGAATGATGTGTAAGCCGTCTTGTGATTCCGCCATGTGTCTTAGGTATATGTACTTTGTCTTGACGTTCTTCTTGCCACTCGCCTTACCCAATCGGTGAGCTCCGCGGGTGACAAACGCGCCCCACATTTCCACTTGTATCGATGAATTTCTACGGCAGGCAAGCAATTGCCAGCCATACTGTGACAGTTCAAAAAAAACATTCCCGATATCAAATCTTCAACTACCAACATCGCTCTCAACCAATAATTCTTGCAATTGTCTACATTCAAACGATATCTCGCACAATTCGTCGAATTCTTCCAAAGCTCACTGCATTCAATCACACCCGACACAAAGAAAACAATGGCAGACGCCGAGACCGGCACCGCACCAGTCGCTCTCTTCAAGAAGCGAGGCGCAAAGGGCAAGGCGAACCTGCGCAAGCGACCGGCAACTCCTCCCCCGGCCGCCAGCGACAGCGACAGCGACTATTCATCCTCAGAAGACGAGGCCGGCCAGAGAGTCAAGCGGCGCAAGAAGACGGCCGTCGTCACCGCCGCTGCAAGGGGAGCCGCGCCCAGCAACCAGGACGGCGGCTCTGCGGTCTTCACGGCAGACAGAAGCGTGCCCATTGCCGACAGCAACGACGCGACCAAGCAGAGCAACTGGTACGACGAAAACGCAAGGGACGCGCTGTCGGCGAAGAACCTCCTCGGCTCGGCTCGAGCTTCAAAGGACGACCAGCCCGATGGCACATACAAGGGACTGGCGAACCAGACTTCATTTATACAAAAGAACCCGGACGCTCCCCGCAAGACTGTTGGCCCTGTCAAGGCGCCTACAAACATCAGAACCGTCACGATAACGGACTACGCCCCTGATACGTGTAAAGAGTTAGTATATGACCCTTTGGCCGTTTCGTTTACCACATACTGACTGATACCACGATAGTTACCGCATCACCGGGTTTTGCGGTTACGGTGATAATTGTCAGTACCTGCATTCTCGAGATGATCTCAAGGCAGGATGGCAATTGGATCAGGAATGGGAAAAAGTCACCAAGGGCAAGAAGAACCTCGGAGGAACCGTGGTGGCCAGCGCGAACCGGAGCAAGTCAAAGGCAGAGGATGAGGACGAGGACGACGATGCGATTCTCGAGAGCATTCCGTTTGCCTGCATCATCTGCCAGGAATCCTACAAGGAGCCGATTGTCACAAGGTGTGGGCACTACTTTTGCTTGCCGTGCGCTCTTCAGAGATACAGGAGAGACCCAACGTGTGCGGCATGCGGATCAGGGACGAATGGCGTGTTTAACTCGGCGACGAGACTGAAGAAGCTGCTGGAGAAGAAGCGAGAGAGGGCGGCAAAGAGGAGACAGGAAGCCATTGAGAGAGGGGAAGAAGTGAGTGATGAAGAGGAAGAAGAAGAGGAATGAAATGAATGAATGGATCATGTTTCATTGTGTATATAAACAAGGATATAAAGAGAGAGAGACCGGAAAAGGGTACATATTTTTTTGCGGATAGACACGGCGTTGATCTTACATTGGAGCAGCTTCTCCAAGGCCAAAAGCTACACATACAATAAATTCACTGCATCAGCACACGCTATTATTCCAAACTTCAAACCCTGATATTCTCCCACTGTGTTGGTGAATTAATAATCAATAAACAAACAAACTCAAGGTAACAAAACCCGCCGGCGCATGTTCCTCATCCAACCCAGCAAAGCAAAGCTCCCCCTAAAACCATCGATGCTGTCACCGATAAGATTAGGCACACCCTAGGCTAGACCACTCCCGGCACATCAGCCTCGACCGCCCCGCCATGTGATCGCATCCCCCAAAGCCAAAGCCAAAGCCCCTCAAAACCAAAAAAGACATACAAGTACATACAAACAGGCTGCCTGAATTAGCACAAGGTTTTCGCAAAAAGCAGATCACGGTCCCTTGAGTCATCAACCCTTTTCTCTCTCTCCCACCACATCACATGCTCGCTCTGGGTCAACTGCCCTGGCCGTCTCGATAACCTCGTTTTGCTGCCTTGTGCTCTTCCCACCGTGTCCCCGAGGCTCTTCATAGATTCTCCAGTCCGAGATTCTCCTTTTCCTTCTTCATCTTTACAACTCAACGACACCTTGAAACAAACATACCTTTGCCCGCTGTCGAAGTAGCTCATATTGATATCCACGCGTTACTTTTTTAAACTCCCGTCCCAAGACGCCCAGTGACAGCTTCCACTTCGTCATCATCATCATCATCGCCGTCACGATGAACTACCTCTACTCGACAGTCAACACGCTGAGGGATCGCTACACCCCCGTCACGCACACCTCGACCTTCCGCAACACCGGCCAAATCACCCCCGAAGAGTTCGTCGCCGCCGGAGACTACCTCGTCTACAAGTTCCCGACCTGGTCCTGGAGCGACGCCGACAACGAGTCCCTCCGCGCCAGCTACCTGCCCCCCGGCAAGCAGTTCCTCGTCACGCGAAACGTCCCCTGCCACCGCCGCCTCAACGACGACTTCGCCGGCGACGCCGCCCACGAAGAGTCCATCATCAACGACGGCGACGACTTCAAGAACAAGGCCGATGCCGCTGACGACGACGGCTGGCTCCGCACCGGCGGCCTGGCGAGCTCCCAGCCGCTCAAGGCGCGCGAGGTCAAGACGGTGGACGATTCGGGCAACGTCGGCGACGACGACCTGTACGGGCTGGACGACGACATCCCGGATATGGAGGATGAGGAGGAAGACGATGCCGTTCTTCGCATCGAGCCTGGCAACACGTAAGCTGAAGATCTCTCTCTCTCTCTTGTTCTCCCCAGTTTCGCCACTCACCGCCAGCATCTCGTCATCACCGGAATCATGTTGCTAACCTCATCTTCTTCTTCTTCTTCTTCTTCTTCACAGCGCTCGACGCACGTATAACCTCTACATCATGTACACGCCCTACTACCGAACGCCGCGCCTCTACCTCTCCGGCTACCAGGCGAGCGGCCACCCTCTGCCGCCCATGAAAATGATGGAGGACATTGTCGGCGACTACAAAGACAAGACGGTGACGCTCGAGGAGTTCCCCTTCTTCGCCAACCACGTCCGCATGGCCAGCGTCCACCCCTGCAAGCACGCGCCCGTCATGAAGTCGCTGCTGGACCGTGCCGATGCTGCGCTGCGCCTTCGCAGGGAGAGGCTGAAAGCGGGCAAGAAGCACTCGGTCGATGGAAAGGACGTCGAGGGCCTGGCCAGCGAACTGCAGAATCTGGACGTCAAGGGCGCTCAGGAGGCCGCTGACAAGGACGAGTGGGAAGAGGTGCAGGAGAACGAGGTGGATGACCAGGAGGTTGCCATCCGAGTAGACCAGTATCTGGTTGTATTCTTAAAAGTGCGTTGTTCCGGTCTTGTTCCTGCGCTGGATATTCCTTCTTTCCCTTTCCTGAAAGATTTGACAAATGCTAATCGTTTTGGGTATCAACAGTTCATGGCTAGCGTTACGCCTGGTATCGAGCACGACTTCACCATGGGTGTCTAATTATGCCAATGAATAGAATCTCCAAGCAGAAGAGAAAGAATCCCATGACTGTTCCGTCTCGAGCTTACCCGATGTAGCCCGCTTCTTCATCTAATCTAGCCATCCCACTCCCTCATTCACGCTTTCTTGGTTTCATGCGTTTGCGGCAGGCGTTTTTGGAGTGTTATTGCTGGGGGGATGGTGGCATACTTTGGTCGTTATCCATATGCCATCATGTTTAGGGTAGCAAAGAATAATAGAAATGTTCATTTCCTTTTTACGTCAGGCTCCCCTTTGGCGACTTCAACGAGCTTACCTCTGGTGGGCGGGCAATCCAGTATACTCCTACCAGGTATGCTGGTATGTTTCTTTCTCCTCCCAAGTTACCCAGTAGTTTGCATGCAAGTGGTATTCCGTAGAGCCGGCATGTGGAGAATGCTACATATGTGCGCTGGGAATTCACACTTATCTTGGACAAGATTGCGTCAGGTGAGATGATATTATGCAGGGAGAGTTCAGGTCATCTCGTTCATCCATTGGACAACGCCTCCACGCTGGATCACTCACCTGGTCAGGTGAATTGACTGCCCTGTGCCGTGCATGTACAAGTATGTCCTCTCGACGTCAGATGGGATCCTTGGTATCCATATTTGTGTATTCACATCTTTCTGTCTCGCTGCTGATCCGGATGCTGTCAGACCGATGGGGGGCCTCGATCTCGACCTGCAGCGAGATAGCAAACTAGGGGTCCTTCGGCGATAATCATGGCCAGCATCATAGATAGACAGATGCTGATCTTGCACGATTTCGGGCCTCTCCACCAGCTTTATTGAAACAACGAGGCTTCTCACGATTGGACCGTGTGTGAAACCACGTCTTTCTCTTTTTTGAGCTACGACCATTGCGGATGAAACAGCATACACTGAGCAAGCGAGCAAGAAAGCAAGCGAGCAAGCAAGAAAGCGAGCAAGCAAGAAAGCGAGCAAGCAAGCAAGCGAGCAAGCAAGCAAGCAAGAGTAGGGCTTTGAGCGTCACCAGCGTAGGACTTCCGGCTCGAGTGCAAGCGTCCGATGCCCTTACCCGCCAAGGGGTGGAAAGAGAGCACAATACCGCCCATCACATACACATCATAGTTGCAGACCGGCCGTGTTTTCCCACCGCCTGCCTGCCTCCCGCCTCCCGCCTCCCGCCTCCCGCCTCCCACCTTTCAGCCCAGCAGGGGCCATCAAGATTCACCTCGCCATCGGCGTTTCCAAGAGCATGGCTAGCAGCAGCGTTATCAGACGGTGCCGATCCGGTAAGACATGGTGGCAGAGTGATCAAGGCACCACTGCTCCTTACTACCGTCTTGAATGAGAGAGAGGATACCCTCTGATAATCTTCCGAGCTCCCGGAATCAGTCAACCGGAATCATTCGACGCTTGGGAAATCCTTGAAGCTTGTTTCTCTACGCCATGTAAGCAGTGTTTGTTCGCAGCCTCTTTCGGTCGGCAGGCCGCAGCTGGGCGGCACAATATCTCATACTCTCTTGAGTGTCTTCCCGTCTTGGTCTTGGGACACCCATCTTGCCCGAGAGCGGTCGCGGGCCGCCTCTCAAGTTGTGTTTCTTTTTTCCAAATCACGTCTTGGCCAAGTGATTGGTTCGCTGGGCTGTTGTCAAGGGAGCTCGTGAGACAATGCAAATGATACGCAACGGCGCCATTCCTCTTAGAGGGAGACGCCATTCATCATGAGACATCGATTAACACAATGGGGCAATATTTGGCGAACGGGCATGGAGGCACACTTACTTGCCCAAGCAGTATTTGCTTTTTCCGTTTTTCTTTTTCCTTCTTCCCCTCTCTCTCCCTTGCGTGTACTATGTTGAGCTAGGCCGCGGCTGGGGTCACAAGTGCCCTGCATAAGGACCCCAGACTAGCTCTTCAGCCCGGGCATCTTGGTCCAGGTAGTAAAAACGATATCATACTTTTATTATTATTATCATCTGGCAGAGACTTACCGCCCACCGGGCTGGTTGGCTAATAGGCCAAACTACCATTCATTGGCGGGCGGGAAAGTCCAATACCGTGCACGGGCGGGCTCCTATGGTCTTCCAATCTATCCGGCATGGACTCCGATCCTTCGTATATGGCCATGTTACCTTGGCCAAACCCGCTCTGATATACATATATTGTAGAAGAAGAAGAAGAAAAGCTTTCCCGTCCTGACGGAGGGTGGCAGTGCTCAGCTGGCTTGGCAGCCGAGAGATGACGGCATCCCTTGACAAGTGCTTGAGCCTCTGAAGTGGTCTAAGCGTGTTCAGCGTGCTGATGCATGATGGTTGATCAGGGCTGAGCTTAAGTGGGTATACAGCAACTGTTTGAGCATGCTTTTTCTCCTGCAGGGGCTTCTCGTTGCGCCGGCTGAGTATAACCTTGACCGTCGTATCTTCGCTTCTGTCCTCTGGCTGAAAGACCGTAAGTTTCTGAGACCAACCTTTCTGGAAGCATAAGTTCCAGCAGCCGAGCACGCAAGGTAGCTAGTGGGCTGTAGCGGATTGTGATGACCTGGACCGAGACGGATGGCGGCGTTGATGGCGCATACTTGGGGTCGTCGAACATGTCCAAAAACGATATGGGGATGTTGGCCTGGTAGAGATACATCCAGCCATTGAAGGCCTCCTCTCCGACGACTTCACATTGGCCCTTTGAGTAAAACGTGTGCAAGACCTGAGACTGGATTTGCGAAAACGCAAAAGTGTTAGTCCCAAGAGACATGGAAATAAGATGAGCATAGGGGTAGGTGACATACGAAGATGGTGCCCTTTGAAGCTTCTCGATTGCAGTTGATTTCTTGGAAATGCCTCCGTTTCTGCTGTGCTACACCAATGAGGAGCGTGACGATGTACGGATCGTATACTGGATGAGGCGGGCAGACTTTCCTCCACCTGTTGTTGAACAAGCGGATGATGGGAGGATTGAAGCGCATCAATCGGTAGCTAACCGACTGCCTTCGTCTCGCCAGAACGTGGTCGCGGTCGATCAAGGCTACCAGTGGCCGTTGGTACCGAAGTGTCTGATGCGTGGAGCTGCGAAGACACAGGCTGATACATTGCAGCCTCTTGATGACACCGCCATTGAAATACAGGCCGAGAGCGTCACTGATGAGAATGGTCAGTCAACTTGATCGGGCGGGCAAGTTAAGAAGGAACAAACTAAGCAATCAAGGGGCATCCATCAGCCGTTAAAAGCAGCCTGATGCCCTGTTCTCGAAATTGGGCCTTGTAGTAGTAGTGGAAGAACTCGTGTAGGTAGGGCGTGCCACTACGCTCCTCTGTGTAATCAGCTTCTGTCACTGCGTACGCGGCTGGAGTCAATGGCTCAGGGAGCAGTCTTTCGAACGAGCATCGCAGGAGCTTGAGGTGACGGGCAGTCCATCGAATGGGGTTAATGATGAGCTCTTCTCCGCAGTGCTGGCGAGCAATGCCGTAGATGGACAATTTGGCAATTCGAGATGATGCCGGCTTGCCAGTTGAAGACATTGGAGAGGAAGCAGCAGAAGATGAAGAAGAGGGAGACGAAGACGAAGAAGAAGACGAAGAAGAAGCAGTACTGTTGGAATCGTTGGCATCGGCCGTCGAGGACGACTGATACACGACAATCTACTGTTAGTTTTTTTTTTTCGTTCCCGTTTGTCTTGTGGAAGAACAAGATGAGGAAGAGAAAAGAGAGAGAATGAGGAAGAAAGACACAACAGATATGGAAAAGACGAAGAGACGGGAAGAACGTGACCAAGACCAAGACCTGATAACCGAAAAAGCAATGCCGGACAAAGTGCAAGTACCTCTGATACAACCAGGTACGTACCACCTGCCCCCGGGCACTGCAAGCTGAGACCCGCAGCATGATTGGCAGGCACTAATTAAAGGCTGGGGTAAACAAAAAATATATGGAAATGAGAGTGAGAATGAGAATGTGAGTGAAAATGAGAATGAGAATGAGATCGGGTGGCACCAGCTCTAGAGCGGCGGTTGGCCAGAAGTGACAGTGACCAGCAGTACACGGGAACCGCAGGCAGACCCTCTCTCTTTCGCAGACACAAGCCCAGATTGTAAAGTATCACGGCGGTAGCAGCACCCGGCCCGGCCCAGCCTGCATTAGCCGTGAGTCTGACTGACAAGATTCACTTCACTTCACCTGACGCTATGAGGGAGCGGGATGGGTGGATGGGCCGCATTTTTCCTTGGCTTCGGGGACGGCACAAGATGGCCGATTGCCTCTCTTTCTTTTTTTCTTTTTCCTTCTCATTTTCCTTTCTTTTTTCTTGTTGCTTCTGCAAGGATTCGAGGGGGTTGCCGCCCCCTCTGACACAGCCAAGAGAGAGGAAAAAGGAAGAAAAAGGAAAAGGAAAAAGAAAAGAAAACGACAAATGAGATCCGTCGCATAACAGGCCATACATAACATGCAAACCGGTACCTAATCAAAGACCGTAGTACTTGGGACACAGAGCGCCTGGTGCTAATTGCGCGATGCTCAACTCCATACTCCGCACTTACACACACCAAACCAAAGACAAGCTCAAGCCACACCACACGTCTCCCTGCATTGTCAGGTTGAAACATCAAGCTAAACTTCCAAGGACGGCTCCTGGGCGGCGCAGAAAATGATGCGTCTACTCTGTAAAAAGGGCACAGTGTTGCAGGCAGCTAGCTGTACAGAGTACATTAGTAGTAGAGAATGACACTACCTTTGTACCTATTCATCGTGGATAGTCCTCGCAGTCCACGGCACGTCTTTGCATAACTCAACTCCAACGAGGCGTACACCATGCCTACCTGCTTTCACTGACACGGGATTTTTCCCGCTAACGTTCCAGGTTGGGTATCTAGCATCCCGTGTCTCAAAGTTAGTAACGGTAGCGCGAAAGGATGAAAGTGAGAGAGCACCTGATGCTGGTGAAAGATGGAGATAATGGTAGACCCCTTTTCTTGCGTTTCGCCACGGAAATGCTTCATATTGGGTTCGTAATTGGTAGGATGCTGGATAACCGGCTTGCGATATTCGTCTTGACTGTCAATCCTCAACCAAAATGTATTCACCAAAATGTATTCACCAAAATGTATTAATCATGAGGGATGATATATTAGGCACTTTCAACAAGAAGAGACTTCATCTATAGTCCCTCTCATTTAGCATTAGCCATCCACTTATGCAGTATAAACACCAGATTCGACAACTACCAAGTACGAAGCAGATATAAACACACCCAACAAAAGAAATGTACCAAATTGAGCCCGGCATGATCTCGCCAAGCTCAATAGTTCCATGAACAACCCAAATCCCAACTCTTCCAGTCCAAGTCCAAACCCAGCCCGTTACCGATCATCGGTAATAAAAACACCCAATCTATCAACTTATGTATATATATAGGTATATGCTGATGCTAGTGAACCAAAAGATAGCCGCGGCCACTAACAAAGACCAAACATCACCCAAAAAGCAGCGCTTGTCTACATAGCTCTTGGGCTTCCCTTGGACAGTGCTCTACCTCCTCCCAAAGGGAGCCCCAAAGTTGCTCGTCGATTTAAACTTGATGGCGACCTCGGGCTCCGAGTTCCTGCCATCACTCTCGTCGTCTGAATCTTCCGTTTTGACAGGAATTGTTGGGGATGCTTCAACTTGGGCGGGCAAATCTTCGTCATCATATTCATAGGAAAATGGATAATCGCTGGGTTCCGCTTTGATTGAAGTTCCGTCATACGCATACCCCGGCTCCTCAGCCCATTTGATGCGATACGCGGGTCGCTTTGGTGGATCATGGACGTCCCTCTTTTGGCCATCGTTGTTTGGTACTGGCCAAGTGGAGGGAATGGGCCGGTCCATTTCTACATGGACACCATCATGTTCCTCGTCGGTTTCCGACTGTGTCCCCGATATATCCGTGTTGTCGGGCGCTGTAGTCTGGCTGGCATCCGCACCATCAAAAGGCTCGCCATGCACCGCTGACAACGACGCCGGCACTGCAACAGGTGTCTGCACGGCCCTAGGAAGGGCATCTTGCCCCTGGCTAATTGGCTCGAGTCTTTCGTTCAAGGCAGCGAGAAAGAGCTCATCCTGAGCGGGAATGTTCTTGATCATCAAAGGGCCCTTGAGAGGAGCATCGCCCGAAGCCGCTGAGAGGGCTCCCGATGAATCTGCTCGCCTGAGGTGATTGGAAAGATCGGGGTACGAGGCCCCGCTACTCTCGCCCACCTCTTCTGTCGCAGTTGCAGTCACACTGCGATCTTCTGTCTCGGGAGAGTCGTGCCTTTCAGCAAGGAAAGAAGAAGAAGCAGTTGGAGTTACGCTGCCTTGGCCGCGCAACAACACAGTCTCAGACGGCGAAGAGGGCGAATAGCAGCTGGGAGTATATCCGGCATACATGGTGAGCCGTCGCTCCGCATCCTCCCTATACTCCTCATACTCGGTCTTCTTCGCATCCTTTACTTCATCCTCTCCGTGCACATTGGTGACAATGTAATAGTCATGAGACAAGCTACGTCGCCTTTTGCTAGGAGGAGACCCATCTGGAGGAGCTTCCTCGAATGTGGTCTTTCGGACGGTGCTTGCCCTGAGAGAAATGCCCTCAAGTTTTGGATCAAGCTCGTGGACATCGATGACGGAAAGCGGCCTCTTGGGGCTTCTCACCGGCGTCGAGACGCCACCGCTCGCCGCCCCTGCGCCTGGATAGGGTGAAGAAGGCAAGAAGGGCGAGAAAGTCGGGCTTATCGGGATGGTCTCATGTCCGGGCTGAGGAGACATGGAAATGCGCGTAGATGGAATTGTTGAAGGCGCTGAAACCGGAGGAGGAGACACAGATCTACCCAGAGGCGACGGGTTTCGATGTGTTGGCATCTGAGGGGACGCCGGTAAAACAAAGCCGAAAAGATGAGAGTAGCAGCCCGGCAGCCCGGACACCCGGCGGTTGTCCCGGGCGCCATCGGAGCTACCGGCGCCGCTGCTTTGCCTCCTAGCCACGGGCGGAGGAGGCGAAAGAGGACTGCCGAGAATTGGCGAAAGAGGACTCGGGATGGATGGCGAAGGAGGGCTGCCGTCAACCAGAGGCGTATTGCCTTGGAAGCTGCCTTGGTATATGATTGGCTCGCCAGCTTGAACCTGATCTGCGAGCCTGCCCCTGAGTACTAGGTTTTCATCTCCCAGCGTCCTAACCTGCTCGCTGAGATAGGCAACATCAGCTTTTAGCTGCGTCTTTTCAGCATCCCACACTTCACGGTAATAGTCCACAGTGATTCTGGCCTCTTCTCGAAGAATGCTTTCCATACGATGCCGAGCCTGCTCAGAACGAGCGCGCTCATCTTCCCAAGCCGTGTTCAATAGCTCGTACTGCCGAGCCAATCGACACTGGAAGCACTTGGCCGTTGTACCACCGGAGCAAGTGAGACAACGACAGTCCGTGGTAGCATTTCCCGACGTACGCGGCGGCGAGACCGTGGGACGTTCTCCAGCAACGAGTTCAGGAGGAGCTACAGTAGCCATGGGCGGGGGGTAAACGGGAGCAAAGGGGCTCTGCAAGCGATGTCCCCTTGATGGACTTGGCGGGCTGACGCGATAAGGACTATATGCAAGATATTTGCCCAAGTTGGGATCCATCAAAGCCAACGTTGACAGCGGGGGCAAGGGAGTGCCCCTGTGGTCTTCGTAGTCATAGCCATGAGTAAAACGAAAGGCAGCGGCAATCTCGTGATCGGAAAGGAGACTCGTGGCTCTGCCATTGTATCTGCCATTGCCAGTGATGGTGCCACTTGTACTATTGCTGCCGTTGCCACTCATGGTGCTATAGCCGTTTGGAGGCCGGCTGGGCCCAGGATCTGGACGATGTTCGACGGCCCCAGAGGGCAAGAAGGCGTCCGTGCCGTTTGGGGACCGTCTCGTCTGATCCGACCTGAACAACGACACGGGCTTCCGGTCCACGTCTGAGGTTTCCCAGACAGGTCGATTCGTTCTGCCAGCCATGTGGAACAAGAAGGGGGGGGGAAAGCTTGATAGCTGCCGTCAGGTACACGGAAGATGCAATGAAGAGGAAGAGAATGAGACGAAGGCGGAAGGGGATGGGGATGGGAAGAAATATCTAAACACAGGGTAACAAAGACGTTTGACGGCGCTTGCTAAACAAGGAAGAAACTCGCGCGGTGATACTTTGGACGGATATCAGCCAAACCGGTGTGGCTTGATATAGCCCGAGAAGCAAAGACGTTGGAGAGCTTGCTTGGTTGTAATTGGATTGAAGCTCAGCTCGGCAGTTCGGGGCGAGAAGCTCGGTCAAGAAACAGCGGCTAATATGCTGCCCGATTCTGCGGAAGACAGTATAGCAGTGCCGCAGTGGCCAGACCTTGTTGACGTGTATCTTTGTTTTGAACGCGGCAAGTGGCTTGGGTTCCTTGTTCGGTGTCTGAATGTCGTGATTCGAGTAGCGGAAATGATAGTGCGGAGTGGCTAAGTGGCTCAATATATGACCGACACCAACAAGGACTCTTTGGTGTATATGTGAGCGTATGTATAGCCTCTGTGAATCGTGCAATGCGAATTTTGAAGCCTTGAATCTCTCAAGGCGCAAACACCAGAATTCAGGCAGGTATGAACTGAGATTTGTAGAATGGGGGAGAAATGATGATGTGATATAATGTGATATAAGGTGACGCAGAAGATGCAAGCTGAGACGCAGAAACAACGCAGGTACAAGAGTAAGGCCGACGTTCAAGTACAAGCAAAAGAGGCAGAAATAAAAAAGGCAACTGGCGTAGGGCAGATGCAACCTCAAGCCAGATCGGTCTTTGGTCGGCAAGGCGTCGGTTTTTTCTGCGATTAGTGTACTCGTACAGGATTGCCCTATTGAGTAGGTAAAACGGGTATCTGTTGTCTACCTACTACTAAGGTAGTAGCCAGCAGGTGAGAGCGGGGGAATCGAGGATGAATGACGCTTGGTTTCGTATATACCGGGGAAACAAGAGCTGAACAATAAGTGTGTGAACGGTGACGCATACAGAGCGGCGTTGAGACGTATGTGAAGTGACTGACTTGGCGCACAAGGATTTCCCCAGCCAATGCCGGCAGACGAGAGGCTTCTTATATAGCTGTGCGTTGTCTGTGACGAGGTGCTCTCTTGCGTGTCTGGATGGCCCAAAACCTCACGAGCCGGTGACTAGCTGGCGAGTATTAGAACCCGAGACACACTTGCCACGCTTGTCCAAGTGTCCAGCGCGAGCCCCCAGACTGAGCTTCAAGACCAGAGGGACGAGTATGAGTACAGAGCTGTCACCAGGAGCGGCACAAGGCGAGGGTGACCGGCGCCATGAGACGGGATGGTGCAGCGCAAGGCCATGCGCGCCTAATGAGATGCTAGTAATGCAGGGAGCAGCTTCGGCTGGACTCGAGACCGGGGGATTGTACGCGGGACGCCATACAGCGAGCGAGCGAGTGAGTGAGTGGCCAATTTAGCACCCCCCCCCCCCCCCCAGCCTGTTCGACGGACGAGTGAGAGGTCGCGGATCGGTGATTTGGTCGGCGACACAAGCAAGGTGAAAAAGAAGGAAGAAGAAAGAAGAAGAAAAGGGGGAAATGGGGTTTAGTTGGGCGCCATGTAGCAGCCAAAAGGAGTGCGGCTAGTAATTCCAAGACGAACGCGGGATGTTCTGTCATGAGAGGGGGAAAATTGGGAGCAGTGAGTCGAGTCGAGTGATGGAGAATTGAAGTGCTGAATGGAAAGCTTTTCGCAATGGGGCAAGGTTCCAGGTTGTGATGGGGTACCCAGCGGTGCTAACACGGTAGGTGCGGTACTTGTTCGGTACTTGCCACATGATTGACACTGATACTGACACTGACTGACACATGACTGCCGGCTTCATCAGTCAAGCCAGTTCAGCAGCGCCTGGATAAGTTTAATTCAAAGGTTAGTAGGTAGATGCCGAAACAAACTTACCTCCTAGGTAGACAACAATGCCCGTACCTAGCTCTAGGTAGGGTATACAGGCATACTTACTTACTGTTGTGCATCCAAACCCCCATGCAGCCGTCAAATCCTCACGAGCATGTGCCCCCCTCTGTCTGTCTGTCTGTCTGTCTGCCTGTCTCTTCTGCCTTTTTCTGCCTTCTTTTTTTTTCTGCCTCCCGCCTCTCGTCTCTTTTTCTCCCCATCCCACTATTAGCCTCAGTGCAATGGATGGCGCAAGTAGGTACCTTACCACGGAATGACGCAGGTGACCCTCGTAGCTCCAAGTTTTTTCCCCCCTTCATTCTTCCTCTTTGTCTTGCCCCTCTCCCCAACTCAACTGAAAACGACCAGAAAAGTGACCAGTGGTTCAGCCTCTTTGGGCACCGCCCCGCAAGTATCCCTTCGGGCCGCTCTGCTCTCCACTTCCACTTCCACTTCCAGGCACCGCGAACCACAACTTCCAACTTCCAAGGTCCCAAGGTTTAATTAACAGCTGTGAGTGTGTGCGCATAATCTCGTCACCAGAGAAGGCGAGAAAAAAGAAACACCCTAATAATACCGAGCCGCTTCAGTTTGGCTCGGCTGAATTCTATTCGAATCAGCAGCAAGAAAAAAGGAATCCCCTCTCTCTCTCTGCTTGGCACGCCTTCTCTTCGACTCGTCTCGCCGGCCGTTCAGCTTGCTTCCTTGCCTGACCTGACTGTTTGCCTTCCGGGGCTAGTGTAGCCAGTAAATGAACTGCATGTACTCCGTACAAATGTGCTGGAGTGCCCATGCTGCCTCATAGTGCATTGAATCCGGGTGGCGGTGTGCAAAAGTAAATGCAAAAAGCAAAAAAAACTCTAAGCATCCCTACCTTAGTAGTACCTTGCCTGAACCCAGGCACAGTACTTTGGAACAGTACTTTGGAGGCGCCTCTTCCAATTCTGGGCAGTACTCTGCTCATATGACTGCCTTCTGCCCTCCAGCAAGTATACTACTTGCTACCAGCTAGATGGTAGGCAGTAACAGAGAGTGTATAGTATCGAATATCCAGCATGGGGCATGGCTCATGGCTCATGGCCCTCGAGCACGGGATTGTCGTGGTTAGTTTTGACACCAAACAAAGACATGGCAGGCTTCTCCGGGCACAGTTCTCGGTTCAAACCCATTATCCACTCAGAGCCCCTTGCCTCTCAAGCACTGCCCATGATTCGACTGCTGCGGCCTATCGAGCACCATTGGGTACATGTCTCGCCCGCTCAATCTCATTCAACCATCAGTGACCATGATGAATGCTATACACTGCGAGTCCATCTGGTGGTCTCCCCCCGGGTCTGCAAGCAATTTGCCCCGCGGCCGGAAGTCTCAGCCGAACCCCTTGATGGGATATCTACTAATTGCTGTGAGTCCATCTCGTTAATCATTTCCCGGGCTGCGAGAGCCATCCGTGGGTGAGTTTTGCCTTGGACGACATGGTATTCAAAGTTTGCCTTGGTCAGCCGCAGCGCTTATTTCCCGCCGCCTGAGCCAAGGAATCCGACAGGTCGTTCGTTGATCCTGGTAGAGAGCGCGGACGGGCCAGTCAGTGCCTTGCAGGCTCTGTTTCGTACCACCGGTGCTATTGACGCCGGGGAGTATCATTATCAGCCCATGATCGACGGTTACGGTAGTCTCGATGGCCCTAGATGGAGCTCAACCCAGAGATCGGTGCAATCGGATGCTTCTCGGGGGAGATCAACCACCTTGGCACCCTGTCCAAGTTCAGCGCGCCTCTTTCCAAGCTTGACAGGCCTGTAGACCGGTAGGCACTCGGTGTATTTTGTAGATCTGCCGCTATGCAGTAGCTTTGGTTTACGCTTAAAAGATAATAGGCGTGGCTGGTTCAATTTCTTGACATGACTGGAATATGGTATTGGTCGGTAATACTCGGCGGCGGGTATGAAAGAACGCACACACAAAAAAACCATGGTTGTGGCGCTGGATGACCAGGCCATCAGCACCATCTTCCTGCTGCCGAATGTCGGCCTCTGTCAGTTGTTGTTTTGAGAGTTGCCCCATCATATCATCTCCAAACCTTCTCCGCCGGGATACAATGGCTCATCAGTATGCCAGTGCCATGAGGTACACGCAGCGCAGAACATTCCCTCATTGGGACCTCGTATAGTCCCACCTGGCGGTATTACGCCTTCTCGCCATGTCGGTCTGTAGTCGCATGTATAATGCGCTGTTGGAAAGTGATTCTCCCTTGCGGATTTGGCCACGTCTGCCGGATGCCATTTGCCGTTCTGTCTTCTGTCCCCCCCTCACAGATGTGTGTCTCATCCGTTCACCGGTCTTTTATTTCCTTTAGGTGTCGCGTCTAAGCAGCTCCAACAGCACTGTCTGTATACAGGCAGGCAGACAGGCAGCTTGTATTTACCGACATGTCTGGGTAACTTCGGTATAAACTGCCTCGAGAGAGTACTCGTAAGTAGGTGTACCGACAGAGGTAGCTCGCAGCTTCTGATGCAATCGTACTTCTCTTCTCCGATCCTCGCCCCCCCACCCCCACACGTATACTATTCATCTCCTACATGGGTGCAGTTGAAGCATACAAGTAATTGCTCAAGCTCACATTCTCTCAAGGCCTCAAATGCCACGACTGGAAAACAGTAAAACAGAGCATTGCGAGTGAACACTCTCTGATGCTGGTCTCCACTCATATCAGAGTCCAGAAATGGCTTTCAGCTGTGGCGTACATCCTTGTTCTCAGGCCAAAGAAAAGGCGAGGGCACAGAAGCGCAAAACCAAATGAACAACTGAGACTCTGGCCGCATGTACGGTACACCAGTGCCCAATTCTGATGCTCAGGCCCTCGTATCCAAGCTTGCTGCCCACCAATATCCAAGACAATGCGAGAGTGCGAAGGAAATGGATGGCTGAGAGATGCCGGGGGAGATGCAGGGTTTATGCGGTTGACCCGGGCTCTCGCAAAGCACCTCGCTTTTCATTGTTCCCCTCGTATACTGTTCCTCGTTGATTCGTTGCCTGCTACTATGATGGGACTCTTGGCTGCCCCCTAACCATACATTAAGCTGCAGGAGGTGGCCAACAACCCAGGCCATTCGCATGTTCTAGACAACATGGCTTGAGATCCTGGATGAATATTGGTTGCTTCTGTCTGGTTGGAAGGATCCCCGCCAAATTTTGCAGGTCAGCTGCAATGGCACAATGCTTTCTTTTCTTTTCTTTTCTTTTTTTCAATAGTGAGGGCCTTGGTTGCATGACACTATCGTTTCGATTGCCACCATGTTGCCTTAGGTTCGCCGCGTCAGTGACCTGGTATGATATGACTCGAAGAATCGGTGTCTATCAGCTTGACAATTGTTCCCGGTTGCCCTGGATATTCTCTCAAAGGGACCAAGATCACACCTGTGGATGACCTCGTGAAAGCACCCAAGTGGAAAAGCAAGACTTCCGCAGCTCCTTGACAGAGAGTCAAGAGTCAACATCCATAATAGAAATGAGAGAATGTCCGGGGAAAAGTGCTGGGTTGATATTCGGGATTCAATAATCGCCGTCCAATCTGTGTCTTCTCCCTCTGAAGTCCTTTCTGCTCTGATGATAGCGAGACATGTTACTCGTAGTTATTGATGCATGTTGCCTCTGGCGCCCTTCTACCACAATGGCAGCAAATCTCCATTCTTAATGGTAAAAGGCGGAAGGAATTATAGCAAAGGGCTGTTCCACCCAACTGGCCGACCTAGAGCTAGGCACCCCTGCAGGTGGACTTGAGCAAGCCCAAAGCCGCAGCAGCATAGCGGTGCCAGACACTGTAGGGTATCGTTTTGTTGGAGAAACTTCTCTGGTGTAACTCATTCGAATTCAGGTAAGTGAGCATGAAACAAGACGCCACTTCCATCTGTTGAATGAGAGATAGTGTTGCTGGATGCCACGTTAGCGACTTGTAGTTTGAAGTCAACTACGAGGCCACCAAGCCCGGCGTCGCGTTCACAATTCCCATTCTTGGCCACACTCTCCCGGGGCTTCCAGCAAAAATAGTTTTGGTTGGCGGAAAAGTAGTTCGTCGGTGCTGTACTTCGTACAAGGAGACGGCCTGTCGTGTCGCTGTGCCACACCAATTTTGTTCATATGCAGCATCGCACACAGATTTATTACAACTGGGTAATACAGAGGTCGCCTTGGGGCGGCTGCTTAGGAAGAGAGTCAGTAACTCGATTAATGCAAATGTGATGCCTCACTGGTCTTCATCTTGCATTCCATCCAGAGCCATCCAAAGAGAGAATATTGCTTGAGCAGGAGGTAGTATTGAAAACCGTTCGGTTGAAGGGGGGGCGGGGGCACAGCTTGCATCTCATCAGGGTACATGCACCCCTGTGTGAGCCCGGGCACTTCATGGCGAACTGTGCCCACATAGCAAGTTTTGTGGAGTTGCCCCGAGCAAAAGAGAGCCATTGATCCGGGAAGATCTAGAGTGGAATATTGCATAGATCAGTGTCGTGAGATCTGGTGAAAGTTGTAGCCCCCCAAAATCAAACCGCCTCGCTCCAGCAACAAAACATCCATGCCAAGAAATAGCCTGGTCTATGGGGTCTCTCTTTGAAAGAAAATTTGGTGATAGGGGTTGCGACTGTCGCAATGACATTTGAGTCGAGGCGCAAAATAAATCAAGAGAGACACGTATCTCCTGTCGTGTTTAGCAGTAATTTTGCCCTTCCCGGTGTCAAAGTCTTGGGCTTGAGCTTGATTTGCCGCCGTTCCAGCTTGCGAGCTACTCACAAGGAGGAGTGGGATTTTACCACCTTTGACTGGGGTGTTGCTCGGGGAGCGTTTAGTCCTGTTCTTGTCCCTGTTCCTGCTGCATGGCCAATGTTGCCTCGCGTCATGAGATAGCAGACTACGCTTCCCACTGGAGAAGGAGAGCTTCTTCCGTCTTCGAAAAAGCGTTGTTGTCCCTTTTCTGCAGCTCTCTGGCATAAATTTGTCTCTTACTCTGAACTCCCTGGTTTGAACACACTAGCGACGGCGGTGATAGGACCACACCAGGGCTTAGAAGGAAACCAGGATGCAGCCCATCAATGGACAAGGCAAACACCGGCTTATTGGGGCCGGCCTGGTTGGCAGAGTACGATATGTTGCTACTTATTCCCTGAGTCGTCTCTTGCAGTCAAGGTGCCCGTATTGTCTTGATGGTAGAAATTCGACCGATAGAGCGCGTAAAAAGAAGCGGCAGGGCATCAGTCATGGGATTTTGATGTCATTGAGATCTCATACTGCAAGGTATGAAACCACTTCACCCGAGCCTGGTCTAGAAGAACGAGAGGATAATATCCCCCCTAGCCGTTCCGTAACAACCCCCGGTCAGGCTGGAAGTGCGGGTCATTCTAATCATTGCTACTCTGGATGGTCAGCGATCCAGGCCGATGAGCACTGCAACTTGGGATCGATGCCACCCTACCTACCAGCCCAACAATCCTACGTTTATGCAGCGATGTGCCGTCCTAATCATTCAGCAGCGGCGGAGATTGCTGTCTGAGGGGCTTAACAAGCGAGGACTGTCATTCCTTGGTTTGGTTTTCAGCTATCAGCCGTGCAAACTAGCAACGGACCAATAAAAGAAAAAGATAAAAGATAAAAAAAGAAAGAATCGACCAGGGGTGTACACCTCTGGCGTGAGACAAGAAGCAAACCAAATCCGGTCGGGTCCTGAAAAGGTTGGAAAGTGGCCGCCTTCTTGCTGACCAGGAGCATATCTCTGTGCCTGTTGTATTCCTGTTCTTCCCGCACCTCGCAGACCGGTCAGCGCACGTCAGTGGAACCCAGGTGTGACAATGTGGCTCGGATGCGACGCCAGCGTCTCTAGAGTGCATTTGATGCTGCTGTGGGATGCGAGCTCAGACACTCTGAAGCCCATTAAGAAGGCCTAGGAACTGTCAAGATGCATGAGGCCCTGTCCTTGTCCCGCTGAAAAGCCAATACCGGAGAGGCTGGTGTTTTTTTGGGCCGCTGGTAGCGCACGTGGAAGCAGCCACGTACTTTGGCCTAGCACAAGCACTGCCGCGCGATTGCAGCAGCAGCAGCCGCTCTCGAGACCCGATTTGGACAGAGACGCATTAAAGATGGCAAGCTAGTAAGACAAGTATGTTCAAGGTCAAGGGCCAGGCGTGTGCGGCGTCGAGTAGAGAAGAGAAGAGAGAGAGCAGGGTACCGGTCCATACCTGAAAATGCAGAGAGCTATTGCCATGGTTGACTTTCCATTGACTAGACCGGTGCCCTGCTTCAGCTCTCGCAATGTAGGAGCAGTACCTGGGTAGATACCTACTAGTAGGTAGGTAGAGTTCGTATAAAAGGTAGGCAAAGGTAGCGAGGCGTTCCCAAAATCTATTCCTTCTCCAGTCCAAAGCTTGTTTTGCATCCTCCTTTCTGCACTCTGTTGTCCTTCATTTTGGTCATTCGTTGTTTTGACAATTGAAAAAAAAAACATCGCCGTTCTTGCATCTTGGCCAACTCCGCTTAGCCTCCCTGCTTTGCCCCTGTGAAGGCAAGGGGATCCCGAGGTCTCATTTTGAGTGTCTCTGCTTGTGAACCATCCCAAGATTGTACTTCGTACGAACTCTCTGCTAATGTTGGCAAGAAAGACAGAACGGATCCGGCATAACGTGGCTTCGACGCAAGAATGGCACCAGGTAAACAAGACAACGCCGTCATACACCAATGCGATGAGTGTACGGTGGCATACACCAGCCGGCGACACTTGGAGCGTCACCGTAAGATACATGCCAAGCTGAGAGAGCGAGAGAAGGCTAGACGGCGCAATCACAGGTGTGTCCATTGTCGGCGTAAATACGCGACCGACGAGAGGCTCCAAATACACATCAACGACTACCACTTCAAGGAGACTGATGAGCGATTCGCTTGTGCGCGCTGTCTGCTTTATAAGATGCCGTGCAAGGGAGCTCCTTGCAAATGGTGCAAAATCGATGGTAAAGCTGCAGAGTGTGTCATTGCGGTTCCGCTGCCTGCTGTACCGGTACCTCCTCCTGCTACATCTCCACAGCAGCAGGAACAGGCAGAAGAAAAAGGGCCACAAGATGATACACCGATCCAACAAGGAGCGCTAGGGTCAACTTCTGGCCATGTTTCTGCTGGTTGGAGCACGCCACGCCCGAATAGCCCAACGGATAGCATCCTATCTCTCCCCCCTCGGCCACGCCCGAATAGCCCAACAGATAGCATTCTGGCTCTTCTCTCCCATCCACTTCCTCCCATGGATATTGATACCAGTGCGGACAGCCTGTCTTCCAGATCAGCCGCTCCTGGAGAAGTCAATGTCCGAGCTGGTAGCCTTAGCTGGCTGGACTTTGAAGTGGCGTATCTGAGCCCGCAGACGCCTCTCATTCAAAGACTTATCAACGATGATTCCCATTCACGCAGTCAAGGGGACTCTGGTGATGGAATTCCTCTTGATGCTTCCCTGGTGGCAGCACTAGACAGCCTGGGGCTTCTTTTCAAGGAACCCTGTATTCCTCAGATTCTGGAGCTATCCGAGCTCGGCCTCGTACCTGGAATCGAGCTGCTAAGGCAACTTGTCGATAATTACTTTCTCAAGTGGCAAAAGATCCAGCCTGTTTTTCATGTTCCTACCTGGGAGTTTGCGAAGTGCCCAATGGTGGTGCTCGGAGCAATGGCCTGTATTGGCGCAGTCTTCGACGAGGATGATGAAGTCGTCTACCAGGCGCATCACATCAGCGCACGGTGCGTCTCGGAGCTCAACATCATGGTAAGCCTTCACTACATGGCCATCTCTTGCCGGTATAGATGCTAATGTCGACAGGCTACTCGCCGTACTGGAAATAGCCGCGATATAATGCATTTGGCTGCCATTTGTCTTCACCAGGCATATTTGCTTGGGTCCGGTGACGAAAACATCCACAGCCAGGTTAACGGAGTCCGCAGCTTTCTCATTGACAGTCTGAAAAGTCTGAAGCTGTTGGGTTCCGGCATGAGTGGCCGAGATGGGCCAGCTCAGGTGCACGTGGCACCGACTCGATCAGAGCAGGCCGAATGGACCGCATGGGTAGCACGAGAGCTCGAAATCAGAACGACGTGGGCTGTGTTCGAGTTTGATTGCAGTTTCTCCCTTCTCACCAACAGCCCCTGTGCCATAGATCTGAGAGATCTACCCCTGAGATTCCCATGCTCCGATGAGTTATATAATGCTCCAGATGCGGAATCTTGGGCCGATCTCCGATTCCAATCACCATTTCGTGATGAGGGACCACAGGTATCAACTGTCGTGGCGGCGACGGCGGCAAAAAAGGTATTGTCGGATCATATCTCTCCTTGGAGCAAACGTCTGTGCACCCAGGTGTTGGAGAGGATTTTGAGAGGGTACGTGAGGCAAACTCAACGAGATAGCACTATTGCGGCTGCCCGGCATCATGGCCTGGATCTGGGATCTGCTACCACAGAGAGGGCAGAGTCATTGCTTTGGTCCATCAGCTTTTTGGGCAAGTCCGTACATGATGCTGCAATCTCAAAACCTCTGTCAACGATGGACCTCTTCAATTTCAGGCAAGTCGCCCTTCAGTCGGCAGAGAATTGCGTCTTTGACAATTCGCTGACTTTAATCCATAGCTCAACCATGTTGATCCGCCATCATACTCACTTGACAGTGTACTCGGATGTCATGGACTTGATAACGTATATTGCTCGTGCAGCCGCTTCGCGCCAGTCACCCAACTGCCGCACATCCTTGCGCTGGGCGCAGCAAAAGCTGATTGAACAATTCGCACAGCGCCCACATAAATCTCGACAGTATGTGTGGCACGCTGGCCAGATGATCAGAATAGCAAAGATATATGCAATGTTTGTACCTTGCGACAACCTGCGCATCTTTACGGCATATCTCACCATACTTGCGTTTGCAAAATACGGCCCCCGATCTCTAAGAGATGTAGAAGGAGTTGAACCATTTCATGTAGACAGATGGCCTCAGGATGAGAAAGACGTCGAGAATTGGCTTCAATCCGGCGGCCCGGCCCAGATGGGGTCTTGTACAGGTATCCAGGTCGGATGTCGAACTGAAAAACTTATACAAGAATCGTTCCACATGCTTCACCGCCTGGAACACTGGGGAATCTCTGAGAGGCTCTTCAACGTCTTGCTTCACTTTAATAACCTCGACGTCCTTGATTGATAACGGGGGAGTATTTGGTGTTGGTCTTTGCATTGTGATGGAGGACCATTCTTTTTTTTTTCTGTTGATATTGTCAGAAAATGGAAAACGAAAACAGACTTGAGGCAATAATGATATACCCCATGATGTATTAGAACTGAGTCGATTCTTTTGGGTAGATGATGAAATTGGTTTTTTGCGCCTCTTGTGTCAATTCTCCTGCGACTAATTGTCTGTTAATACGTGTTGTTGTGTGAGTGGCTCTTCCAACATCTCGGGCATGATTCTCCAGGCGAAAAAGAAAAATTAGCCGAGAAGCGGCTCCAAGGAGACTCTGCTGAAGAAGAATCCCTTCAGAATAATGGGCGTCTTAGTCGCCATCATTCTAGCCCGTCAAGTATGCGATGAAGTATCCGCAAAGGAGCAGAGATTAGCAGAGAATAGTAGCAGGCTGCCCTTTGGCGAAAGGACAAGTAGAGATCCCAAATAGCCCTGCAGCGCAGCAGATATTGGCGGCTCAATCGCGCTGTTTGCGAAACAAACTCAGCCTTGTCTGAATATCACGTGTTGTGCAGCCGATGACGAGGCTGAGAGGAAGAGACTGCCTTCCGCTTCACTGTGCTTTGCACACATGGTGGTCCAATCCAGGTGTTCTGGGAGGTCTACATTAGATGTTGTCTGCTATAGATGGAACGATGAGAGTTAGACTCACCATTATGAAGAGATCGGAACCAGCTTGCTCACTCTTGGAGAAGCGCCAAAGACCAATGACTATTCGGACTTGTAAAAGGCGATGGTTGGAATACAGAATGGTCGTCTGTTTTATGATGTAGGATCGTAGCCTGCCAGGTCCGGTTGCGTAATAATCACAGACTCTCACAAGAAATGGGATGTGATATGGTAGAATACAAGAATCAAGTTAATGGAAGATACTAAGATGATATCGAAGGGAAGTACCTAAGGAAGCAGACGAAGCAGGACATCTACCCGTGCGTCAGGTGACTACACGTGATTCTCAGCGAGGAAGGAAGTGTTGAGGTTATACATGCAAACGTACATTTGTGTGCAAGAGCGAAGCTTGAAAGACTACCTGTAGGTACGGCCGAGGTAAGTATTATGGCATTTTGAATCGGACCAAAGGAAAGAAAGCATCGATGTGAATGTGAGTGCGAAATTGATCGGACATGGGCGAAGCGGTCGGTACCTCTTTTATAACTGGAGAGTATAAGGTACCAATCAACATATGCGGTTGGCGATTTCTATCGGTATCAATCAAGCTGGCTACAGTATCCAGATTGCTGTTCTATACAATCAACCAGATTCAATTCATCGTTAAATAAAAAAAAAAAAAAAAAAAAAACAGGCACCTCGGCTATTAAACGAAATGGAAGCGCGCATCAAAGCGGATGAATCTCGAGAGAGAAGAAGCCACGGCCTTTTTCGTCCAGAGTCGTGTCAGATAATTGGCTGGGGATTCTTGGTCCACTATGGGCCACAGGGATCGCGGTTGGGTGCAACCCTTGATTTAGCGCATGACTTGGTGCACATCATTAAAAGCTCCACTGAAAGGTTTGAGTAAGAAAAGAAGAAATTTCCCAGGAACGCCAAAAAAAAAATGAACGCTCGTTCTCTCAATCTTTTTTGGATATAGGAAAAGCCCAATGCGGGGGTCGAACCCGCAACCTTGAGATTACATTCAGAATGTGTAACTCTTAAGAGTCTCACGCTCTACCGATTGAGCTAACCGGGCGTACGAGACGTCCTAGTTTGTTGGCAGTTTTTCATGCTAATCGCATTATGAAGCATACTTTTGTCTCCAATATTTCGCTACACCACCAGTCAAGCATAGCACACTTGCTACTTCACGAAGCAGCGAACCAAAGGGGCTCGTTTTACCTAACTGTGACTTTTATTTGATAGCCTTTTTTCCCCCTTCTTTGGAACCATATGCTGGATTTCACATGCATAATAATTTGCCCACAAGGCACTGGTTAGAGTACGCAGCCTGGGCAACGCTGAGCGCTGAGCACTGCTCAAAATCCGGGCTTCATACACCTCTACCCATCTTGGGCTGTCCAGCCCGCTCAAACCGAACATGCTCTTGCTTTGTCCTTTATCTGAAGTTATTTCTCATCTCACAGTGGAACTGGGCATTCTCACAAGGAGCTGCTAAACGGTGCTAAAAACATGGCATCCAATACTTTTCTGGGCATAATGCAGGTTGGCTGCCAAGAGCTGAACAAAAGGACCCCCTGCATCCGTTACCATGTAGAGCCTCATCACTTCACCGGGTCGGGCCGTATCTGCCAAGGCAGCCTTCTCGCAATGCTCGGCAGTGGCGATCTAATCCCGATACTTCGGTGCGAGTATAGCAATATCTGTGTATCTCAACCATTCACAACTTGCCTCAGTGAGCAAAAAGTGGAGGATTGGGGCGGGCTGAACTTTTCACGGTACTGTATTTCCGCAACAGGGCTATCACATTGGTGGCTATTCTCCGCCCTCATTGTCTTCGGGCGTGGAAGAGGGATAGATTAGATTATCCGTCTCAACCAGGCAACATTCAAATTTGGCCCCAATGGGCTCAGCGGTGTTGGAACCTAATCATCGGTAATTATGAGCACATGGTGACGCAGTGTTATGATCCCTTCTACGACTAGAGACATGGGCTGTTTTGAGTGGAGAAATCTCTCGAAAACCTTAATACGGCCTATATGAGCGTTTGCCAAATGCGCTCTTTTGCCTTGAAGTGGGAGCATCTCTAGCTGAGCTTTTACGAAGCAACATTCTTCAAACAAGGGCCGAGGTAGAAATCCTCTCACGTTGGGGACAATCACGCATTAAGGTTCTTATATAAAGCAATATACTATTAGCCTTGTTGCCACTTTATTCATCCATTTACAGATTACCAGCAAAGGCCTTGGCTCCTTCGCTCGTAGGAGCCTTGAGTGAATCACTGACGGAGGCTCGAACGTCTATGGATCACAGTACCCAAGTGACACAAGCATGAGCAAAGGTGTATTCTTCTACTAACTACCTATAAAGCTACCCCCCCCCCCCCCCCCCTTCTCTCTTCTCCTTCATCCTTCCTCAAGCATCAAGAATCTCCTCTCTCACACACACACACACACAACTTCACGGTGGGTTCGCAGCAGAAAGAAACTCTGACTCCTATAGCAGCACCGGCACCAGCGTCGTCCAAGAGCTCCATGGCCGTGCAGCAATCAATGGGCCAACCGAATTATTCGATGCCGACAATTAGGTTTACTAGTATCGACGACTTGAAAAGAGCAAAGTATGCCACGTTAGCAGATGCGCTATGTGTTACAGGTATGTATTAGTCTTTTGTACAGCTTTCCGACGTGTGTCTTACAATTATTTAGATGTGCCTCCCGCGGTTGTCAAGACGCTGCTTGACAAGTTTGATGAACATAGGATCCGCATCTCAACATATTCTGATGACTCTCGGTGTTTAATTACAACAATTCCCTCTGGACCACACGAGCGACTCTACGGTTTTCTTGATAGAGAAATTACCCATCAGATTGATAATATGGGTTTAGGAGGGAACTGGCTGGTCAGAGGAATTGAGTTTTATCCTAGTATACGGCCTTCCTCTGGCGGTAGTGGAGGAGGAGGAGGAAAAGAGCCAGACGCATCTGGGAGCCCTGAGGATACACGCCCCGAGGGCTCATATCCAACTATTGTTATTGAAGCTGGATATTCCGAAACTCTACTGGACATGCAGCGGAAAGCAAGAGACTGGTTTAGGGATTCAAATCACGACATCAAGATTGTGCTGCTAGCAAAGTTTGACCCAGCTCAACAGACGATAATCATACAGAGATGGGAAGAAAGGCAACAGGGAGAGGGGCGTCTAGGAGTCACAACCCGCTGGGCAAGCGCATGGATACCTGGTTGTCAACAGCAGATTACGATTACCAGAAACAGGGCAAACCCATCTGTTTACCAAGTTACTAACGTTGACTTGACACTGAGCTTTCGACTATTGTTTCTGAGAGATCCACGCCAAGGAGAGGGGGACATAGTTATGCCTATATCCTGGTTGCAGGAGGAATATGCGCCGAGAGTTTGGCGAGCCTGGGAGGCGTTTCAGAGGTAGGCAGCCATTCCTGCCACTAGTCGTCGCGGTTGTTTCGATTCGGCATCTCGCTCTGTCTTTATTTTTTTTTAATCTTTTTTTTTTTTGCTCGCTCGAGTGGTACAAGGTTATGGAATCGGAACAAGCCGTGGGAACGGATATCAGAGCTTATAGATTGGCCCAATGGAGAATTCTTAGTTTCAACTACTAATGCGCTTAAGATAGACATGACTACTAATTATACACACAGCATCCATACATGGCCTAAACCGCGACAGAGCCTTGCCCTCCTCCTATCACGGTCGTGTACGTGCATAAAGCGAACTTGATGTATCTGAAGTATGTATAATAAACAACCTGTATGTCATCTAGACTATATGTAGTGAGTTATCAATCGGGCTATATGGCAATATACATACCTCAACTGATCTCAGCCTGTGGTAGAACGGCATTTGGTCACACGCCAAAAGATCAGGGCCATCCTTGAATCTTGTGCCCCTTTTCCAACCAAAAATCCACACAACGGATATTGTGGTGGTGGCTCGCGGGCCATGGCAGCAAATAAGAAGCAAGCCCTTGAATCTTGGGATGCTAGTTGATCAATGCGCACAGAAAGAAATCCTTTTGTTGGCGCTTGTTGTCAACAACTGATTAGGCTGAGAATCTTCTTCCTTCCGAAGGGGCTAGTGGCATGACTATGCTACGTTGCGGCTTCATCGCGACAAGCGACCAGCCAAGCTGGAATATCCTAATTGCGGGAGTCCAAGACTAAGTGGATGAATAGTCAGTCTATATAGGCCGTGGCCTTGCCGCTCAATGTTTGACCCCTAGTTCTGGTCAATTCAAGTCATTCGTTTACACTCACCGCAAGACCTCATCGTCGGCGTCAAAATGCGTCAGTCACTCGTTATTTCAGTCTTTTCCCTTCTTGTTATCGCCTTCGATGCTTGCGAGACACATGGCTTCACGAGCTGCGCCGACGGTATTGGCCACTGGCTCGATCCCAATAACGGCCAAGTCTGTGACCCATTGGACTGCGGAGGTGGCCGAGCTCCTAACAATACCGACGTCCCGAGCTGCCCAGCGTACCTCTCGAGCACACTATCCCAGGTCCCGATCTCCAGTCCCTCCTGCGGGAAGCCTTCAACTGCCATTCAGCCGGCCGCTTCGACGACTGCTCCACAAGCACTGTCTCAACCTCTGAACTGCAAAGAACCGCTGGGAGGCCAGCCAGTGAAACAAGCGCTGTCGAGTCAACCGCCACATCGGACACTCCCTCTGGTTCTGCCACTGTCACCACCGGCCCCGTCACGACTTCCGCTTCCACGTCGGTCAAGGTTCCCATCACGAGCCCAGCAACTCTCTCCACCAAGAGCCGATCCCATGGGGGTTCGAATTGAACACGCACCTCTACTTCAGCGGCAACATTATCGACTCAAAACGCTAGTATTGCTGTTAGTGGCTCACTGATGGCTGTTGCTGAGCCGCGATTGGTGCGATTGCTATGCTATAGAGGTAGACAGGCCATCATTCTGCGTAACGGGCGAACATTAGTATCCGTATCCGAAAATATTATGCAATATAATTGACGAGCCTACTAGGCCTCACGAACAAAGGTTCAAACAGGCGAAGAGAGTCTCCCAACGTATACCCCTCCTTCCGTCAGTTGGCCATTGCAAGGGGCCTTGGGGGTCGACGCGATCAGCCGTTCATGGTTCCTCAAAGGCGATATCGCTCTGCAGACAATAGAGTAGTAACAACGAGGTTAGCTGCAAGAATAATAACTGAAAGACTATAAAGAAGGCAAGGCGGAAGAGAGACAATGTTGGGCGACGCATGGAGAAATTTTGTGCCCCACCAAAGCATCGAGAGGACAAGAGAAATTTTCCCACTCCCACCACAAGCAAGAAAAATTTTCACGATCAATTCACAAGAATTCTGCGGTTCCATTCTTCTTCACACCCAGGGCAAGCCCCAATATGCAATGAAAAAAAAAACACAAAGCCTGTCAGACGTCCATCAACACCCACCCTGTCCACGCGCCCAAAGGCAGACCACGAACAGGGTCGAGATCATCAAGAAGAAACAACTCTCTATACAGCGATTACACAAGGCAATCGCCGCCATTCTTGCGAACAGAGCGAGAGGACCAGAAATAGTTTCACTCTTGGGTGCTGAGGATATACAATCATCAACCAGGGTGGATTCGATGGCTCTTTTGGGAACCAAAGCAAGAGACGAATACTATAGAAATGATTCTCCTGTAGAAAGAAAACACACAAAGGTTAGAAGCCGTTTGAGACAGCGGGCGTTCACAGGTAGGGGGTGCACATACTGAAGTATTGTCGACGTAAAGAAGAAAAGAAAGAAAAAAACAAAACAAACGGCCAGCTGTGTGAACTTTTTATAGGAAGCGAGCAGGAGCTCGGCGGGCGGTGAGCCAACTTTTTTTGACCGCCCGGCGATTTGACCGGCAGAATCGGCAGTGGTTCCCACCAACTAACCAAGAGTTGCATGCGGCCGAGAAAAGCCGGCCAAAGACAAAGGTCTCGCACAAAACCGGCTTCAAGGCTGTGGTGGGGCAGCAGAACCGGAGAAATGATGAGGATTCGAAAATTCAGTGTTCCGGGTATGTTCCGGGTAGGCTACCCGATGGGTTGAGATGGTTGTTTGTATTCTGTCCTTGCCAGCATGAAGAAGCAGCGGTTAGTGTCTCCTAGGAGGTGTGATTGATGACAGGACAATACAACGTCGAGGAGGCAATAACCCGACTGGACCTGGTTTGGAGAATGTTATATACCAAGGTAGCAATTATTCGGTGTCCCGGTTGAGTTGTAATCTGTGTTCGTGTTGTTCTAGGAATGTGAGGAGGATAATTGTACATGAACCGTCGGATTTAAGTCCACCCTTCCATCAACTCCTCATGTCAGTCATCTTCTCTAATGTGATATTCTTGCATCAACGAAATATGTAACCAACGCATGCGAATCCAGGCGAATCCAACTGCCGATTTCGCGTGATGTGGCCTCCCTTGTGGTTTCAACATGTATGCTATTTTCTTACGCTTTCTGGGCCTTATATCCGGACCGACAAGGGAATTATTCCGACACCAGATGCTACGCTCCCGCAGGTAGGTCATCGTACGAGCATATTTTGTGTTTTGAACTTACGCTGAACCCGGTTAACAAATAAATGACGGGAGTTCATTAGCCTACGATTTCTTTCTGATACTTCCAACAAGGGCTACATTTCATCTCCCTTGCCCGCATCGAATGATCAACACAGATGTGGACGTGGCGGGGCTAACATTAAGCTTACCTCGAGATCAAAACACCCAGCCGTCCAAAGGCATGTTTCCCAGAATGGCCCCGTGCTTGAAACAATCGATTTCATTCATCCAAGGTTCTCAGACGGTCCTACTTTGTCTTCCGTTCATCACAACTCGCAGTTCCACTTTCCGACTGTCTAGGAGGTATATCCTGATGATGGGCCGTTCCCCCCGGCTGACGGTTCGATGTAACGACAAAGTACCTGGGACTGCAACCTTCTTTTGGGAACAACTTTCTTGCTGTAAGCGGCTATAGGATGCGCCCGGTGCTTGTATCTTGCTCATGTAAATACTAATCAGTGGCTTCTCAATGCTGCCTATTGGTAATATAATCCAAAGGGGGGACCGTTGCAAGTCATGGATCGTACCAAGATCAAGCTTATTTTGGTAGGTCACTAGCCAACATCCCTGCCGTCATTCCGTATTCTTCATGCAACGACACATCGTTTTGGATACACGAGCCCCGTGGTATGGGGATTATCATCAGGCCTGCGGACAAATCGGCTGGTTAGCGTTGGTTAGCTGTTTATGCGTTGTTGCCTCTCAGCAACTGTATCCATGCCTGTGCAGGTTACGAGGTGCACGAGGTGTGTGGGATCTGACTTTGCCCGCAACCATGCTCACCTATGCTGTCATGTCATCTAAATGTGCCTCTTTTGGAATGATTTCTCAGCCTTCCTGTTTGGAATCCGCTAGTACATTCGAGATTAATTCGTTCTAAATCTAGGTTGGAATAAGGAGGTCGTCGTAGTATCTTGGCACTAGACTGGCTGCTTTGTCCCTGGGATTGGATCTCATCGGTGCTGTATGCATCGGCATGAGTAAGCATGCCGTTGTTTCTGTGTAGTCCGTATATGCAAAGCTGGGGATGATCCCTGTACAAGGCGATGGGCCAAACATCCTGGAATCGCCAATTGTCGTTGGAACGGGCCCGGGCAATAATTCGGGAGGCAACTTACAAGTATATAAAGGTTGAGAGATGCCCCCTTTCGAAACATCTCCTCACAACAACCAGCAGCATCAACAGCAAGCAACACTCTCCTCAACACTCTTCCAATCAACCAATACAACTCCCCACCGCAAACATGCAGTTCTCCAGCGTCCTCTCTCTGGTCTTTGCCAGCATTGTCGCCGCTCAGGATGTGGTGAGTGTTGGCTGGGGCCTTTGAAATCTCGAGAATGCGAGACAGATACTGACGGACGCTCAATTTGTCGCACCAATAGGCCACTCTCTTCTCAGCCACCAACTTCGAGGGTGTCAGCTACACCATTAGCGGTGCTGATGACACTCTTGGAGGATGCAACCCCGTTGCCACCTTGTAAGTTTTGCCTGCTGCTCTGCCCTAGGCTTCTGATTCATGCAGCTAACGGGAATCTTCACCTAGCCCTCTCGTCCAGTCCATCAAGGTCGCCGAAGGCCACGCTGTTGTTCTCTACAAGTAAGTCAACGAGCCCTTCATCGAAGAAAGCAAGAAAGAAAGAAGACAAGGTTGCTGATGCTGTGCCTCTCAGCACTGCCGACTGCGAGATCCCCTATGCCGCTTACGACCGCGACACTGCTGCCACCATCGTCAACGGTAACTTTGCCGCCTTCTCCGTCGCCGTCGCCACCGGCCAGCAGGTTGGAGGTTCTGCTTAAGCTGGGTCGACTTGTTCTTCCGGGGCTGCCGGTTTTCTTTCGTGTAGATATGGAGTGGCCGAGGGGTTGAGAGCACTTTGGCTTGTAAATAAATAAAACGAGAAATGAATTGATGATTTCTTCTTACGAATTGTGTTGCTGTTATCCGCTCTGTTTGCCTGTGCTAATCACCACGTGCCCCGTCGATTATCGGGTGCATGCCTGCCAAGGTACATGTACCCAATTTGCCAGTAATACTCCCGCTGTACTAACTATACCTTAGTACCTTGCGTACAGCTGAATTGAAGCATTAAACAAATTGTCGGATTTTATTCCTTCTTTCTATCGCCCACGATTTGGAATTCGTAAAGATTTGGGAGCAACGCGTCTTTCCCTTATCGCCAAGTACATGCGAAACACGCACTCAAGCTTCTACTTTGAGACTGAAAAGGGCGCCGTTGATTGGCAGCGGCCCCAATCCAACGATGATAGCGGCCCAAGATCCACGATGGCAGCAAACTAGCAGCAAAACCCACATGGCTAACATGTACTCTAATTATTAAGAGCATCGTGGGTTGAGATGCCGTTACGTTTCCTTTATTATCTAATCGAAGCTGGGGGTTTCTCGGTATCAAATACATAGAGGAATTGGGGTCGAGGAGACACCTATATATTCCCAGACACCTTTTTTGATCTGGGTATTAACAATACTCGTACGGAGAAATCGGAACAGAACCGGACAAAGAATCGACCAAAATGGCTCGAGTACTGCGATTGGCCATTCTAGAATGCGAAGCGACTCTGCCCAAGGCCAAGGCCGCCCGTGGCTCATACGGTGACATCTTTGAAGATCTCTTTAGGCTCGGACTCAAAAACCTGGGCGATGCGGCCGCCGATGTGCAGCTCCAAGTGAGCAAATGGGATGCCATCAACGGGAAATATCCCCAGAATGAGGACGTAGACGCAATCGTCATGACTGGAAGCTGTGAGTCTCCTTTTTTCTTCATCTGTCTTTTTTTTTTTTTTTTGGTATTATTGAGCGTCGAATATTGGTTGACTTGGGTTTTATATGTCATATCCGACAGACGGCACGGCATTTGAAGATGTTCCTTGGATCGTGGCTCTGGTCGATTACATCAAGGACGCCCTGGAATCTACAGACAAGAAAGTCGTCGGCATTTGCTTCGGCCACCAGATCATCGGCCGCGCACTCGGAGCCGACGTCAACCACAGTCCAGGCGGGTGGGAGCTTTCCGTCGGAAGCATTGCCCTGAACGAGCAGGGCCAGAAATTCCTTGGAACTCCGTCGCTGGTAAGATTCAGTCAGCCAAATGGTGGTTTGTTTCAGCATTTTCTTTGAGACAACTAACGCCATGTCTTAGGAGCTGCATCAGATGCATCGCGATGCCGTCCTCACAGTCCCGTCTGGAGTCACAAACCTCGGCTCTAGCGCTTCATGTCCCATTCAGATTCTCCACAAGCCAGGGCGAGTGCTTTCTTTCCAAGGGCACCCGGAGTTCGACGAGCCCATCAACGACGAGCTTCTCAACGTGGAGCGCAACACGCTTGGCGAGGAAGCATTCCAAGACGCCATCAAGCGTGTCGACCGCCCGCACGACGGAGTGCGTTTGTCTAGCAGGATCATCGAGTTCTTTCTCGACAGCGGGAAGTGGAAGAATGGGGAAGAGTGAAGGGGGTAGCGGTTCAAACGGATAGGCGCATGTTTGTTTCAAGATGTATAATTTATTGAAAGAGTGTTATAGACCAAGATTACCAATCCATTTATGCAACTCGCGCCGTGTATTTTTACGTGTTGATCATTATTATGTCCTCCAAGCCATGCCATTTAGGCTGTTATAAACGAAAGAAAGGCCAGATAAAGCAGAGTAACAGACTAAACGACAGCCGAATTTAAGGAGAGTAGGGGGGAGGACAGCCAAATCGAGGAAAACAAAATCAAAAGCTAAGGAGAAATGATGGGAAGTGATAGACGAAAGCGACAGACGAAGGAGACTGAGAAAAAGCAGACTGAAAAACAATAGCACGCGACTATCGAGCCTACACGGTTGTACGGAGCAGCGGCAGCAGCAGCAGCAGCAGTAATCGATGTCACCCGTCTGTGCTGGCACTTTGGCCACGGCGTCACAGCTGGCCTGCCTCTTTAGTCCAGAAATGCAGACTAAGAAAAGAGAGACTGGGGACAAGGAGTCTGAGAAAAGAGAGCCTGAGAAATGGTAGATTGAGAAAAGGAGACTGACAACAAGGAGACTGACAACAAGGAGACAGGAGAAAACGAAACAGAGAAAAAACGAGTGTCAGAAAGGAGGTGAGAACAAAGAGAGCGATAAAGGAGTGTATGGTAGGGAAAATAAAGACATAGGAGAAAGAGGAAAGAGAGAAAAGTAAAAGAGAAAAGAAAGCGCAGCGAGGTTCTCTCAGCAGCTAAAGGAAACGGTTGGCCTCACGATATCCCCAGCTCTTGGTCTCTCGAATCGACTTGCGCAACAGCCAGGGGCTACGCCACACAGCAGGCTGCGCCCAGACATGCTTCAGCACAAAGTAAGTCTCGAGCGCGTTGCCAACCTTGAAGCGAGATGAGATGTCGACGAGGCGGCTTCCAATGAGATCCTGATCGGCCTTTTCCACTGCGAAGCACCCAATGACGAGAAGGGGCCAGCAAATGGTCTTGTTCACCTTGTCGTCCCTCTCAATTTGCTCCAGCCGCTGGAGTGCGTCGTAAAAAGAGTTGTGTATCATTTCGCTATAAGGCCCGGGTGGTTTCGCAGTGTGTGGCCACTCCAAGAGGCTCCAAAGGTACAGCATGGCCGCATTTCTCCACAGCACGCCCGCCTCGAAATCGGGGGTGAATTCGGTGAGGGCAGGTGCGAAATCAAAGAGCTTCTCTTGAATCCGGCCAAAGGTGACAATGTGATCAGGCAGATAGCCCGTTGATGGGCCTGGTCTTGGGATGTCCAACGGGCCATTGACATAAGGCCGCATGGACATGCCCAGCGTAAAGATGTTGTGGATGGAAACCATGATGGGCAACCAGGTGCCGCAGAGCCTACCATTGTAGTCTCTGGCCACCAGCCTGTCGACGGCATCTTGAAACGCACTGCTCACAAAAGGTATCGTCTCTGCCGTGGTAATATCGGCTGCGAGGCAAGCAAACATGGCAGTGTGCATGTAATACTCGACCAAGATATCTGGAAGGTTGCTGCAAACTTCCTCATGGGGACAGGTGGTGAGTATGATTAGAATGCGGGCGGCTGCTGTAGGATAATCCAGAGGATTAGTACGCCTATCCAACCGGGCTTTCTATTTTATAAGAGGTGTTGTTAGCCCTGATCAGCACCATGGGGTTCTAACTCTAAGGAGACCTCTAAGGGGGTGATGGGGGGAGGAGGGAAGACTGCACGTCGGGGGAGCGGAAAGCGATGACGGGACAGGCACTTACTTCTGTGAGAGCCAGGATGAGGCTACCCATGGTCAGGGACAACATATCCTCTTCATTACCAGCGAGGTAGCTTTGAATCTTGGGAGCAAACGCGCCAATGGCGCTACGATAGAACCCTTCCGCCATCTCACCCGTCGGCAGTACGGCAGAGGATACCTCGCGGTGATTGGCCCTCTCGGCGATGATGAGCTGCAGGACGAGAGGGTTGGAATACGCCAAGTCAACCACCTTGGGGTTGGTAGGGTTTATATCTGGCAACGGTCTAGTGCCACGGTTGGCTGGGCGCAGAACGTAGTATCTGAGAGTCTCGGCTGTAGTTTGCTCACATGCCGGCAGCAAGGCAAGTGGCAGAGAGTCGGATGGCGCACGTGACAAGTGAAACACTCTCATATAGCCAATGAAGTCGCGAAGATAAGCTAGGAGAGGAGGCGGTCCCTGTCCTGTCCAAGAATTCCTGATCTGATGCAAAATAGGGGCAGGGATAGGAATTTGGCTTCCGTCCTCATCTGGCCCACCGACATCATCATCGGAGGAGGACGAGGACGAAGACGAGGAGGACGAGGAGTCGCCGTCGCCTCCGTCGCCGCCGTCGCCGCCGTCGTCAGAGTCAAAGTCAAAGTCAGAGTCAAAGTCATAGTCAGAGTCGAGGTCGTATTGGTAATCGTAATAGACAGCATAGTCATGGTCCGGATCGTTGTTGTGTCTGTTAATAACCAGGGAGAATCTCAAATGGCCCCTGGTCTGTCGTAGCAAGCCCTGCTGAGCTTGATCAATCTCTCGTGATACGGCATTGAGAAACACGCTCCACCCAGGCCCAGATGTAGGAATAGAATTCTCATCATTTTCAGGTTGAGTCTGGTGAGTAGACTCGGATTGAGGCTCAGGTGCCGGCGGGGTCGAGATTTCAGTCTCAGCCTCGGACTGAGTTTCGGATGCAGACGGGGTCAAGATGATAGTCTCAGCCTCGGACTCAGACTCGGGCTCGGGCTTGGGCTCGGGCTTGGGCTCGGGCTTGGGCTCGGGCTTGGGCTCGGGCTCGGCAGTGGTCTCTACTGCGGCCTCAGATGCAGGCCGGAGCCTGGACCGGGGCCTCTCTTCCTCCGGCTCAGGACTAATCCGTCCACGTTTCCTGGAATTGCTCTGTACTCGAGGGTATGCGCTGATTGGCTGAATACACTCGAGACCGTCCTCTTGACAAGTACGGCATATGGGCAGCGTCGAGTCACATTGCTTCCCCGAGCGACGACAGGTGAGGCAGAATCCATTGTCTCTAACGATGCGAGGGACGGACATTCCGCGTTCCACGACGGGATCGCCCCTTGGATACTGAAGGACATTAGCGTACGCTGAGAAGAGGTTGTACAGAGAGAGGATGGGATCACCTACTACGGATGACATGACGCCGGAGCGAGCAAGGCCCTTGGCGTAGCTAGCTGATGAGCTGTAGATGGCAGAGTTTGAAGGTTCTAGCAGAGGCTATGTCAAAGTACAGAAAGTTGGATTGAAGAGAAAAAAGTTTGGAATTCGATGGGGAAGATGCGAAGGAGCGGCCTCTTTATAGCCAGTTCGAAAGGGCAATTTGCTGAGTTGCGATCAAAGACAACTATGCAATCGGGCATCAGGTGAGAAGCAATAGGCGACGATTCTAAGTCATTCTACGCGATCATGGCCATCACGACGCCTTGGCGTGGTGATGTCGTCTGTAGTCAGAGACGGCTCACGGCTTACAGTCTGATGAGAGCCAGCAAGAAGACTCTGCTAGATTCATCCCATGCAGGCTTGCTAGTGGTGATTTGAGAGTAGCTAGCCAGATTTGCAAACCCCTTGCATCTGACCGATCTTTCCTGTCCCGTCCTGAGACATGCTAGTATGGATTGTATGTGCCCAAATGGCCTGATGTTTCTGCCGCCGCTCGATGCCGCGTGTGGCTTCTGGTGTGGCGTGGGCAGTGCTTTCTTTTGTCTCTCTCGACTCTCTCTCCCTCTCTCTCTAGTCACTCACTGGTCCATGGTTGTATGGAGGCGGAAACCCAGGCCATTGAGATGGATCATTAGATTTGGACTTGTTAGTCTTACCATCTGCCCGCATCATGCCCAGCCTCAGAACGGAGAGTTCCTGAAATGCCATGTGAGATGAACAAGCTTGTGCCAGCTGCCCAAGGAAGTGGCCACAATATGGATGGGAGAAGCAGCGGTACGGGTACTCGGTGCCAGCTAATCCTGGAGGAGGATCGCCTGTCTTGGACAAATGTCAAACTAAACCCTGTCTTCAGCTCGCGTAGACTAGCAGTAGGTACCCAGCAGTACATGGTAGCAGCGCCTCTGCTGGCTGACGCTTCATGTAGCGGCATGCTCTTCTTGTCTCTGCCTTTGTAGTTTTTGCTTCTTCTTCTTCTTCTTGCGTCTCCATATTTTGGTCTCGGGGTCGACGATCCGGTTGGTCGATGGTGGTTTCGCCCATTTGGCGGGGGAATCGCACACCTGCGGCCAGAGGAGGAGGGGGGAGCGCGCGTATCGGTTCGGTTCGGTTCGATTCGACTCGACTCGATTCGAATTGATCCGATCCAGCGCGATCAAATTGGGGCTTCTGATGGCGGAAAACAGCGGTGTGCATAGCCTGATCTTGGCTTTTCTTACTCGTCTCTTTTTCTCAGCGGTTTTTCCTCTTTCGTCCAGGTCTTGTTCTCTCATTTGTTGTCTCCCGGCGTTTAGCCTCGGGGGCGTGTCCGGTGGAAGCGGTGGTGTGTGCGAGGCAAGATTGAACTGACACGGGCTTGGTTAGGGCTATCCACACAATGCCGCGCACACAGATTGGCCATTATGCACACTTGACCTGTACCTACTCATAGGCCTCCACTGGAGCTCCCCTGGTCGCCTGTGCCGCGCGGGGGCTGGCAGCTGAGCTCGACTAGAGGCGTACCGCAAATGAGCACCTGAGACGAGCAAAAGCAAAGTGTCTAGTGCAGTAGAAGCTGCAGCGGGTGCCGTTACGCGCTGCGCTGCGCTGCGATGCACTGCAGGATGAGTTGTACAAAAAAGCAAAAAAGTCCTTGTGCCTGTGCCTCCAAGGGACGCAAGAACAATAGGTAGTAGGTACATGTACCTTGGTATGAATAAGGTTCTTACTAAGGTACCTTATCAATGTACGTGCAGTCCATCCATTACCTAGTAGTACGTTTGGAGCGCTAAATGGCAGCGCTGGAGCTCTCCCCCCAGGACCCCCTAGAACGAGCCGCGAAACCCCCCGCCGGTCATCACTGTATCTGGCTCCAGCTCCCGCTAAGCCCTTTAGCCTCGAGGGGTTCCCGAGCCCGCAGTCGATCCGCCGCTCCGAAATTTCGGGCAAAAACAACCGAGCTCCTGAATTTGTGTTCATGACTTCATCTCCCATCCTCGATTCATCCACGTCCATCCGAATGAAGCGCAAAGTGCGATACAAACGCGGCCCGATGGCAAGAAACCAAGCTCGGAACCTTGGACAGCCGAGACAGAAAATGTGTCCGTGCGAGATCTTTCTTTTTCCTGGCCGGGGGGCTCCCATCCTGGTCCGCTGCCGTCGAAGCTGAGCAAAGGGCAAGAATCCCGAAGAATATCGGGCGCTATATTTCGGCCCAGGCCTGGCCCGAGTACAGGCAGCCAATGCGTGGCCCGCGGTATGACGCAGGTGACTCTCTTTTCGGTTCTTGTGGCTTCTTCTCTTTGCTTTTTCTGCTTCTTGTCACAAAGTCGCTTCGTGTCTCTGCCTGTGATATGACATGTCCAAGGTTGCATCTAGAGTCTCAGCCCCCCCCCTCAAGCAGGCTACATGTACTCGTACCACGCCATCGTGCCGCGTCCGCAAAACCCGGTTCATGCGCTCAATCGCCGATGATAAACACCATCGGACCAAGATTAGTCCATGTTTATGTGCCCTCTCTCCCAATTCTGTCATACAACTCTCCTTCTCGTCCACGAGGTTGGGTAGCCGCCGACCCTGGTCACGATCTGCCGCCACCTTAGTACTCAGGCAGTCCTGAATCAGGCTCTCCCGCAAAGTTGCGGAGAGCTGATTCGGAAAGTACAAGTGCTACTACTCGTATACGTGTATGACTTACAGCAGCATGGTATTGCATCCTGCTGCGTCTGTGCGTATCAAATAGACTAGTTTGAGCCGCTTCATCATTCGTCTAGTACATACACCCTTGATCCCTGTTCGTTTCCAGAACTGACGTGATTTCAGAGGCTGACTAGATTTAGCCGCCATGGCCCCGGCATATCATCCAGGATAGGATGCTGCGAGTGAAGCTAGAAGTGCCGGTACATCGAGGTCCGTGTATTCGTAGTATTCCTCTATTCGATGGTTCGTATTCGTCCTCTGTGCAGAGGCATGGGACAGAGGTCAGTGAGCATCCAGGGGAAGTGCCATTGTCATGGGCCGCGCAAAGACTTTGCACATGTACAAGACAAAATGTCGGGCAAGTATGGAAGTGATGGTGTCTGCGGTTCGGCCAACCAATGTCTCTGCTCGTCCATCACCTCTCTGTATGAGTGCAGTATATACTGCATACACTACATAAATTGCATAAACTACATGAAACAGACTCGTTCTTCGGGCATCCATCTGTACATATCTCTCTCCAGGCAAATCTACCCATCTATGGAATCCATACTTGCCGTCGTATCTCTCCCGTATTGCACATACCTCTCTGTATGAACATCTATACTCGTACGTGTCTCCCACTCACTCTAGCACAACATCATCCAGTCACTCTGGCCTACCATGTATGGCTCGAGACAGGCCAATCTCCTCGCCCCTCTCGTAATAACTTGAGCTCACCGAAATATTACTAGCTAGTTGTGGCTTGCCAGCCTGCATTAGAACGTATTGACTACGCATGCAGTCTCCCGGAAGCACTCTGCCTTCCCCGGAGCACAGCACGGATCCATGTGAATACTTCAGTGCCCCTACATACAGCCCTGTCACACGACAAAAAGGAAAAAAAAAGCCACCAAATTAACCATGAACCTTGTCGGGCATCGCCTTTGATGCCCGATGAGAACAAAAAAAAAACAGGCAAAACTAGGCGAAAAGGGGGCACCAGCACTGGAAAGATCGGCATCGCTCACTTCCTAGGGTATCGGCTCAAGACGGCCTTAAGCCGACGGACCTTCTGATACAGGAATGCTCTAGGCCTTGGGGGAAAAGTGAGGCGAACCTTGCAGGACGACTGGTGCCTGGATATTCTTGTCCAAGTCTGTCTGAGAGAAAGAGGGGGCGGGCAAGGCGAAAGTGAGACTGGCTTGTCCGAAAGATTGGGCGAGCTCTCGTTGACAAGGGAGAGACGAGCTGCGAGGCCTTTCATGTGTGTAGGAGCGATGCCCCCGAACTCTGGCAGTTTTCTGGTTCCTCGCATCTCTCGTTTCATTCTCCTTCTCTAGACTGACTGCCTGGATCCGGTCTCTCTGCATCGGGTTCGGGTTCTTCTGGCCCTCTCTCAACAAGTTCTACGTACTGCCACCCTCGCCAGTCGAGCCACTCCGGCTTTGAGCCACTTGTTCATGTATATAGTTTCTACATTATACAAATATACAGTAAAAGAGACAAATTAGAGCATTCTTTCATGTCGTAAGGATGATATAATGGTGAATTTGGCTCCTTGATTGACACCTGCCACGGCGCCGAACCGACCGGCTGTCATGGCTGTTAAACACACGGCCCTCCCCAAAGAGACACTTTGTAACAATTAAACTCGGGTTTTATGGTTATATTTTACGCTTTCAAGCCAACCGCCATGGTCATACTACACGCTTTAATCCTCGGTGCCTGGTTCGGTCAGAATACTAGACAGGCGCCAAAAAAAAGGTTAATCTATAGTCAAGCCATGGTGGCAGATCTATTATCCTCTTTCGGCATGAGGTCTGCTCTACTGTCAAACTCCCCTGTCCTACGGGCAATCATCACAGAACCCAAATGATATAGGCGAACATTGTAGAGCCATCTCGAGACCGATATATGTAGATACCCGGGACTTGTAACGTCAAGCATTTGATATACTACTAGTATTAGGCAGCGTCAACAAGAATAAACTTCTCTTTTCCCAATCCCTTTGACCTGTTATACAAGTTCAATAAAGAAGAAAGAGATAGAGCGGTGTTATCGTAATCCTTTCGAAGCCAACATGCGCTGGCTGCTATCCAATGGTGTCATTCTCTTCATCTCATTGTTCGGTACTGCGAGAGGCGCAGGCGGTCCTCGAATCCATGACCTGACCTTTATCCCCGATCGAGTCCTCCGAGTCGCAAGAAGAGAAATTGGAATTGGAGGCATCAGAAGATACACAACTCTCGTCAATGACACGCTACCGGGGCCCGAACTCCATATCCCCGAGGACCAAGTTGTCTGGATCAGAGTGTACAACGACATGGCAGACGCCAACCTAACCATGGTGAGAGAACAGCCCAAGAACACCAAGCAAAACAGACAATTTTTCAAAGTAATAAACTTACACCGATTCTCTTTCTTCCTACACAAACAGCACTGGCATGGCCTCGCCCAAGCAGCCGCGCCCTTCTCCGACGGCACCCCCATGGCCAGCCAGTGGCCGATTCCGCCGATGCATTACTTCGACTACGAGCTCAAGACGCCTCTGGGAACGGCCGGAACCTACTTCTACCACTCGCACATCGACTTCCAGACGAGCACCGCAAACGGCCCGCTGATTGTCGACGACTCTGGCCCGCCGCCGTATCCCGTCGACGGCGACCGCGTCATCCACCTCCAGGAGCTGTTCGAGAAGACGGACAAGGACATCGCCGACGGCCTGCGCTCGGCGCCCTTCGTCTGGTCCGGCGAAACGGGCGGCTTCCTCACCAACGGCAACACGATATCAAACTACCCCGTCGTCGATCCCGCCTCGGCCAGGCTGTCCGTCATCCAAGTCGACCCGGGCAAGACGTATCGCTTCCGCTTCGTCGGCGCGACGGGCCTGTCGTACGCGTCGCTGGCGTTTGAGAACCACACGAACCTGGAAATCATCGAGGCCGACGGCGAGTACACCAAGCCGTACTCGACGCCGCTGCTGCAGATCGGGTCGGGCCAGCGCTTCAGCTCGCTTTTCAAGACCAAGACGTGCGCCGAGCTGGCGTTGTTCCGCAAGCTCGACTTTTACTTGCAGATAGAGTCCCGCGACAGGCCGAGGATGACTGCCAGCTACGCTGTGCTGCGGTATTCCAACACCTGCAGCACGCTGCAGCATCGCCACTTGCATGGTCGTCAGGTCCCGACGACGACTCTGCCCAGTGACAGGCCCGTGGACCTGCCCCCCACGATCGAGGGCTTCCTCGACTACAAGCTGGAGCCGCTCGTTCCAAACGACGTTCCTTCGTCAGACGAGGTGAGCCGCCGCATCTTTGTTTATGCTCAGCAGCAGATAGACAAATACGTCTTCTGGACCGACAATGGCGTGTCGTGGGCCGACGACAACGTCGACAGGGACACTTACACCATCAGCCCGTCCGAGCCCTACCTGGTATCCCTGTACAAGAACGCGTCCAAGTACCTGCCCGACTACGACGCCTCCATCGCCAACTACGGCCTCGACCCGGAAACCAAGACGTATCCCGCCAAGCTCGGCG